GTTGCGTCAGTTAAAATCTAGTGGTGTAGTCGATAAGTAAAGTGACATTTATAATTTAAGTTTCCCAAAGAAATTTTGCATTCCGTTCGCATGAACTTTAGTGGTTTTTACAGTTCTTATATTAATATCTTTGCAAGTCCAATCAGTACAAACAAAACAAAACTGAAAGTTAAGACCTGCTTTTTCTTGCTTATACGATCTTAACAGCGTTTTCCTTTAAATAAACTACTTAATGTTCAATTGTAAAAGTTAAATAAACAAAATAACGTTTTCAAATTGTGTTCATGACACATCCAATAATACATCTCTCTCTGTCAGCAGAGTCGATCGGATCGATAAACGAACAGGTTTAATAGCAACTAGTAAATGTTTTGTTTCAATGGTACGAAATTCCGATAACCTGTAACTCGTAAGTTGAATGCCGTTTACCGCACTTGTTGCATAATATACCATTATTTTAAATTTAAATTTGTGATACGTAAATAACAAATGGAGTATAATTTCGGTCATATTTCATGACATACCAACGACCACACATTGTTATACATTATAGAAAAAATCTAAGTACCTCATTGCTTGAAAAAGTGCCAAAAGGTATCGCCCCACATCAGTCGGAAGTGAAGATGTCGTCATGCCTATAAAATAACATTCAAGAATCGAGTCCATGACTAAAAGTAAATTTAGCTATATATTTAGAAATAGGGGTTTCCAATTAAAACACCTCGAATTGTTTTGTCTCCTTGGCGTAATATTTAAGGTACCCGATTTGTTTCAAAGCGCAAATTTTATGTAACTTCGCGATACGAATTAAAAAAAAAAAAACCTTTCATTCGCAATATGATGCCGATAATACGCAATGTCAAAACACAACAATCGACTAGTTGCTTCAGGTTGGCGTTCCGAGCTGTGGGACTCGCCGCAGCACACGAAATCACCATTACGCAAGCGTGAGTAAAGATCACACAGTCCGAACCAAACAAACCAGAACATTAGAAGTCTTTTTACATAATTGCCTTGCCAGCTCTTTTCCATCAACTAATCTAACTCTCTCGCAAAACCATCTACGAAATAAGTATACATAATATATACTATTTTCTTTAATTATTTGCCCTTCAAAAACTGTATTTGCAGACACAAAAAAAACTTCCAACAAACGCAAATAGTTAATAATAAAATTGATGCACCTCAGGCGGCTAAACAAAAGTAAGTAATTTTTTCCTAAATTTCACCCAAACGTGCCCCTTCTGCCATTTTCTTTCCATTTCCACACACATAACTCGTTTTTCCCTTGAAATTTAGGTGTTTGCCATATTTTGAGGCAATGTCAAACATTGCCAAACTAAAACCTATCAAAAGGGCGAACTGTCAACCGTTGTTGATTGTCGAAATCTTATTGGTTGAAGGCGAGTTTTGAAATGACCCGCGCATGCGTATATCGCTTGTATGTCCCTTTTTATTTTTTTATGTTGCCTCACAGCTGTCTGTGTTATCAGTACGTATTTAATAGCTACACGTAGTTTTAGATTTTTATCAGAAAAAAATTATACCGAGCAAGAAAACAAAAGATTATGGTAAAATATAAAAATCTAAAAAAAAATATTATTGCTAACTAGCTGAGAATAATTAAAAAATGCTCTAAAATGTCCTATTGTCGGATACTTTCCTCTAGCGACAATAGGCAGTTTTTTCATTTATTACTGGCCGACAAAATATAAATTGGAATAAGATTACATTAATTAATTGTCATTAACGCAATCAAGCACAGGACTCTTTTTGCGGTTTTGTGATTTGTAATTTCTCCAAAAAATCAAGTTTTTTACTCGTTGCGATGTCATGATGGACATGGAATTCAAGTATGGATTACACATGCAAATTCCTTTTGAAATCTCAAAACGTTCTTTTAAGAAATGTCGAGGAAAGAAATATTCAAATATTGAATCATGTTAGTTAAAATTTTTGTGTACTTACTACAAGGAGTACAAATTTTGGCGAATAAAATGTCGTGAGAATTGTTTGGTTAGGATGTCAATATTTAACCAAAGTATATGAAATTTAGTTTTTGGTTAGTAACGATTACATGTTAATCCTATGCGGGGTAGCGTCACATAATACCTGTTCACAAAAATAATTATAAATAAGAATCTAACAAAACTATTTTCTTAGAATTCCTGAAATAAGCTTTTGGTGCGGTCTGCTTTATATTATCATTACATATAACCAACAGTAAAGGGAAGTAAAGGGCAGTAAAAATGATAGCCTGTAAAAGTTTCGGACCTCCAAATCGTAAAATTATTTTTTTAAGTATTGTCAGTTTGGGGTTCGTGTATATCGATTGTTTTAGACGTGGTTCGTCGTGTTGCGATGCGGCAGGTCGCGAGGCAGTAAAATGCGCGGCGAATGCAAATCGGCGCACTTTTCAAAGAGCACACCACTACGGCACAGACGGCTCGCGGCTGCCATTACGAAACGAGCACAAGGACTAAATCGAAAGTGGCGTTCGATAATAATTTAGGTTTTCATAATTCGCCACTATTATTTAATACGATTATTATTTTATGCAACCTATTCCGATAGGTGCTTGGGCGCGAATATGCACTTTTTTATCGGGTCGGCTTATCGGTTCAAGCAAAGTCCGCCGCCGTCGCCGCCATCTCTATCGCGTCACTATATTAGGGACTGCTACGGTAAAAATTGATGCGACGCGTCACTATATTAGGGACTTTTTCAACTGTTCTGATCAACCAATCAAGCTATAATATAGTGGCCCTACTACGGTAAAAATTGATGCGACGCAGGTGGCTATGATTTTTTCGTAGTGAAGGTACGGATGCTTTGCGCATGCGTCACTCCCCAACTGACCGAGTTGCCACGTTGCCGTAATTTGTCTGCAAAATTGATTGATTTTTATAAGAACGCAACATCAATCGCAAAATTTGATCGATGTACCTTCAACCACTTCCAAAGTGTTGCATTAGATCATAAAATCGCAATCTTTTACAATGGTCACTTATTTCTTAATATAGAAAATTGAGTGCTCGCAATTTACTGACTATTCACATTGACCCAACAATTCTGAATATTAAACGTCTTTTTCATTAAGAAGAGTCCATCGAATTTTGCAATGCAAGACCATGTTATTTTTAATCGGCAGTCCCTTTCACTAGATGAATATCTCAGTGAGCAGGTTAGGTGTCTCACTGGAAATAGAACCTTCCTCGTGTGCTATTTTCAAATTGAAATTTGAAAAGACGATTTCTATGTAACTCTTGACTAGGACGACTTGGAACGCCAATGATCCGACGCCCTGTTGTTTTTCTATAAAAACAAGCAGCTGCATATTTGTATCTCTATTGTTTGATTTATTTTGAACACTTTAAACTTTAACGAAACCCTTTTGGATATACAAGGCGTTTAGTTGAAACTCTTCAACATTTATTTCAAGATGTACCTACAGTACCTTAGCCGCAAACCTTCGCAGGACCATGGTAAAACCCATCCCAACATATGTTTATTCTGCATTAAGTAGGCCTGAGATGGACCGTAACGAATATTTGTGGAAACTTGAAATTTTGATTTGAAACGTTCGAAGTAGAACCATTTATTTTAACATCAGGTGATATGTATCGTTCTTAACAGTATTTTTTAAGACTGTAGATTATATTCTCGGTAGATAATGGTACGTCATAAGAATACAGATACATATTTATTAGAATCTTACAGTTTTTGGAAGGTTCCTGTATTTTAACAATTTAAAATGTGGAGACCGTGGAATGAAGCGATGTGCCCCTGTTAGAAGAAAACATGGAAAACAAATGACAATTTAGAAGACGAACTACCTCAGCAAATAAAAAAAACGTATCCACTTGTCTTCGGATACTAAACAAATTGTTTTGAATATTTACAATTTTATAAGAAATTCACAAGGGCAAGTAGGAGCAGAAATTAAAAAACAAGTGGTATAACCAAAGTTCCGAAGTCTACCTTAGGAAGAATTGTTGCAAATGGGATAGTCAAGAGAAAAGTGAGAGAAGATGCCGGTACTTCGCGAGTTTTTAAAGAGCAACACGCAGATCTAATTAGGCGTATAATCTACGACGCCTTTAAAGTGAATAGTGTTTTAATCCTAGAAGAACTGCATAAAAAAGTACTGACAGACTTAAATATTAGTTGTACCAAGAGGTCGTTGCGTACTGTGCAGTGGAGGGTGTATTATTGAAATGCAATTAAAATATCATTAGTATCGTTCTGGCCAAATTAGAAAAATTCCAAATACTTCTTCAAATAAAGAAGAAATTAGATAATTTCTGTACGAAAATGATTTATATTTTGAGGTGAGCTACACGAAAAACCACTTTTGGAATTATTAAAAATAAAACATTTTAATAAAGACCACAAAATTGATTCGATATAACTGCATATTTAACTGTATATTTAAAACGAGTAATAAAAGAAGAAAATATTTATCGAGAACGATTAGTGGCAGAGTTGATCATTGAACTAGATGACGACAGTAGCGATAGTGACGATTTTTTAAGTGACGGATGCTTTATTATTATTATATTTAATATTTTGTATATTAATAATGGTACTATGTAGAAATGTAATGAAATATAACGTAATAAATTGTTACTTTGTACTATTTTTTATGTGCATGTTTCAAGATTTACTTGGTGACGAAGATTGAAAACATACTTATATCCCGCTTGTTGGTGTAGGTAGATAAATTCCTAGGACGGTCACAGTAGGCAAAGTTAATCACGGCGTCGGTTGTAAAAGCACTATATTTCTGGTCTAAGTATATCAGAGAATAAGTTCGCGACTAGCTAACGCGCCATGAATAATGCTTTGTAGAATAAGCTAGTAAAATGTTCAAGGGTAACATAAACATTATGAAATACTTTCAAAGAGCCACGTTTGTTTACTGTTAGCAGCGCCGTTATCCGAGAATAGGCATTTTGTCTGCTGTCGGAGCGCGCGCGCTAATGTTTCCCTGTTTATAGGCGCGCCGCCAAAAACGCGTTGGACGACCTGCATCACCCCCGACGACCTCGAATGCATCCTGTGCAGCCTCTGCTTCCTGGACCCGGTCACGACTTCCTGCGGCCATACGTTTTGTCGGGACTGTTTGACGCGCGTCCTCGACCATCGATTGACGTGTCCGTTGTGCACGCACCCTTTGGAGGTCGGCGATTATTTCAAGCGGACGACACTGTTGTTGGACGACGCCGTGCGCATCCTCATCCCCGAAGAGTTCGACGACCGGCTCAAGGTTACGCTGTCGGAAAGGTTCGAACTGGCCGCTAGTCCCGACGTATGTACTTGCGGAAATAGTACATCGGAGCTCGTACTATTCTCACTTTGTCGATGCTGCAGCGTTGCCAACTCTTTCTGCTGAACGCGGAAGGGTGAAAAGTATCCAGTTTCCGATTTAGGTGGAAACGTGATATTTTGAATTATATTTAGTTTGTAAAATTTAAAAACCAGCGATAAAAATTTATATTTTACTGAATCTCCGGTGTAGACACTGATAAATAAACAAGAAACTGGTATGTAAAATCGGTCTCAGTCTGTTCAAAGCACCTAAAATTAATATAAATTTCGAAATTGTATACCATTTTGTATAATTTAAAGAAGAAATGCTTATTTCGGTAGCATAATTTCAATAGAAAGTGCGGAAGCATTGTTTCTGAAAAAATATTTCGTACAATACCAGGTGCTTGATGGACGATGGTAAGTTGAAATGGTTTCGAAAAACGGAATTTTCTTTTTTTCAAATTTTCAGTTTCTAATGATAACATATGGTAATAATGTCTTGACAATAAAATGCATCCCTATATTTTACTACATTTTTAGAATCACTGCATTCTTTTGATTATTTTTGCTGCTATTTCAACTCACAGACGGCAAAATTTTTGGCTGCAATTGCGGTAGGCCCGTATCTTAGACATGAACTTATGAACTTTTCCCAGCAGATGAGTACGCGGCAACGTTGCGATTCTCTAACAATCCGAGCTCCGATGTACCGTCGACAATCTTCACGTACGCAATGTATTTTCTAGTCGTGTGACTCTGTCGGATTTTCCAGGTTCCAGTGTTCGTTTGCACGAACGCGTTTCCTGGGGTTGCGTGTCCCCTCTACGTCAACGAGCCACGGTACAGGCTGCTGACGCGCAGGTGTCTGCAATCGTCCTCGAAAAGATTCGCGATGGCGAGCGGCGATCCGAATAACAAGTTCACCGACTACGGCACCGTCCTCGAGGTAAAGGACGCCGTGACGTTGGCCGACGGGAGGACAATTCTCACCACCGTCGGCGTTCAAAGGTTTAAAGTGCTGAGCAGGGGCGAGCAGGACGGATACGATACCGCCAAAGTCGATTACATACGGGACGCGCAAGTGCCGCCGGAGAAAGTGGCACATTTGACCGGTCTCCACCAAAAGGTTCACTCCAAAGCGGTGAAACTGATCAGATCGCTCAAACCAAACGTGCTGGCGGAGGTGGAACAGCTAATCGGGGAGATGCCCAAGATAGAGAAGCATTGGGCTGCGCTTCCTGACGGCCCGTGTTGGACATGGTGGTTGATACCGATATTGCCGCTCAGTCCGCAGCTCCAGGTCGGGCTCATAAGCACTACGAGCCTGGAGAAGCGGCTGCGAGCCATCGATAAGATGCTCGAACACATGAAAATCAAGATGAAGGCCCTGCAAAGGGACACGGTAACGTGTTCGCACCCCGACGACAGTTTGGGGATTTGCAGAGAGGGGCGGGCTGATATAGAAGCCGACTCGGTGGAGAATTGAACAAGGCGCGGTATTTTAACACTGTTTTCCTCAACCCGAACTCTTCGAGTAATCTTCAATATTTGCTACTACTACTACACACACTATTTTGTATTGTATACTGTAGATTCGGCCACGTATAACCACGGATCACTTATTAATACTATTTAATATATGGTCCTAATGGTATTTGGTTCAAAATCCGGAAGTACTAAACCTAAAACTGTGCAAAACTTTTTAGCTGCGCGAGGCATAGATTGTCAGGGAGCATATGGATATATACAAGCACTTTCGTAACAAACATAAAACATGTTACCCCGTCTCCACTTCGGCTGTGACCTGTACATTATCTAATAGCTATATAGTTCGAACGCCACGTTTTTAAGGCCGGGCGACAAACGCAATCGCTCAGCCGTCCAATCGTCCGCTACATATTTGGCAGATTCTATTTTTTGTCCTTATTTGGACCAAAGGGCGTCATCGTTAGAAATGTGCTTGAAAATCGCATTAAATTATTTCCATCCGTGTTACGGAAATGTGAGTATTACGTTTACCATTAATCTTTGCTTCGCGCGATTTTTAACCCTTGAACAATACAATCAACGTAACTTGTTAGTATAATCGACGAACCCATTGTGATTATTTGGTTAATTTTTTATCTATACGTAATAAAATAGGCGTTATTTATTTTTCTATTTTGTTATAGCTTATATTTTTTATATTCCAATTATAGCTAGGTAGTATATGTTTCTGTATGTGAGAACTTCCAACGAATTTTCAAAACCATATTTCTTTATGTGATACTTTTAAATTATTTGATTTTTAAATTGGAGATCTAAGTAAACCAATTCCGCAAAAAACGTGTCTTTTTCCAGTCAGCTTCCGATCCTATCCTATTTCTATTGTTAACAGGTAAAGGAAAAAGTCAAAAGTTAAAAGTTGTTGTTTCAAGGAAGGAAAGTATTAAATGAATTTTGCAGCTACCGTAGCACCATCTGTCCGCTGCTAACTGAAACTCTTAATTATTTAAACGAAAGTAGATGGTGCCACTTCAGCTTTAGAAATTTGTTTTCACTTGATTACTTCACTCGCTGTTATTTTGGCAGCGGTAATAATGATCAGTTTAAAAGATCTGAGACGGCGTAACGCGCTACAACTCTACGCCCGGGCAAAGGCACCTTGTAGAGACTATCACGGTCTGACGGTATGGGACAATTGCGTAAGCGATACCATCAGCTTATGGTTTTCTGGTAACCTCAAATTTGGTTAGATTTCTTTGACCACGTGGAGAGTGGGTAGGACATTGCGCGTGCTGCCAAAGCAGGCACTGTGTAGTCTGAAGGATTGGAAATCGGACAAGAACTTGAGGGACCAAGTAGAAGGTTTGTTCGGTGCGGGGACTTCCGAGTACGTAACAGCGTTAGCTAGCGGGGAACTCAAATTCGAAACGTTGCCGTTCGGCGTGTTTCTAAGCATCGTCCGTTTCTTAAACTTCAAGGACGTGCTGACATTGTCCCGGTGCTCCATAATTTTACGCGAGGTAATCTGCAATCTGTAGCGGAGTCGGTGTTCCGTGACCCCAGGCTGACCAAACCCTAGAAACCCCACAAATTTAATAAAGATAAAAAGCCGTATTCAGTTATCACCCAGATAGTCTATTCTGTACCTAAGTATAACTAAGCAACCCAAATTTAAGCATTTAAATTTGTGTAGGACCCATAGGAGCAACTGGTTTAAATCGTACTGAAGATAATATTTTTGCTTAAATCAAACCAATACTAACCTAACAAAAATATTTTTGTGACGTTTAACCAGCCATATATTTGTGTATTGGTAGGTTTGCAACAAGGACGAAGTATGGCGTCTGATGTTTGTGAAAAAGATGGGAAGACCACCCTCGAACGAAGAGAAATGGTTAGCTTTGGGTTACACGTGGAGAGAAGTGTTGAAAAAACGGTTAGAGTACGTCCAGAAGGTTGCTGCACTGCAGAATACGTGTGCGGTCCGTGACATAACCTCCTCTCGAGCTGGTGCCGTGTTAAAACCATTGATGATAGAACGGAGTTGAAATAAAGATATGCAAAACGAAACTTCTGGTTTTGATTATAAAAAGGAGCAGCAAACAATTTTGTAATCAACTAGTTTGGTTCAATCTGTATACACGTCGTTGAGCGTTGCGAAAGGTTTATCTACTTTGGCCTTTATAATATATGGCCGACCTTTCGCAATTTAAGAATGATGAAAGGGTGTCGCAAAAAAAACGTATGTTTGTGTGAAGTCTGTATTTTTTGACGCTCGATACCCAGAAAAATTAGTTTTGGGCCCGAAAGTTGAAATAATCGAGGGATCAATGAAGATAGCATGCATTATATTATCCCGGCTTAAAAAACGCACACGTTTTAGTTATTGCATTGATCTTCGCCGTTATCACTACAAGAATTTCAACATTAAATCAATTACGCTCTCACTGTTGATACGCGTTTCGAAAACAAAACGAGGGACCGGTTTTAAATGAATGACGGTCGGACTAGTCGTTCAGTATAGATGTTCGATCGCGGGGTGAACGTTTCTGTTGTGAACTTTAGACACGTACAGAACCGATATGATGATGTCGAGACCGGAAAATATCGCGAAAAAGAGCGACGACAACCGCCAAACGCTGCAGGGAAGCCCTCCCGACGTGGTAAGTCCCAGGGCCCTCTTTCATCTAGTACGCGTTTAACAGGCGTAGTAAAATAGGTTGGTTAGACCGCCGAGAATGCGCGCGCGGTTGCCAAATTAACATATTTTCATGAAGTTCACGGAATTATCAGGGTATCGCATAAAATATTAAATCGATTGTCCTAGGGCTTTTCGAAACTTTTAATTGGAGATATCCGTGCCCGACAAATAGTGCGTGAATAAAATTATCTAACTAGATATATCTCACTCATGATGAGTAAAAACGTATGACCTTTACGTCATCTGATCACATCTGGAAATAACTGAAGATTCAACGCGCAAATCGAATTTGTTTTCGCCTCGAATTTTGGACAAAATATTGCGCCATCCGCGGTTTGTTGATGAAAATGATCCGCTTCTTGCGTAAAGGAGGTTTTGAGAAACCGGTCCTTATCCGCGGATTTTTTAAACAAATAAGAGGTGCTAAGAATAACAATTGTTAATACGTTGGAACTATTTCACAGGGTTACCGAATCTACCCAAACTAATTAATTTGTAATTTTGGTTAGTTAATAAAGAATTTATTATAATGTTTAGGTACTATTATTGTCCCTAAGTAAGCTAGAAACCGCCTTACAGCTTACAGCCTTAAAAACTTGATTTGATTTCGATTTGACGGGACGTGGTTTCTGCAAACTGAATATATCAAATAAAATTGGGCTTAATGTAGTATGCTACATGTTATATAAACGACACTTTAGTCACGAGTGCGAACGTGCGAAGCTCAGAATTGCCACTTTTTAATCACCGAGTACTAAAGACGTTTATAAACGTGTTGCGTCCTGTACTTTTTCGACAACTATTACATTTTGCTGAGTGATGTGTGACGTCACATAAGCGTTACAACTAAGAAACGCCAAAATGAAATCCCAAACCCATGACTAAAGTAGTTCAATAATTGCATAATTGAGTATATCGTAGTATCCAGTAGAAAAATGGGGGGTTTGCATTTATAATCCGTTTTTAAATGTTTGAACTTCGAATGGCACGACAAGCATTTTCTACCGAATTTTTGTAGTTATATTTCTAGATTACTAGCAGTTATAACGAGTATTTTTGTCTTTCGTTCCTCAACCCAGAGATTCACTCACTAATTTACATGCTGTCATTTTAATAACAGCCTGTATAATAAATCGAAGCGAGTGCATAAAGACATTGAACAAGCGGAAATTCTGAGGCCGCTCCTTCAGCAAGGTTGTTATTATATGTGTAAACAGTGGTGCAAGTTGTTTACGTAGAAGGGTTTAATTATTTCCAATCTCGTTCGATAATTATCGAGTTGAAGGCGACACGATCGACGACAAAAAATACGAATCGATTCCTGCACCGCAAACAAATTACAAGGAAGATCCATTGTGCGTCTGACGCAATTCAAATCGGATCTTGCATTTATTCGAAATAACTTCTTAGATTCCGACAAAAACGGGAAAGTACGGCTTTATATAAAGTTTCAGAGTATATAAGCAGAATTGACGCTAAGGACGTGGACAGTGACCGCGAACATGGGACGCGAAATACCCGACGTACGTCATCCGGCTAGAACGACCAAGCGCGACGAACATAGTTAAAATATCGATTCCGTTTCAGCCTAAACTGATGCCTGGCGGTAACTACATCAAAATAGGCAGGGATTCGGCTAAGAGCACGTACCTGTTGTTCGCGCCTTCCGCCGAAGAGGTCGGCGTCCTCGCAAAATACCTCAGCATCTTCCAGAACCACGGCGTCAACCTGCTCCACATAGAGTCCCGGCCGTCGACAAAAATGCCCGACCTTTACGAGTTTATGGTCGAATGCGCACCTACCGGCAACATCGGAGACGCCATACAGGATATAAAAAACTCTAGCCAGTATCTGCAGATTATTTCCAGAGACTACAAAGACAACGAAGGTGTGTTTTTTTAATCTCATAATTAGTTCTCGCGAGCAGGGAACTTCAGCGTGGCGCCATCTAGGCTTTCCAATTATATTTTTTCTGGTTTGGCTAGAGTATCAGCTACGCTATGCTTGACGGCCATGGCATATCAGTAGACTCCTTAATCGAATGGAAAAATAAGGCAAATTTTACAGTAAAAAATTACATTGTTGTCTTTGTTTTGCTCATTTATATAAATAGGAAAATGGAATATTGACTACATTTTTTGCTGATAAGAATCTTACTGAAATTATTTACATCTACATATTTAATGATCAAACAATATTTAAAAGAAAAATTATAATAATCTAACTTCTCAAGAAGCTTCAGAAAAAGGCGCATACATTTTTTTTCTAAGGTTTTAACATTGTATTGGTCAAAAAGTATGGTTGTGTTTTATATTTATATATTTATTATATTTAAAAAAATATATTTCTCTAAACAACGAAAATTTTTAAAATTTTGCGGCAACTAAATCAATACCTAAAGAACATCAAAATACTGATTTATTTATTTCTAAATAGTACTGATAAATATACTTTATTGTTAAAAAAAGTTTTCGGCCGTAAGTTAATGTTAACCTATTTTCTTAAATTTATGGTCTGTGTCAATAAGCGTTGCGTTGGTCTGTGACGAATTTATTGTAAGAGAAACGTGGGAATGAAAGAAATTTTTTATTTTTATAAGTTGTGATATTTGATTAACACATTATTTTTCTGTAACTTCTGTCAAGGTTGGGGAGAAATAAATTATTATCTTGAGAGATTTCTGAATATTTTAATGTGTTGCAAACTAATCATAACACACAATATAAACAACCTCTTATCTGCCATTAATATTAACTCCCTCCCTCCAAATAAAATTTGTCTCATAAAATCGATAATATTGCGAGTTCACTGTAAAGGATATTCGCGGGACATCTAGATAAGATTTTCAAGAACATAATTTATTAAATGGGATTGATTTTCTTTAGATACGGTGCCGTGGTTCCCCAGGCGTATAAGGGACCTGGATCGATTCGCCAACCAAATCCTGTCGTACGGAGCGGAATTGGACGCTGACCATCCGGGATTCACGGATCCAGTGTACAGAGAGAGGCGAAAATACTTCGCCGACATAGCGTATCACTATAAGTACGTTCCTTTACCGAAACTTGACGTTAAAAAAGCACGCTTGGTTGCCTACTTTCTGGCTGCCGTAAATAAAATTAACCAAATTTAATCTATGAACCTTTGTGCCATCGCCAAGCAAAAAGGAAAAAAAAATGTAGGGAACTTAATTTGAGATAAATTAAAAAAAATTAGGGGCCGGGGACAATGGCCAAGCATTAAGCTGCGTTGACACGGGTTCAGTGACATGGTCAACTCTTTTGAATTCAAGTGAATTGAATGCTTGAAAATGTTTACACGTTTCATTTAACATGAAGGCATGTCAGTAAAAAAAATGGCGCCGAGAAAGATTCATCGCGTTATTTTACAAGCAATTCTAGTTATTGCTAATGAATTTAAAAAATATATGGTCAAGAAAACTGTTCGACGCAAAAGAAGATTCTGGTGTAGAGAATGGATTAAACGAAGAAGTGAACTAGGGGCATCGGCAAGGTTAATACAAGAACTGAAAGATGACCAACCAGAAGATTATACATTTTTTTTTAGAATGGCTGAAGAGCAGTTTATCTTTTTATTTGAAAGAGTAACACGAAAACTCCCAAAACTGACACTTTTATGCGAGTAGCGATTTCTCCTAAATTGAAATTAGGAATTAGGAACACTCTTTCAAAAGTTTGAAATTTCTTTATCGAGTACTAAAACGCACAATATCCCGTTTCATTCCTGATACACTGGAAGCAATTTTATTTTATTTTTCTCACTCCGTTTTTGCGCATTTCTTCAATAATATGTCGATAGTCTACACTTTTTGTGTTCCACAAGCATGGATATTTTTGATAGGCTAAAACAAATTTCAATGATCTTTCCTCGTTCCACCTAGTGCCGGCCATCTTGAATTTGTCGACACGAACGAAAAAGTTGTTCAACTGACGATTGTTTCACGCGAAATGAATCAAGTCAGGCGAATTAGGGGTTTACACGTTTACAAAGCGTTCAATTCACTTGAATTCAAATGAGTTGGTCAAGTCACTTGACTCGTGTCAACGCAGCATTAGAGTAACTTTAATTTTGGCAGGCACGGTCAAAAACTCCCGCACGTGGACTACACTCAGGAAGAAATCGACACGTGGGGCAAGGTTTATCGGCAACTTATTGCGCTGTACCCCAAGTATGCGTGCAAAGAGCACAACCACGTGTTTCCGCTGCTTCAGGAGAACTGCGGGTACCGCGAGGACAACATACCGCAGCTGGAGGACGTGTCGAACTTTTTAAAGGGTACCGGGTCCGTGGGGCACTGCACGACATAACATTAACCGCTTGAAATTTCAGATTGCACGGGATTCACGCTGCGTCCGGTCGCCGGGTTGCTTTCCTCCAGAGATTTCCTCGCCGGCCTCGCCTTCAGGGTGTTCCATTCCACGCAATACATCCGGCACCCGAGCAAGCCGTATTACACTCCCGAACCCGATGTTTGTCACGAATTGTTGGGCCACGCCCCCCTTTTCGCGGATCCCGCGTTCGCTCAATTCTCACAGGAGATCGGGCTCGCCTCTCTGGGTGCCCCTGACGAGTACATCGAGAAGTTGGCTACGGTGAGTGACAAAATGGCCATTGCCTGCGATCTTTATCTATGAGATCCTTTAGTAGGCTTAATTTATTTTCGTTTTGGGGATATTTTTTACGGTTCTTCTTCTTTATTGGCCCAGAGTGGCACGATTTTTCAACTTTACGAATAAAAGGTCCACGATTTCCGTCACACAACAACGCATATAACTTATGTACAAATACAAAAAACAAACGGCTAACCCTCGCTTCCGCCCCCCCGGAAAATTCGGTCTCCAGCAGGCTTAAATAACGTAAACGGATGAATCGAGTGACACACATACACAACAACAAGAATTTTCAACCGATTACAGCGGATTAGGTATACTTCGACCAGAAATATAGTGCTTTTACAACCGACCCCGCGATGAACTTTGTCTACTCTTTATTACTCCAAAACCGCAGCCCCTTATAGAACACCCTGCCGCAAGGTCGCGTAAACATTTTTTAACGACTTTAACTTCGAAATTGACAATTTCAGTGTTTCTGGTTCACTGTCGAGTTCGGATTATGTCGGGAAAAGGACGGATTGAAGGCCTACGGCGCGGGGCTCCTGTCATCATTCGGTGAGCTCCGGCACGCCCTCAGCGATAAACCGGAATACAGGGCGTTCGAGCCGCCCAAAACGGCCGTTCAAAAGTATCCCATCACGGAATACCAGCCCGTTTACTACGTGGCTGAGAGTTTCGAGGACGCCAAAGAAAGAATGATGTGGGTTTAAAGTCACGCGGTGACGTCGCCTATCGTAACGACTTGTTTTATTTTCTAGAAAATATGCTTTGACCATTCCAAAATCGTTTGGGGTGCGATACAACGCCTACACGCAGAGCATAGAGGTACTGGACTCGAAGCCCCAGATCGAGAGGTTGGTCAGCACCATCGGTTCCGAGATGACGATACTGATAAATTCCTTGAAGAAGCTTTGACGCCATGTGGTTTACGTTTAATTATTTATATATTATAATCTATAAGTAATAAAATTAATGAAATTAACGAGTTTTTGTTTTAACGTCGCACCTTTGGCACAAGTGATCGAAATATGATTGTCACAAAAAAAATTAAAGTGTCTAGTTAGCGAGCAGATGCTCCAATGTTGTAATGAAATGGGTTAGGCGCCCCCTAGTGGACGGTATCAACAATCGCGCAGAGATTTTTCCTAATGGCATTAAAAATCTTCTGTCCATACAGGGTGACACAAGTAGGAAAGCTATAACTTTTAAACGGCTTGAGATAGCGATTTTAAATTTGAACGGGTTAATGTAGGCTGAATGTCCAATTTTTTGACAATATGTAGTCAATGGTTGCACTTTCGGTTTGAGGGGAAACGACAGTAACTTTCGAATTTTAAATAGCACAACCTATATTTTTTTGCATTTTTCGATTCAGGAGGTCGTTCTACGTATGATAGGATGGGTTTTCTCACTTTTTTTGTTTTTTTTTTTTAATATTTCACCCGATCATGTGAAAAATTGTAAATGAAACTTTTCCTTACTTGTCTAATGGCAAATAGCATTTAATTTAATGAACTATCAATTTTTTAGGATAACCCAGTTTTTTCAAATAGCACCCTAGTGGGAACAAAAACTTTTTAAAACCGGTACTTTTTTTGCAACATTTTGATAACCAAAATTTTCAAAATCTCTTAAAAAATAAGCCCACAAGAAGGAAAATACCAGACAAGTACATTTAACAAAATATTACTTAGTTACTTACAAAATATTACTTAGGCGGCTTTGCTTCTATTCGTCATCAAGTCGGCATGATTGAAAATTCTGACAGTTTGTACATTTTTATCTGATTATTGATTCTGTCGTGTTATCGATTCGGATTATCATGGAAAACAATAATCAATTTGCAAATGGAGAAAAACTTCATATGTTTCTGATATACGAGAAATACAGAAAAAACTCTCGACAGGCCCATGCATTGTATGCAGCCCGCTATCCGGGACGTAGCCTTCCTACACATTCTTTCTTTAGAAAGCTGGAACTGAAAATGAGAAATCCATGAAATAATCGACATGATAAGTTTATCATAAGTGAACAAATAGAAATCAATGTTGTGTTAATTCAAATAAATACAAAACCCCAGTTCCAAAATAAATGAATGTGATGTTTTGTGTCAATGTAAAACCTGTCTTATAGCAACACACGTTGATGTACCACTTTCAAGATTTTCAAACTATTGTGTTGAATTTTCTCAAAAAGTGACAGATTCGAAAAGAAAAAAAAATAATTTCTTGTTCTTTTGAGTTTCAGTAAAAAGTGGTATACATACAAAAAAGGTACGTATACATACAATACTTACGTCAGTTTTTGACTGTATCGCCGTATTTCAAAAATATATCAACCTTGTTACCATAAAAAACACTTTCCCACTATCTTGTGTCACCCGCTATATTAAATGATGATGTCTATGATATTTCGTGCATATACTTCTAAATTTTACAAACTAACCTTCACTTTTCGCCATTTTTAATTACTTCACCCGGTTTATTCAAAATGGTATTCGTTGTTTTATCAAAATGTTATTTCACCCTGATGCCTAAAGCCGGCTACACACGATCCTGTAGGCCTGTCAGTTCGAAGTGAAAACCGGTCGCCTGATGGACTGACCACCCTCCACGCGTTCAGGAGAATATGAAATATCAGTCTCAATTATCCGGCTTAATCGACCGCGACACCTGTCAAACTGTCAAAAATCAGGATTTAAACAAATATAATATAGAATGACTTGGGAGTAATATTCAACTCGAAATGATACTTTGTTCCTCACAAGTCCCAAAAAGCTATCGTCCGTTGCACCAGGCGTTTTAAAAATACAGAAGTGATAAAAACATTATATAGCTCATATGTCAGGTCTAAGTTGGAATATGCATTAGTAGTTTCCTGGGCGCAACTGTCATATTTATAGCCTACAAATAAATCAGCGCAAGTTTTTCAAGTATGTATGGTATAAGTCGGATCGATTCGAGTATAACCCCTCGACATGATTACCATTATTTAATGTCTTTGTTTAAAATTTCAAATAACTTGTTTGATTGCTGCGGTACCTACTACACAGACTAAATTTTCTGGCACCTCGTATTAATTCTAGACATAGTCACACATTCTTTCTGCCCACACCAAGAAAATTTTCAGGCATTTTCTCAATGTGCTTCAAGTACTCTATTACTAAGGTAAAAACGTTAACAACAATTATCAATTTCAGTCTTTTCGAATTCTCGAAATAATGTACTCAATTATACAGGGTGTTTTATAAAAACTTGCCAATACAAGAAATGATACGATTTGATATGATAAACATATTAAGGGAGATGGTACTTTTGCGCGTATTTAATCAACGAGCGAAAACAAACAGCGGCGCAAAAAAATTGTTCTATTACGACACGATATATTAACAAATTACAACACAACGGTTATTTGTTCAGGTAACATTTAACGAATTCGTTTAGTTAAAACGCAAGATTCGACATTTTCGGATAATATAACCTCCGACACCCGGCGCCAATGAAACGAGGGAATTTTTATATAATCTACTTAATAATTTTAACAGAATTTCTACAGATGATATTTTTATAGAATATGTAACAGCTAGAGCAACGCTAGTTTTTGTTATCATATAAAAATATAAATGTATAAATGCATATAAAATACAGCGTCGCAGTTTTTTTGTGGTTTGCGTAGATTAGATAAAACTATTCTCCCCCATCCGAAAATGAATGTCGGGCTTCGGTTCGAACTTACTATTACCTACGATTTAATTAACTATACAAATAGTTCGGACGAAAGGACTTACGGATGATTTCGAATTATATCGTGCAGAACTAATCATGTACGCGACGTAGCACCTACTAAACGAGTTCATTCGACCTAACATAACTTATAATGTAACGAGGTTCCTTCCTACCGGCTGGATTTGTTTTTAATAGAGATCATTACTCGCTTCGTTGTACATTTCATTCTAAAGAAACTATTTGGTTATAGTAGTGTTCATTTTAGCAGTGTTCTAATGAATACGGGACATTTTATACGCAGAATATTTATCTCAATGGTGTGAAAGCAGATGTTTTAAAATGTCCCCAATGTCAATTTTTGACAATTCGACAGTTGACATTGTTTGCACATTCGCTTCGTAATTTTTAAAACTGCCACTGAAGCGAATAATAATTGCATATATTTCACACTAGCTGCTTTGATTAATTTAATTTGCTAAAGTCTTTGCGTGTTTATCGAAACAAAACCAATGTTTCTATTTATAGTTACTTTTGTTACTTGTTATTGACATATCTACCGACAACCACCCAAACGACTGACGCCCGATCTACATCAGAAACTTCGAACTAATACAAATGCGCAAAATATTACGAAACATAAGCTAGCCTAAAACTGTTTCATTCTTTATTTCTTTCTTGTTGAATTTGCGTTAATTTCGAATGATAAATGAGTTTGCCTTCAGAAATATTTAAAATTTTACCATGGCAACCTTAACATCGATTGTTTTAATATATGAGCGGTAAAACTAGGGCGGGTCCGCGATTTCTCCTTAGGAACAAACCTTATCTTGCGTGAACATAGACTACAAAAAATAGCGCCAAGACAATGTCAATCATGTAGCTATTAGATAATATAGGGGCCGCCAATATTGTGAAACAGGTGCGCATCGGACATCCAAGTAAAAAACTGTCGAATTGATAAACTGTCAGCTGACATGTTGACTGTTGCATGTCGCAACATTTTATTGGTTCCGGTATTATCGGCATGGCCAGGGCCTCTATATAATTAGTGGATATATGCTCTCAGACCGCAACTAACCCAACTTTAAATCGGTAACCGAAACAGTCGCCTATAAATATCACAATACTTTTTGTAACTCGCGTATTATCTCAATCTTTCCATATAAATAAATAAATAAATCGGACTCCTTTCGTAGCTCTACTTATTTTGAGTATTCGAGTCTGGGCTACTATACATCACAGTCTGATGCGTCTGCATCGGTTCCGAAACAGGTACGATAACGGAAGGACCACCCGCCACCGGTAAGGTGGTGGTCGTGGTACTGCTCACTGTCCCCGTGTTGTTTAATTGATAAGACGACGCCTGCTGGTGCTGCTGCTGTTGACCCGCCTGAGGAAGCAGGCCCAGCTTGGCCATCAGCAGCTGCTCGGACACCCGTTTGAGCTCCTGCTGCTGTTGACCTATCATCGCTTGCAGCTCGGCTTGCTTCCTCTGCAAGTCGGCTTGCAGCTGATTTTGAGGCGGCACCATCGGCTCCATCGGCAACAAAGGTGACATCGTCACCTGAGGCGAATAACCCGCTACCATCGGTTGATCGGGCAAAACGTATTGGGGCGGCGGCTCGAGGAACTGCGGCGACGACGACGGTTGCCGGTGGACGTACTGCTGCTGCTGTTGCTGCTGCTGATACTGAACCGCCGAAGAATATTTGCCTTGTCGCACCCTCGACTTTTGCGTGACGGAAGACGGACGACTGTGACACGAGTGCTTCGAACCAGGCGAGTCGGCTGACGTGGACGTGCAGTCGGACAGGTGACGACTTTTGGTCGTTCTGCCTCCTATCCACGATTCGGAGCTGGTGCCGTCGTTGTCGACAACTGGAGGTGATCGGTCCCTGGACCTGGAGCTACGTGGGCGACACGTGACGTCGACGTAGCTGAAACCGGCGAACGTATTATAGTCAGCGGTCCGAGTGTAGACTCGAGAGCGCCCTAAATTCGTCAGAAAACCAAATATGACGTTTCATGTACATGTAAGATGACATTATCCGTCGCATCATGTCATATTAATGTCATGTCGTCAGCAACACATACTTGACGACCCTGTGCGTGCACACAACAAACTCGGGCTTCGAGTTCCACTGATGGTACGTGATGTAGAACTTGGTCTGTAACCATATCCACTGCTGGCCCTTGGTGAGGAACCTGTAGTGGCACGAGGTGCCCTCGCCTTTCTGCATGATCTCTTCGTGGCAGCTGATGACTTTGTCCAGGTCGTCGATGTGGTAGTACTCGTAGCCTGACGTGCCGAGCAGCTCGAACGGCAAATAACTATAAAAATGATGGGAGCGGAATGAGTGGCGGAATGTAGAAGTCTTGTCGAAAGTTTACCAGACATTGATAACGATTTTCGAGGCCATAGACCGTAGTCCTATGACTGATGACTGACTCGGATGACTGATTCTCATACTGGCGACATATGAAGAACTGAGTCGCCGGTTAAGATTGTTAGGTTGTTTATAGATTTCTATAGACTCTAGGATTTTTCTTTGGTAAAAGAATTGATTACATGCAAGAATTTTAGTTTTACCGATTAAAATTTTATGTCCGGTTTCGTGATTGCTGTGAAATGCTAAAACCGAAGATGTTGAGAGATTTTTGGACAAGCGGTAAATCTAGTTTTAACGTTATACTTCTTTAGAACTTTTGATATGTGGTCAGTGATGTTTTGAATGTAAGGAAGGACCACAGTCGGAAGTGTACGATTCCGATTGCTTTCGGCTTTATTGCTATTGAAAGGTTGTGGTGAAGCGTATTTTGTGATGGAACGCTTAATATCTTTAATATGGAAATTATTATAGAGAAGAGCAGAGGTCAGGTGTTTTAATTCTCGGTTCAGTGACTCGGGCTGAGATAACATTACAGCTCTATAACCAAGCGAGTCGATAATCGATGATTTTTTCTCGGATGGTGACGTGACCATGCATTAAGTTATCGGTCTCTGCGTAGGTTTTCTGTAAACACCATCCAGAAGTTTTGTAAAAAGTATGTGCTTGCTGTTGGTGGCATCAGACCCATCGAAATAATAATTCAAAGAAATCTCCAAATTTAACAATTTGTGAAAGGTGGTGAAAGATATTAGGCTACTATTGAAGGATACCTTCAATACTTAGCGGGCGGATGGTGAACATGAACTTGACCTCGCCGTCGAGCTGAGTCAAAAAATGCCGTCAGCAGAAAATTGTACATTCACATGTGGCATTAGATATCAATGTCACGCTTATTACAAGATAAAATTTTAATCATTCTCAAACTGTCAAAATAATTTATAGCATTCATAGTAAAACAACGGAACAAATAGCCCTGGTTACTCCATAAACTTTGCAAATGATCTAAAACTTTAAGGGAAAGGACAAATTTTTAAGGTAAATAAATAACCTTGACCTTGGTTTTCAGAACCGTATTTGCACGAGTTTACGTTTGGCGTTTTCTAACTGACTATGCCGACTTTTCTGTATTAATTTTCCATCCAAAAAATTAACAGTGCTTATATATTGCCTTATAATGATCTTGTCTTCCAAGTTCATTTGTATAATACGGAAGAAATATAAGGCCCCTCTACTTATCAAGGATTTTACTTCGCATATAACGTTAATAGGTTAATTTCGCGATACGAACCCAATTATCGGCGGTGCCCTGTGATCGAGAAACAGGAATTTCCACTCGAGGCTGTGTCTGGACGTGAACTCTATCTGATTCGAGTCGACCAGCGGCATTTCCTTGATCAGCTGCGGAGTTTGGAGTCTACCGGTGCCGACGAAGAGGAGTCTGGGAGGACATAAAGGTGCAAAGGTTTAAAGTAGGGGGAGGAGAGGGCGGGCGAGTTTTACCCACCTTGCGTCCACATCACCGGGGTAACCCCGATAGCGGTTCTCATCACGTTTGACATCCTCATCGGACCCTTGAAAAAAGTAGTATTACGCCAGTTTGAGTCAGTATAAGCTCTTTGAACGGGGCACCCTGGACCGTTGAAATGGAACTATTGATTAACGGTTAAGAACCTTCGTGAATTAATTGTTAGGTAATGGGAAGCAATGAAATTTTTTCATTCAGAATTTGATATTAGCGCGTAACTACGGACTACAGAAATTAGGTTTTTTGTTAATCTCGAAACTATTACTGGAACAGCTATTATCTTGATTCGGGTTTAAAGGCCGTCGTCGATTGGAATTACTTCCTAACGTTTCGCTAGCACGAGTGGCGAGCTTCTTCAGAGGTCCTTCCATCTCCGATGTTGGACGTAGACTGAGTCTAGTTGTGAGGATACATTTTGTATGATAGAGGAGTATATTATAGCGTTTTTAAATCTTTCTTAATCAGTCTGTTTTAGTGGGGTTTATGATAATTTAAAGCTATCTGAAAAATGTCATGTCAAAATATAACAACATTAATACTTATATCACTTAGTTAACTTAAGTTGTGCAAACGATAGGAGTGTTGTTACTATAACTGGATTAATTTACATAGAACGACATACTTTTTAATTTATTTGAAGATCGTACGAAGAACGGTCAATTTTCCGTTGCCCAAATATTTTTTGACACGTCGAAGGCTTGTAAAAATTAAAAAATGAATTAATCGAGTGCTTATTGTTTCAAAAATCTCCTGGCAGGTCAGAATAAAACTTTAGTCTCTTTATGGGATGGCGCTGTAGTTTGCTGATACAAGAAATTTGAGAAAATCTTTACAAAATGTAAATGTAAAATGTAAAACATAATAAAATGTAAAACACTCACGTCGCCTCATTCAAACGATCGCCAAACAACAAAATGGTTGAAGTTTCAGCAAATACCCGTCAAAAGTTGCGTATCCACATTCCCTAGCTTTTATCGACGAGTGCTACCATTTCATGCCATCTTCGTATATTAAGCTAATAAATAAATGGAACGGATAACCGAGCTATGGAATTGATTAAAGAAAAAAGTGGCGTTTCTTCCCACGCGTTACTCGGAAAGAAACAAATTGATGCTGCATAACAAACTAGTCCCGTTTGTCTTATCGACGGCCTAAGGTGCTTCGGCCGGCCGTCGTCTTCGCCGCATACGATAACATTCTACGACCGGAATAACTAACTAATATTATCGCCACTCACTAAAATATCCAACGAAATGCACGAGCTCATAGCAGGCGGACGTGATCGAATCTTGACCGCCTCGCTGCAGGTGGCACGAGAATGACACCGGAGTTTCGTCTTCCGTGGGGTTCATCAGCATGTTGTAGAGGTTCGTCCTTTCTTCAGCGTTCGCGAGATCGTAGATTGACATGTTCAAAATGGCGCCCTAGAACGCAAAATAAATATACGGTGTTTTAACAAAGCGTGCGGCTAAAATAGCTGGGAAAAACATATCTAACCTCAAATTCAAAGAGGTAAATTTTTGTCTATTTAATGATAATCATTCTCAGATAATAAATATATAAATTTAAAAAAATAAATAATAAAAAATATTTGATAAGATTAAGTTTTACTTGGTAAAATAGAGTATCGTCGAGGAATCTCATCTAGTCATAAGAACTCTTGGACAAAGAATCCAGCAAACCTTATAACAAAATAAAAAAAATATTATTTAAAGTTATTCCATGAAATAAAAAATATCAATGAATAAAACCTGCAATAATGACAAATAATACCCGTATTGAAATAGCGTAACGAAAATGTGCCACTGTTTGCTAGTGTACTGTCCATTACTTATGCAGGGTGAGCCAAAAACATATTTATTTTTAATGTACAATCATATTTAAATGTTTAGTTGCTTACTTTAGAATATGTGTCATTACATTAGGTAATTGTAAAGAGACGTAAAACACTTAAAACATTCAACGAAAATATTTTTTTTGACACATTGACATAAATAAGAAAAATAACTCCTTAACTAAACTTGCTTTGAAAACATGGTTACTATTAATAGGTAACATTTAAGATATCATGAGCGTAATACTTAAAAATAATTAAATAATTAATAAAATCTGGTACACCGTTGTGGAGTCTGGTCAAAGAGACACAATAGATCCTCTGGTTCGCAGACAAGCAGATTGATCATAATCCGAACCTAATCTAATCTAAACTGTTTTGTCACAGTATTGCACATACAGTATATCACATTTAAAAAATTATGTTCTTTAAAACAATACAACTCGCTTTTTTCAAAAAATTTAAGGTGAAACAGTTTCAGCCATGCTCTGAAGAAGCCAACAGGATGAAGTTTTGCAAAAAGTATTACAGTAGCCTTTGAAAAAAAAAGCTCTCACAAGCATAATTTACAAACCAGGAACTTGAAAATCTAAAGCAACACTATTGCCATGCCAATTTTATTTATTTATGTTAATCCTGTTTAAATTGTTAACCGTTTCTTTTTGTAACACGATTATTCGTACTTGCAACTTATACAACTTTCTTTAACCCCGAATTAAAATAATATTAATTAGCAGAGTAAATACTTGCAGTTAAATAATACGTTTGAACAATACGAGTAAGTCCCGCTAAGTCATATACCGCGGGAAAAATGACGTAATATCGGAAAAAATCGACTTAACCGTTAATGTAGGTGTGCAAAGTCTCAAGGCGTGCTACCACTCCCGGTAAAACATCACGTGTGCCGATCTTTGCGAAACGGCAATAAAAATAAAATAATAAATTGCAAAAAAATCGAACTCGGTGTTCCGAAGGGCGTCAAGCAGAGGTATTTAACCATGGGAGGGATATGTAATATTTAACATTGAGCAGGGTATCGTATTACTGATACACATTTGCTTGCCTACGGGGCATTCAAAGAAAACGTATTTTGTAACCCTGAACGTAAATTAAATGTAAAAGAAAAAAACAAATAACAAATAATGGATAGATCTAACTTTCACAACTTGTTGGACAGTCGCATCAAACAGTTTAATTAAGAATTTTTTTTGGGAAAGCAATTTATTTGTACGGATTTTGTTTCAAAACAGTGCCACTATTTAAAAAAAAATAATTTATGAAATAATATTTCAATATTTCAAACATTTTCACTCCTACCCTTTTGGATGCAATAAAACTAACAAATTGTACAAAAAAAAAACTGACAACTCTGAAATGATAAATTTTTCATAATAGTTTGATTGGAAGTAAAAGTAATGAAAAAACCTATGACAGATTTTTAAAAAATGATCCAGTTTCCAGCTGTTTCCAATTGGCTTCCAATTTAGCTATTGTTAGTTCTCAATGCATTGACGTTTCTTCTGAGAAATTTAACAAAGTTTTAAAATCACTGCACAAATTAAAAGTTATTGACTATTAATAGTATATTATGCAACAAGTGCGGTATATATATATATATATATATATATATATATATATATATATATATATATATATATATATATATATATATATATATATATATGAAATAATTTTATTTTCACTTTTTCCAATTTTTGTTTGTCACATAAAATCTGTCGTAGCACCGAGTTCGAGTACTCCATCAAACCACATCCAAATATTGAACTACAATAAAATTAGGAACCCAGTTTTGAAGACATGGAATATTTCAGGCAGTGAACGTACTTTTTCGCCCTACTTTGGTTAATTGATATAAATCTGGAATCAAAATTTAGCAAGAAGTCTTGAGATTTTTGCCTAAATCAACTTTACCAACTTCAGCTTACCGGCAAATGACCGAGTAGCGACGTAATGCTTTCCGATACGTAGTAAATCTGACCGGATGTGGAGAAGACTACGATGAAGCCGTCTACAGCTTCCAGAACGAGGTGAGTAAACTCTTCGTTCGCAAGAAAAGTCGGTTTCCAGTCCTCCTGGATCTCGTTGATCCTCGACCTGTTCGTCACCTCTGAAAAACGTGTTTTTCGTGCACAATGGGGACCTTTTAATTAGGAAAATCACCCAAGCTGATACTATCTATTGCGTGAAATACCAAAATATAAATAGTTTGAAATATGCCAAAACGGAATTTATTTATTTTTTGATTACCTCCAATGACTGCCTCTCCTTGTGGGGAAGTCATTATTGACGCTGATGTTTGTTCATTATTAGGAGATTTTTAAATGTTTCCGTAGTTTCCTCGATATTAAAAATATTTTAATTTTCTAAATACGTTTTCATTACAAGTTTTAACAGAAATAAAAGCAGACATTGAAATTTTAAATTTAAAACTTTGTTTTTTCAGCACCGTCGTCAGAACCAAAATCTCAAATATAGACTTGATCTACTGTAGCTAATGTATTTAAACATAAGATTCTCCATAACAACATATATTGTTCCTTTATTTTAAATAAGTTTCCCTTGTATAGTTTGTTTTGGCACGAGTAACTAGTAAAACAAGCTCGTGACTAAAACAGCATTTATCAACCTTGTTTCAGAATATACTATTAATAGCAGAAACTTTGTTAATTTTTATTAAAACGAACACCAACCAACTTTAGACTTAAATTATCTGCCGTTTTAAATCTTGTAAAAATTTTTTTGGTTACTTTACGTGATTCACTTTTGTCATTTTTTTTAGTGATGACTAACAATCGATAAGTAATCAATAAGTTTTATTGTAATCAATAACAAGGGTCTACAGAATTGGACTTTTTGACAGGTGTTTTATTTTGAAAATTGATTTCGTGTAATTTTGGTAGACTGATTTAAAAAATTATATGCATTTATTTGTATCACGTAAGGTTTTTTGTAAATATTAAAATAATTTTTAAAATAATTTATTTTTTATTCAGTAATAAACGAATCCTAGTTAAAAAAAGTGAAAAAAAAACTTTACTCAGACTACAAACAAAATGACGTGATAGAGCAAAAATATGCAGTGTTTTGGAAAAAGGGCCCTCAAAAATATACAAATAAGCAATTAGGTTTCAAAATCACGGTAGACCTGTGTAATTGAACCCTGTAGATTACATGATACAAAATTAAATCAACTCACCGTTGTGGTTCTTCAGGAAGGCGATAGTGGACTTAAGGACGGTCGACTTGTCCATTTTGCGGCCGCTCGACGAGATCATTGAGCTGAGCTCGCTGACCAGCAGGTTGAACTGATCGCGACGCTTTTTCTCGCTTATGTTTCTCGATTTCCTGCGCACAACTTCGTTTTTATTTTGGGGGGCGGTTTTTCTTTTTACCGTGTCCGATTTTTTTTAAATTGCTATATATTCGTATAAATTTTTTCCCTCAAAATTTGTAGAATCGAGAGGATTTGTTTATATAAATTAGAACTCGTAGAAACATCTTAATCACACACACCAAATTAATTTTAGTTTAAACGAGTGCAACTTTTTTCGCAAAGAAAATATTAAAAAAATTCAATTAAACAAATAATTCCTCGTAAAACGTTATAATGGTGTTACGAGTATAATTGAATGTCAACCGATCGATTCAATACAAATGAATAAATATCGTTTGTTATGAAAAATAGTAGTGACGTATCGTTTTCCCTTCCGAAATCTGGTAAAAGCGGCATTTAACGCGTAACGGATCATTTAAAAATAACAAATTATTTGTTCTGTTTCGTTGACCGCAGTAGCGTTCCATTTTTTTTGCGAGGTCAAAAAGGAATGCAGGAATGAGATATAAATAAAACAAAAATTAAAAAAATCGCTTACCTAACATATTTTTTAGTCTTTCTACAGGATGAAAAAATATTTTTAAATTAAACTTAGTTTTTGTTATTTTTTTTTTATTTTTTTATATATGTTATTATTATATTATTATATATTTTATTTATACCGCGTGATATAGCGATATGAAATTTAGGCTATTCAGCTATTAGGTTATATTCAAAATTTTCTAACTGTATTGAATCTTAGTTTGAATGATGCTAACTGGATTTTAAATTACATACCAGATATTTGTTTATATTTTTGGATTCAGTAGGTCATCCTACACACGATAGGACTATTTTTTAAACGTTATTATCAAATTTGTGTTTACGTGCTTCTAATTTTAAATGAAAAACCCTGTTACGATCTTAGTCAAAATCAAAGTTAAAGTAAGAAAGAATAATAAAAATGGTAAAAACGCCACCACCTGGGGAATAATAATCTCCTGAAAAATCAAAACTAAAAATCCTGATTTCAAATCGCTGTCTGGAACCATTGAAAAGGTATATTATGGCGGGTGATACTTTTTTGTGCCCAGTAGAACATGGAATTGCCTAGTCAAAAAATAACTTGGCACTCCCGTACAAAAATATCATGGTCTTCAGTTTATAGGTATTATTATGAAAAGACATGAGAGTAACATTGAAAATTGAAAAATTGAAACTATAATCTGCAAGAAAAGTATAGTATAATCGGTAAAATAGTACATAAAAATTTATTTACGTAATATTAGCTTATAGAGGTTATTGAGCTTATAGAAACGTACAAAATGGCATTTGCAGTTCTCCGCAACAAAAAATGCAAATAATTTGATTTAAAAAGTCAATACACAGCCAGCTATAATTGTGTTTAGTTTATAACAAGAGGGAGCTCATCATTTATTCTTTCGAATTAATAATATCGATAATGATAATGACTGGCTCTCGTCCGAGAGCTTCACGTCAAAATTTAAAACGCAAAAAACTTAATTAAGTACATAATTAAATTGGAATTTGTCGGATACGGTAATTTTAATTATCACTAGTGTTTGAAACCTCGGATAATACAATGGATCGAAATTCCTTAATTTTAATTTGAGATTAGTTTGAAACTAAGCAACCATAACGACGTCGATAATTTTAATTGACTTGTCAAGCAATCGACATTCTATAAACGATAATAACAAATATTACAATAATGATAAATACATGTTACAGTACAGCGACGTCTCCTTTCAAATTTAAAAATTTTAAAAAGTTTTTTTAATTAAAGCAGATTACGATAAGACTTTTTTTCAATTATCTGAAAGTGCGTGAAATCTAAATCTCAGATTCGCTTATCCTACTTTCAACTCCCTACTTTTTAGTTATTTGCGCTAGCTACGAACCGTTTCGAGTCCTTATCGTCGGAATCTTCGTCCATGGTATCCCTGAAACGGTAAACCAAGGTTAAAATACGGGCGACACAGCTGACGAAAAACAAAACACTTTCACTATACCGATCGAAGGACGTACTAGTAAAAAAATCGTAACGGATCTATGACAATATACGTTTTCGATTTTTACCATTTTCCAACGGAGAAAGAAAACCCGTTACAACATTTAAACTTTAATTATGTAATTGCCGTTAGATTAAGATTGTTTGTTGTTATTGCGCGGCGGAGCCAGCGGCGTCATTCTGGTAAGGGCCGGGGCGATTAGTCCCGGAGACACAATTTTTAGAAATTCTATTAATCATAACGAATTCTATTCGCAAAGTTTGTGCACACCCGAGTATATTGTTATCCGTTATTAGCCAATATCCATAAACAGAAACATAAATGAAACTCATACCCACTGACTATCCCAATGTGTACGGATGGTCAAAGAAGAATTAAGTTGACAGTTCGCAGTTATTGTTTATTCGCCATATTTTAAACTCGTCTGACTATTTCTAGTTTGTGGGTGTGCACAAGAAAAATGTGTGATTATGTCCTTAACATTAAAAATGTTATCAAAACTGAAAAGATAAAAAATTTGGTGTTAAAAATACGTGAAAATATTTTTGCAGAAATTGGATCCTGTAAATAAATAAAATTCGAACTGGCTACGGCGGCAACGTTGCCAAATTTTTCAGATGCGCTACGGACGGAGAGGCGCTGCGTACGCCGCTGGCGGTAACCGTAAAATCCCTCGATATGAATAACAAATTTCCAGCCTCACCGTTTAACAGTAAACGACAGATTCTAACCCTGAAACACATTGATCGCATTTCTTTGGCGTCGGAAAACAATAACTTTCGATCGAGCGGTTTTTACCGTTATCCCTGAAAACGAATCGACTTCGCTTTTATCGGACGTGACTCCCATTGTCTTATCAACGAGGAGGTTAAATTCACTTTTCTTCGCCGCACGCGAAAACAATTGGAGGCGTTCAAAAATTTTCATGAAATTAAGATAAAGATATCAATTGAAATTGCAAAATTGTGGTGGCTTTTTAACTTTCTTTTAGTGACCAGTGGCTTGGCTAGTTTTGTCCCAATTTTTTTGATGTCTTAAAATCCTCAACAACACAATAATCATTTGAATTCAAATGAAATAATTTAACCTAACTTAACCTAAACTAACCTAATCAATAAATTGGCCATTTACAGGCAAATAAAGGGTTGTGATTAATTTCAACTAGATAAGAACTTTTGAATGTGGGTTGATTAAACTAAGTTAAACCAATAGCCAACTAATGGTGTTTAAATTTGTTGCTTAGTAGAGGATTGGACTATATTTTGCGGTGTGTGTGCCAAAAATTAATAGATGTGGTCTTGTTGCCTTAATCAAATTTGGATGTATTAACTAATAATGAGCTAATTTTAATTTTAATACTAATCTAATTTTTTGGGCTTTGAATTTCTGATTAGCAATGTCCTTGCTAACAATTAATCGGGAATACCTTGTGGTATTTGTAGATACTCAAAATATTTTTGTTGATATTTGAATTTATAATATTAGCAATATGGTATAGTCTTAGTAGACAAAATAATAGGTATACCGAAATAGTTTTTTCGTATTTGAGCTTATTAAATTCGGGGTTGTACGATTTGCCAATCATGGCAAACGTTATCGCTGAATTATCGCTGTGATTATTTCATCGGACCGAAAGATCCAGTGGCGCGACAAATCACATAACTAAAATGGTTGACATGATTTTATCATTTGTGCTTTACGACGTCAGTTTCGTTTCCCACGAGTTCGAGCCACTTCGGACATTTCCGGGATTTTACCGAACGGGTTTGGGAGCAATCGGATATTTTCGGAGATATTTCCCACGCTTTGAATTTTGACGTTTGTCAATTCTGACGGTCATGTCAGTGAACGTATTCGTGTTTTGCGAAAATGTACCCAAAAAATAAGTGTCGTAGAAAAAGTGTAGTATGCAACACGGTAAACTTTTTAGCTCACTCGTTTATTAAACACGCGCTTCGCTCGTGTCAAGTAAACTCGTGAGTCAAATGTCATTTGACCGCAGTTGTTGCATAAGATACAATTTTATGCTTTTTATATTAAAAAAAAAGTTCATAACTGATACATTGACATACATACATACACATTCGACGTCTTTCAAAAGGGTTTCAACGACCCTTTTACATTTCGTTTCTAAGCGATTTCATCGACAACAATTTTTTTTATGGCATATCTTTCTGCAATCGCTTCTTATTTAAAACAAGAAAATTAGAGATTTGTTTTTTTTTTCAAGAAGATGTGGGTATTCTTCCAGATATTGTTGAGTGTTGCCATTTTCATGAACGAACTTTGCCAGCTGCCGGAAAGTAAATATAACACATTAGATAGCTTAAACCGATTTCCAATTTTAGGGTTTCACATAACGCCTCTAAAATATTTTCCTAGGAAAGCAATACAAAATCTTATGTAGATAATTAATTTTTAATGGATGTTTCCCCGGTTCGCTATTGGTTGATTTGTGGGGTTTGATGAAATCGGAGTATGCTCTCAGTTTTATGAAACAGTATTTTCTTAGCCGTCGAAGCTTTGGAGATATTTATATTCCGTCTTGTGTTTGTATTTATTAATTACCAACTTAACTTATTCAATTGTTTTTCAAGACTCAATGTGCCATTTTTATTGAGGTACAATCTACATTTTAGTACAATTTATCCAATCCAATTTATTAAATCCGTCAGCTTTCAGCATTTGTATGCAAGAAGTACCGAAGTACGGTTCTGGAACGTCATTGTGGAATTGCGAATCTATTTATTCAGGGTTACAAATAGAAACCCAAGCGAGGTAGGCTTGCGGTCAGACCTTCATCAAAATTTACCAAAGTTAAAGACCGGATCATGCTGTCAGAACAGTATATCGTTCGGAGAACTCTACAATGCAATACGGCTAAGAGAATTCAGTTTTACATTTCATTGACGATTGGATTGTTTACGGGGCAGAGGTTTCCTTGCTCGGTTTCTATCAGAACAATTGGTCCTTATTTTAAGGTAACGCCATAATGAAAAATTTTAGTTTTAGTTAGTTTTCAATTTGTAGTGCTGTATGGTTAACCAAGATATATTTTCTGTAATGTATTATTATCACTGTCTGTTGGTTGCGAATAAATATATAAATACAATAAATAAGTTTATGAAATTAAACGTTTTGCGCCGATTTTCACCCACAAATGCGGCAACACATGGCTGGTAATTTCATATGCCGAATTTCTCGCAGTTTGGTAGCACACGCGTTGCAAAATTTACATGAAAAAATCCGCGCAGAACATAGAAGTAGCACTGCATCGGACTTTAGGAAAAAGGACGGACAGAGTGATAACGTCAAACGGCGCGATAAGACGGCCTCGACGAGATGACAACAAAACAACGACGAATCGATCCCGACGCACGCTAGACCGTCCAGGAAACGAAATTTGGCCGGTCCGAAACAAAACTTACTCGTAGCGCCTCGCGCTCTTCTTGATCGACATGTTGCTTTTCGTTTATTTCAGTTTATGCTTGCTCCAGAAAAACGTCATCCCCATTTCCGGTAGTCGCGCACTGCATTACTCCGGTTCACACGCGGCCGGCATCCCCCCGAAAAAAAAAAAAAACGCGAGCACTCACGATTGACCGTGTGTGACGTGATCGTTGACCGCGCGAGATTGACCGGCCAGCCGACCGATAACGACTAATAATAATAATTAGAATGTACACCAGCACCGCAATTGTTTAATTCGCGGCGTCGTTTTCGTAGGGGACAAGGGCGGCGGGGGCGCGCACGCGCCGACCACCCCCTTCCGCGCGCCACCCCGTTAACGCGCCCGCAATCAATTATTATTTCGTAATGTTTATGGATATCGTGACGCACGCGGCACCTCTGGGGCTTCGCGAGGACCTTTCGCGATCTTAAGGGCGGCCCGGCTCGGTCGAACGGATACTTAAGGGCGGCCGGGGTGAGGGTTCCCGTATATTTCTTTCAAAACGCTTATCGTGCAATGGGATGTTTGAAGGGATAAAACAATATGTACTTTGTCTCATAGTCTCTTGGCGTTTGGCAGTTGTCGCAAAAAGCACCAATTTTATACTTCGACCAGAAATATAGTGCTTTTGCAACAGACCCCGTGATTAAACTTATAGAACACCCTTCAGAGCAGACCCGTAACCAGTACCGTCCTAGGGGATATAAGTATATTCTCATTCTTTTTCGCCGATTAATTCTTGAAATATGTACATAAAAAAATTAGTACATTCGATAGAACATTTCTAAATAAAGTATTAGTCACATAAAAAATCGTCACTATCACAGTTAGACCGAATTACGTTTATGGCACTATAACTAGATTTTGGTGCACTGTTATTTCTTCTTATATGCGCTTTCAACTCAGACCAAATCATCTCAATCGAGTTAAATACAATACAATGATACGAATCGTAGTCTATATTAAAATGTTTTATTTTTAATATATTATTATTATATTATATCAAGTAGATAAGAAGAAATTGAAGAATATTTGTTACAGATTGATATTTATTTTAAATGAAAGGCCAAAACAATTTCCTTTCTTTATTCATGTATAGTCTGTCCCAATCTTCATCGCGCTGGCTTTTGTCCGCAATTATGGAAGTTCACTGCCGACGGCAATAAAACTCGGGTCCGGTAAGTGTTAAAGGTCAGAACATTAGGGACGGGCTCTCAAAAGTTTTGGTATAATACGACCGAAAATATAGTGCCTTTATTGCTTTGACGTTTTAAGTATTTTACAGTTCCTTAACCGCAGATCTTGGCAGGACCGTGGTAAAACCCATACCGGCAGATGTTTATTCTGCATTAAGTAGGTCCTTGCCTTAGATCGACCGTAACGAAAATTTGATTAAGCATTGATAAGGCGGGGTGTTTTCGAATAAGTAGAAGCGTTTATTTTAACATCGTACGTATCGTTCTTAACTCTAGAAGAACTGCGTAAAAAAGTACTGACAGACTTAAACATTAGTTGCGCCAAAGAGTCGTTGCGTACTTTTTAAAAGAAAATGGATTTTCAGTTCCAAACAATTAATAAATGTCAAGTGCTAATGGAATCTCAAAGAATTTCGCAACGGAGGGTGGATTATTTAAATGCAATTGAAAAATTTCGAGTGCAAAATAGGCCAATAGTGTATTTAGACCATACAAAACTATAGAAATAATCGACATAAAGACATCATACTTTAAACCAACACCACAATCAATAGGCGTCATAAGAAAGGTGATGCTCGGATGCAACACAAACCTGAGCCACAGGCAAACTCTTAAATATCAGATCTAAAAATCGACGAAACTTATTAGCGATACAGTTAACTTGACCTAAATTATGGTAATTACAACAGGCACACAGCAGATGTGCCGACGTGGCAGACTCTATACTCACCACAAACAAACCACTCCCAGAATTACTCCAAACCGCACTAGGTAAATTGAAGTCGCCAACAATCACAACCTACATATTCAGCCAAGAGGTCTAAAGTTGAGGAAGTAAACTCCTCATACACTGAAGTATGTGATGAGGGAGGCATATATTATTGGAGTGGGCAAATCTCTACTAAGTTGTAAATTAAATGCTGTAAACCGGAATTCTGGTGTTTCATTTGTAAGTAAAATCCACATTAAAAAAAGAATACATCTTTATTTAACGTCATTAATCGTACAACCCTGATGACGGGACCTACCGATTCCACCTGAATAATTCGTTTCTCTGTTTTCGCGCGTATATCGGCAAACGGCTATCATCGAACACTTTGGGTGGTTCGTTGTGGACACGTCCGAACCATGGCGGAGCCGGGACGTACTCCTTCCGGGATGGATTTTTGACTCTAACGTGCCTCCACACGCATTCCAAATCCGACATGACGGAATTCTGCAACAAAGCACGCTTGCGAGAGGAATTATCGTCCGAGCGGGCGTTGGGCGTGTCTAAATTCCGGCGCGCTTATTGGGGCGTTACGTTTCGTCACGAGTGCAACGGTAGGGAGAGGACACTAGCGAATATTCCCCTACTCGTTGATAATTTTTCGTACTTACGGCTTCGCTTTCGGCGTTCGGGCAAACCAAAACCGCTTTGTAGTACTTGCCGTCGCTTCTCCGGTCAGCCACAGTGAACTGGTGCGTACGAGTCGAACTCAGCACCTCAAAGTCGTCGTTTTCTGCAAAAAATCGACTAAAAAACGAAAGGCGTTTGCTTCTACGTACCTCTGACGTCGATCGTGAACCGGCACGAGGCTCTGTTGCCGGCGGCGTCGGTCGCAACGTATGTCACGTGGTGCAGCCCAACGACGAAATAATCGTGAGGTTCCTAAGACAAGTTCGAGGTTTTTATCGACTACGCATTCACGTAAAGTGACGTCAAAACCGCGAAGTTACTAACCCTAGACTTAACCACTTTCACTATCCTATCGTTGTCCTCGAACCAAGGCTCCTTCCAGGATATGCTCTGACCAGATTCGTCCCTGGGCAAGATGACTTCGATGTCCCGCGGACATTCGTGCACTGTTGGGATCTCCTTGTCCTGGATGTCGATGGTGAGCTCGCAAGAAACGACCCGATCCACATATTCCAGTCTGAATTCTACGGTAGTCTTTCCCACAGGAAGAGTGTTTTCCAACGTTTTTGCCCAGAGGGGTCGAGCGGTGACGTATCTGGAAACATACCCAGTAGTCGAATCTTAGCCCATGGCGCCAATAAACATTATATGAGAAAATTGTGCCCCCTAGACATATTTTTAAATCTTAGTTAACAGTAGATCTTGTCTTAGGTCACATAGGTCAGTCCAGGACCCTTATTAAACAGATTTTTCAAACGGTGCACTACAAATTGAGTAAGTAGAATTTACAAAAAGTGTCGACATTTATGTCTTGCCCTATGCCATTGTGACGAATTTTAATATGTACCTACATGAATAGATGGGTAGCTTGCTTACTTTTGTTGTTTATTGTGTGATTAGTATAAAATAATCAAGGACTTGAGCAACTTTTATGTAATAACGAGAAAAAAGTCGTTCCACTACGGTCACACAAAAAAGTTGGTTGATGTCGTCTATGCACGAAGAAAAATGTGCTCGGGAAAGTTGTCGCCGATTTATACCGAGGAGATTTCTTCGATCATACGGTTCTATTTATGGCAGCGGTTTACAGTTCTTGGAAGTCCCTTACTCGCGTCTAATGACGTATATTACTTAACTAGGATAGCTTTCTTCTACCTATTCGTCCTTTGCCCCTTTCTATCGTTCCTTGGAGAATAAAACGCTGGAATGGATAACGTTCTTCGCATATTATGTGTCCCAAATAATATCAATGCCTCCACTCCATATAGCTGAGCGGACTAGACATTACCGTCATGTATTTCCATGCATTGTTGGTCGTGCATCATATTTAAATTTTGCTACATCTTGGATTTCTTCTCCATTTATACGTATTTTAGTGTCAGCAATATTATTTCCACTAGAGGCCATAAACTTCAGGCCAAGTTTTTGACGTGCATTATTAACAATATAGCCAATTGATCAATATTTTGAAAGGTATTTTGGAACGCGCATTTAAGGAATGGAGAATATGGAGAAAATATAGTATATTACCTTAGCACTCAGAACTGTAGATTACTTATTTTTTGTAAACTTGGGTGGAATATGAAGGAAAAGCTAGTGGAACACAAGAACATTTCGCACGGCATTGAGAATAGGCTTCCATTACCATCAATAATGGATAAAATTATAGACATAATATCAGCAGTTGCTATCAATGGTGATAAAAAATATTTCGTATATACTGTTAGCATTAAGTCATTCTTCAAAATTACGTAAAATAATAATTAACATTTCTACAATTCACATTGGAAAGTTATCATTCTCTTGGTTCCTTCCTTTAAAGCACGCCCACATTCTCTATATTATAATAAGGATAATGAAGAACCAATATGCCCAACAGAAAATACAAGAGCCATTGGTAATTGTGGAAAAAATGCAACCAACCAAGTTAATCCAAATTCACTCCACAAGCCAGATAGAAAACAATTGAGAGAGAGGAAATTGGGAGCGAGTATGGTTACTTTCTTGACTTGAATTGTATTGCTGATGTTGTGCGCAAAGCTACGGCAAGGGTTGTTTCAAGAATTTCGAAGCGAATTTCAGAATTTATTCGAATTTATTTATGTTAAATTATTGTCCGTCTGGATGGTTTCAACAGTATTAATTAAGGACTAATGTTCAATTCACAATTTTAAGTTTACTTCAAGATGCAACTTACTTATCAAAATCGACGCTAGTTTCGGGCCTGGGAATTTGCACCAGGATGCTACTACGTCCCGGGGGTAAGACGTAGACCAGTTTGCCGTCGCCTGGGCAACGGATTTTATATTCAGTGTCGCCTGAAAGGGTGTTTTCAATACTGTAAACGACCACTTAAACGCTACTTAAAATAATCAGCATCCCAACTTACGTATACATCTAATATCGTCGTGGTCCCATCGACCGTCCACGCAAACCATGCTCTGACGACCCACTAGCCTGTATTCCTTGTCGCACCTTACCATACACTTAGTCCCCGCGGGAACTAGCTGGTTAACATCTCCGCCGAGGCACTTCACCTCTCCGTGCTCCAGTTTCGGGAGTGAAGCACACGAAGACCGTCTCGTCGACTTGCAGGTTCTGCGATCTTTCTGCAGGACATAACCCCGCTCGCACTCGCACATGAAACCTCCGTCCAAATTTCTGCAGCCCATCTGGCAACATCCGTTTCCCTCGTTACACTCGTCTACGTCTTCGCACTTCTTCTTATCTGACCCCAGACGGTACCCGGAAGGACACGTGCATCGGTACGATCCGGGGGTATTGACGCACCCGTGACTGCAGCCGCCCTTGTACGTCCTGCACTCGTTAATCTCTTTGCAGACGCGCTTGTTGGGCCTCAAAACGTAACCCTGGGGACAACTGCAGACCGGCCGACCTTCAACTTCGTTGCACACGTGCGAACAACCGCCGTTCACGACTTCGCACGACCTCTTTGAGCACGTTTTCTCAACCAACTTGAACCCCTTGGGGCATTCGCACTTAGCTACACCTTCGTCATTGACGCACCCATGGGAACACCCGGCATTATTGACCAAGCACGGGTCTTTCTTGAAGCAAGTCTTGCCGAATAAGAGCTCGTAGTCTGGCGGACACTTGCACACCACATTGCCGCCGATTGCAGTACAAGAGTGCGAGCAACCCCCGTTTTTATAGTCGCAGGGATTGATCGCTACGCAAGATTTGCCACGCGCTTCGTACCCTTCGGGACAGGAGCACACGACACCGTCGAAACTAAGCGTGCACTCGTGAGAACAACCTCCGTTGTTTATCAGGCAGGGGTTAATCTCAAGACATGTGGTGCCGTTGATAAGGTTGTGTCTATCCGGACAAGAGCACACGACTCCTTCGTCGCCGAAGGTGCACTCGTGGGAACAACCGCCGTTATCTATCAGGCAGGGGTTGGACTCCAGGCACCTGGTGCCGTTAACGAGCTCATAGCCGTCCGGACATGAACAGGCAACGCTGTTAGATTTGAAAAAGCACTCGTGGGAACACCCTCCGTTATTCGTCAGGCAGGGGTTGATTTCTAGGCACCTGGTGTCGTTAATAAGCTCATACCCGTCGGGACATGAACATACAACCTCGCCGGAGCTGAAGGAGCACTCGTGAGAACAACCTCCGTTACTCATCAAGCAAGGGTTGATGTCTAGACAGCTTGTGCCGTTAATGAGGTCGTGTCCGTCTGGACATGAACATACGACCCCGTCAGAGCCTAAAATGCACTCATGGGAGCACCCGCCGTTGTTTATGGAACAGGAGGTTTCGACGTCCACGGCGACGCACTCGAAACTACCCGGAGTGTTTCGGCACGTCGTCGCCGTCACCGCGGAGCAGGGATCATCCTCCAGACACTCGTCTACGTCAAAACAATGTCTTTCGTCCACGCCCAAACGAAAACCACCGGGACAAGTGCAGTAGAACGAACCCGGGACGTTGTGGCACGAGTGCGAGCACTCGTTCTCCGCCAGGCACTCGTCCAAGTCCTCGCAACTCCTTTGGTCGTCGCCCAAAACGTAACCCGTTTTGCACGTGCATCTTTCAATGCGGTTGATTTTGGTTGATGCGTGTGAACAGTTGAGACGGGCGACGCAGCGGGTGGTGGAGTCGTCGAGGACAAACCCTGTCGGACAATCGCATTTGAATTCGCCGAGGAGGTTGACACACGCGTGAGAACAGGGCGAAGACAGGCACTCGTCCACATCGACGCACCGCGACGTGTTATCTTTGGCTAATTCGAACCCATTGGGACACGTGCACTGGTATCCGCCAGGAGTGTTTTGGCAAGCGTGCGAGCACCAGACCGCACCTACCGCACACTCGTCTATATCTGTAAAGAAATATGGAAGCGGAGCCAGGGGTTCTCGCATAGCCGGAAGCAAGGTGCTATTAAAATGACGTCATAGAATATAACTGTGAACCTTGACGCCACCCTAATGTCGAATCGATATTTTGTTAGTCCAATAAAAAAGGCTGTTTTTGTAACCTTGTAAGAGACCGACTATGGTAGTCAGCGATATTTAACAAACAATCCTGCCTATGCCTATGCCTATGAGGCAAATATAAAACAAATTTTGCGGTCTATCGGCAAAATTTAAATCGGCATTCAACAACCAACATGGTCTCTGACAGATCGTCAATATGCCTAGATTTCGTTAAATGGTCTGGGAAAACGAGTTATGTGTGGAAATCGCTACTTAGAAAGAAAATGGCGCAAAGTGAGTGAACTGTAGAGGCATGCGCTGAAAATGATTCCCTCCTCTATGAAAATGTAAACGCTGCCTGCGGAGCGTCAATTTTTGCCGTAATAGGGCCAGCAAAGAAGTGAAAGCCACTTTGCAACTCAATAATTTTGATTTTCAATTATTTTATTATAAAATTACTTTAGTTTCTTTTAATAAAAATATACAAAAATACAATTTGTGTGTGTTCAATCATGAATTTCGAAGAAACTTATAGTAGATATTTGGATGCGGTTTCTACTGGGTGGCTGGAACCATGGGTAGTTGAGAGTACAAAAACTCATGAAGCAACTATGTCAACAAATTTTGAGAAGGTTCATTCAACGTGCGCATGTGCGAGATTTAAAATTTCGTTTTTAAGCAATGGCAGCTCTAATGACAAATTATGACGTGGGACCCATAAGATCTTGCGGCTTTCAACAAACAACATGGCGGCTAACAGATCGTCGGTGTTTGGATGCGGCATCTTTGCGGCAGTATTTTCTCAAAATATATCGGAATAATATTAAATTTTCAGGCAAAAAAAAGTGTAGGGCGTCGTATCGTTGGCGTTCTAAGTTGTCCTAGTCAAGAGTTACAAAGAAGACGTATTTTCAAATTTCAATTTGAAAATAGCACACGAGGAAGATTCTGTTTCCAGTGAGACACCTAACCTACCTACTGCTGGAACTCACTGAGATGTTCATCTAGCGAAAGCGACTGCTGATTAAAAATAACATGGTTTTCCATTGCAAAATTCAATTGACTCTTCTTAATGAAAAATCAGTTTAATATTCAGAATTGTTGGGTGAATGTGAATAGTCAGTAAATTACGAGCATTCGTTTTTTTATATTTAGAAAGAAGTCACCAATGTAAAAAGATTTCGATCTTATGATCTAACGGAACACATACATCGGTCAAATTTAGCGCTAGTTGTCGATACAACAGCGGTATGAGTGCACGTGCTTCATCAAATCTATTCGGGTCCATAATAATTGTAACAAGAACAACTTACCAATGCATTCGTTGTGCCCGTTCATTTGGTACCCAGCATCGCACACCTCGACCGTCAGTGTGGGTTCCACGATAACGTCGTATTCTTCGCTATAATCGTCGTCAGATGGCGCCACGGTCGACCCAAATCCGTCCACTTTGTCCTCCAGAATGGCGGTACTTGTCGTCGAGTCCGAAGTGATGTTTTCGATTGAAGTCGTGCTTACTTCGGTAAAGAGCGTTTGGTCCTGCTCTGTCGCAGTCGAATCCGTAGTCAATGTTGCCACTTCAGCCGTTGTCGTCTCCAAATCTTCTGATATTTCGCCTGAATCTTCGTCATAATCGTCGTACTCTTTCTTCAAAACCTCCTCGTGGACGACGTCGTCTTCGCCTGGCGGACTTGTACTGGCATTGTCGCTACCTGCAGCGGCATGTGCCTTGATACGCCCTCCATTTTCGTCTTCGTCGTATTCAACTACGGTTTCTTGCTGGTCTTCTCGTTCTTTTGGTTTGGTTTCGTCTCCTTCTCTGGTGGAATTCTTGTTCGCATGCACAACGTCCTCGATGACGTACTCCTTCGGATCGAGTTCTGTTTCTTCTGTTACGGCGTATTCGTCGCCCTCGCTGTCGTCGCCTTCCTTATAGTCCCGACCTCCCTCGTAGTCTTCGTCGTAGTATTCTTCATCGTATTCATCGGCGATTAAATGTTCGGTATGCGTCATGGATGTCACAGATACTGCGAAAACATTCTTTCGTTCGAATTCAGAAACGAGACAGTAGGTGGAAAGTGGGACGCAGTTGTTGTTTTCGATCGTTATGCACCAAAAAGTATTCGCACCATGCAATTTGTTGCAATACGCTTACGCATAAGCAGACTAAGCGTTTCCACGATTCTGTCTAAAACTCGAGTATACAGGGTGTGGATAAAATTCGACCTTCCAGTTCTATTTTAGACAAAGTAAGAATGATAGAAAGTTCCGGTTCTATCTCGTCAACAATTATTTTTAAATATAAAAAATATGTGAAAAATACTGTGAAAATCTGAACTTTTAGTTCTTATTTATTTTGTTAAATGGATTTTCATCAAATAAAAGCCACCTTAATTCAATATTTGAAAAAAAAGAACTCAGTATCTTTGGAAAAATCAATATGGGATAAATTGTACATATTCAGGTTAAGAACTCAAATCAAACAACGAGAAGTTCCTATTCCCCCGTTATACATAAGAGAAGGATAACAACACTCATTACTTCATTTTGACGCCCTTGCCATTGCAGTTTACGAGTTTCAGTATCCTTTGGAAAGATATCGCATCACATAGTATAAGATTTATGGTTTTTATTTCTCATGTTGTTTACCTGCGCAGCATAAACTATGCTATGCTATCGCCGCTTTCGAAAAATTTTAATTCGACAAGCTCTTTACTTTTAACAGCGATTGATTCAAATTAAAAAGTGCTAAACGATGGCGCAAAAGTATTTTGAATAAACTTGACATTTCGATGTCACTAATTTTTTTTTATAACGAAAACGGATTTAATAAAACAACTCTGGCGCATAGACCAGGGATTTTTGCACGACTGGCTGAAAGTCAAACATCGGCAAATAAATGTCGAACTTATAGCTAGTCAAAATCTTGGTTGTCATTTTATCTATCGAAAAATTTTCGCCGTGTAAAGAGAAACTTTGAGCAGTAATTTCCATTGACGATAGCCAATAAAAAATAAAACCATAAAGTCGTATTGACGTTCCCACGAATCATCGCGATTAGCGTGTCATAGGGATTGTTTGCTTTTGAAATTAATATGCCGCCTCGGCAATGTGTTTTTTAAATCAACCGCGCATCTGCGCGATTTCTTCGTACGCCTTTTTCGACAGAAAGAAAATCATATGAAAACTTACGTGTGGACGAAACTAGGGCCACCAAAGTGACCGTCGCAAGACCAAAAGCAAACCGCATCTTCTTTTAGAATATCGCACTCACATCGAACGCGCGAATTTTAAAGAAAGAAGTAAGAATAATCGGTCGCGTTTCGTTCGACGTTCGGCAAATAAGTAAAAATTATTATTCTTCAGCCGCGGGCATCCGTTGGATCGGTGAGATGTGGGAGGCTGGATATTGCTCTGATGGTGAAAACAGACTACCGTTTTAAACAAACTTATGTACAGGGTGTATACGTGCATTGTAGCCGTGCTTTCTAAACTGCTTTTAAAATGAACAGCAAATACCGCTGTTTTCAAGATTGGGAGAAAAAGAATTATCAAATTGTATTTATACCGGTAACCGGTAACAATTGCAACATCGAGTATAGACGCAAATATGTTTTCTTAATATTTTGGTTCGTAGTTGAGTTTAGCATTAAACAAAGACATTTTTCAATGGATTTATTGGAACAAATTATTAAAAATTCAATAGTGAGTTGCACCTTCACGTCGGTTTTGAGATTCTGTAACTCTGTGGATGGTTTTCCCACAATAATCTTACTTCATGGCATATACTTTGTACATCCATGTTTGTTCTATTCCATTGTTTCTTCAGAGCAGTCGCACGACGTAATAATTATTGGGAATAAGAAAAGACAAAAACTTGACTGTTTTTTAAAAATTACTTGTTTATGGTGGGGCAGTAATAAACATTTGGTTAAGGAATGCTACATGCAATAACTCTTATTTTTAAACAATATATTAAACACTTAAAACATAGAAATTAAACACACAGTTTATCACAACTCGGCCACCGCTAGCGTTAACGATGAAATGATGGGGTCCAATTCCTTTTCCAGAGCCAGGATATGTCCTGTGTTGCAATGTTCGCTCGCTATGAATGTCACAATGACCGGTAACTTGTTCATTTGGACGATCTGGTACTGCGAATACAAACAGATCAAATTGTTAGTCTTGCCTAATCCCAGTTTGCTCCCTTGATCAATGGCAAGACAAAAAGTAGATATGAAACTGGGTCGCAGTGCATGTTCCGGCAATTTTTCAGAGTTTATTTTTAGCAAAGGCACCCCATCTCGGTCAGTGAAAAATATACCGTAGAGGCCGTTTACTTGTGCAAGCAATTCTTGCAAATTCCTCTTCACCTCTTCTACCATTGTGTTAAACTTTGAAAACTTTGTTTACAGACAGACCTAGACTTATAAAATTCTTAGGTTATAATAAGCATAGATATCGGTCGGTCAGTCACTAACAGCCGTATCACAGAATAGACAAATTATTTTTTTCAATCACCATTCTTTTACAATAAAATGATTATAATAATATTAATAATAAATAATAATATCTCTCTCCAAAGGTACTTTCACTATCAAATTCAAAACTTACAAAACAATAGCTGAATAGTGAATAGGACCGAATACGCGTTGCCAACCGTACACTCTTTCTAAGCTCCAATAATTATGTTTACAGCTTCTTTTAAGTGTTGCTTTGGATTTTTAACCATTTGATTGGCTAGATAATTTATCTAGCCTTAAAATATTAATTTCAAATAAGAATGAAACCTTAATCTCGGTCATGAAATAAAGTTAGGCAGCCTGCAAGGATGGGCGTATTTTTTTTCGATCTATGACCCCTTGCTCGATTATTTTTATAAATGTATCATCGCCGGGACGTTTTAAAGACCACATCATCCTAAGCAGTTTGCATTTTTCCACTATCGTTTTCGATCGATTAAAACTCAACAGAATGAGTCTACAGTGGACCCTAATAGCAGGTTTTTTGTATACTGAAATTGCGGTAGTGCTTCTTTTGGTGCTTCCCGTCGCCAGCCCGAAAAGATGGAACTCTATTTTTAAATCGAGATTTTTGCAAAGCCTGCAACGCCAAGCGGGCATATACTTTCTCATTCTACTGGCCATACTAGTATTGTTCCTGCTAGACGCAATTAGAGAGATGAACAAGTACTCCAACACTGGTAAGTACTTATGCCGTGCGGGAAAAGAATGCTAAATTCATTAGCACCTTACAGAATCGGAAGAACATGGTCATGCACACTTGGACAAGGAAATGCAGGGTAGCATGAGGCTGTTCAGGGCTCAGAGAAACTTCTACATCTCCGGTTTCTCCCTGTTCTTATCATTGGTCATCAGGCGGCTCGTTATTTTAATTTCGTCGCAAGCCGCTTTACTGGCACAGTCTGAGGCTTCTATGAGACAGGCACAGAGTGCTACAACAGCAGCCAAAAGCCTGCTGTTGGCCAAACAGGGTGAAAGTGAGCAGAATGATACCAATGAAGCTCATGACAAAGAAGTATCTGAGCTGAAGAAGCAAATCTCCCAGCTCAAGGAAGAGTTGACGCTAGAGAAGAAGGACAAGCAAGCTGTTAAAACCCAAGCAGATAATTTGGCCAAGGAATATGATCGTTTAGCAGAGGAAAACAGCAAATTACAGAAAAAAGTCACACTCTCAGGTGGTGACAAAAAAGATGACTAGGGCAATGGTCAGTAATTTTTGTTTGTTGGATAAGTATTCAATTTAAAATTTTGTGGTTATGGAAAGTGCAGTAATTATCATCCCTCCATTGCAGTTTTTGTAATCATTTATTTAACCTTTAGTTTAACTGTCATTTCATTTAATAAAGTTTTTTATTATTGTTTTGCTATTATATAATTATGACCACCAGAAGCTCACTGAGAAGCTTTTTTCCAAAGAGGTGACATGATGCCACCATTTAGTGGGAATATATATCATATCTCCAGGTCCTAAGATGCACTTATGGGGTTTCGCTTGACGAAACTTAGGAAACTTTGTAAGGTCAGGGTTTAAAGGGTCAACTTGGGAAGTATTGGATAACATAGTTTCCTCATGGGGATACAAATGGTTAGTATCCATTGGGGAAAATAGAATTATCCTTTTAAAGCCGAAGACCTGAAAAAAACTTTATGTTTAGCACAGTCTGTTGGATTAAATTTTGGTTTAAAGTACCTGCGCCAAAATGTTATTTTTTGGATCTTGATGCAAAGGCGAAACTGTACCCTTAGGCCCAAACCATGCATTTATATCCACTTCTGACTCATCATCATAATTTAAACTGCAACAACAATACTCTGGAATACAAATATCTTTCTTCAACTCCATCACCTGGTCAAATAAATTATGCTGTGCTAAATAGCCAATTTGACCAGTCTCGGACAAGTAAAACTTCTTAATGTACTCATTCACAGTCATCAGCTTTTGCGACCAATTTTGATCCATATAATTCGATCCTATTTCCACTGGTACTGTTCTTTCACCTGCGACCCTCAACAAGTAACCTAAGTCCTGCCATTTTGTGAGAGCAGGCCAGTGGCTCATACAATCTGCAAATGATTGCAATTTTCGCCAAAATGTCTTTGTTGACCTTGTTACTTACTTTTTAAGATGCCAGGAACTTGTGGCAAAAAGTAGTAGTTGTTAAACGCCTCTATTGACGGTACTTCGACTTCTGGCACCGAACTACCAGGCAGATCAAGAAGGGTCAATTTATAATCTTCATCGTTACACTTTCGCTTTATTGAAGGACGCACAATAGTTTGGTCTACATCCACCTTATTTATTTCTAATCTCAACAATTCTGCACATCTTGTTAAGTTTTCTGAGGGAGCTCCCAGCAGTAGCCCCAAATCTAAGCATTTTAAACCTTCCCTCAACGCCTCTTTCCAGGACTTCTTGTAATGTCGAATTACGATAAGAGCCTTGACAAAACTAGCATTGCTGAAACCTTGCCTGGTGTTTAGAGGAACTTCAGACCAGTGGCCGGTATTTAATGTATCGTGCAAGTAATCCAAAACACTGTCTATTTTCAACAACAGTGCTTCATCTTGGATATCTCGAACCATGGAATCCAGACATTCTTTGAAAGTGTCTACTACAACTTTGTTACAATTGCTTAAAATACAAGACTCGTACGGAATTTGGAATATTTGGAGAAGTTTTTGAGCTACATCATTCTCGGTTCCCATTTTTAGGTTAATTGGTATTGGGAATATTGGGTAATCCGACACACGAATATTCCTAATATTTTATTAGGTGGTATACTAAAAGCGCCAAATATTTTTTTGTTGATAAATGTATTATTTTTTAAAGCAGCGTGGACGACAATGGGATCTCCATAAATTGTCCCAATGATCGTCGCACATTGGCCCAAAAAGATAATAAAAAAAAAGTCTTAAAACAAACCAAAACTATTCTTCGTATTCTATTTTCCGATTTTCCATGGAGAATGGAAGATTTTTTTATAACTTAATACATGAGAAATGAAGAAATCGGAGTACCACCCTCCGGGTAAAACTTTAAAAGAATGGGCGCCCTTAACAGAACTCTTTAATTTATTGCCGACAAAAACAAATGGGATTTTTTCTAAGGATATAACTCTGACAAGTATTGATGTTCTTCCAGAATTTTTAGCATTGGGAACAAATGTTGGAATCGTTTACTGGTTTGATAGGAACTTAAAAAAGCTACAGAAATTATACTGCGAGGTGAGCTTTTTTTTATACTTGTGAAATACCAAAATTAAATTTCCTAAACTCTTTAAGGATTTGAATCCCTGTATAACGTGTGTTAAAATTATATCAACTGTGGATTATATGGTGGCGTGTGGCAACGAATCAGGTGCCGTAACTATATTTCAAGTACCCCAATCTCACCCGAAGTCATTGCCCGAGAGTTTAAAACCTAAGGACAAACAAATTGAAAGGTACACAGTGTGTGATCTACATAAATCTCGACTAACAGCCCTTGAATGGTCGAAAAACGGAATGAAATTGTTTTCGGGCGACGACAACGGCCTTATCGTATTGACCGAAATCGATTTTTACATGGTGGGCTTGCCTTGATCTCATAAAATCTTAAACAAAACAATATCTTTCCCTTTTAGCATGTTTGCAAGTCGAGTGAAATTCTGAATGAGACATATAAAATTGTGCAGTTGAGTTACTGCCAGCAGAGATTGTTAATATCAACAACATTCCGTAGCATACTGTGCCATAAATCAGACAAATGGGTTGTGACACAAGTTGGTAAAAGAGATAGGAAAACGTGAGACACACCCACTTGCAAACTACAAGGGAACCAAGTAACTATTTTTAGGTTAGGTGAGTTTGGTGGTGTGATGCATCGTTATGGGTACAAGCCCACAGATATTAATGTGTATTGCATCAGGCCTGGTTTGCGAGTATGGGTATCTGACTTCGACGGCAACGTTCAGAAAACCTTGCTCTTCAAGGTGAGTTAAACCAATACCCAAAGGAGACCTGACAAGTCCTAACCAATAGTTCTGACACGGCACAACAGTTATTGTTATGCACCAATAACACATTCACATTTTAAACGCACCCGTTGTTGTTTGTAATTAATCTTAGAAAAGCAGTGGGTATTAGTTTAGTTAAAAATCTGTATTGTGGACTTGGTACTTAATAACTCGCTTAATAGTTATATAGTTTACAAAACATATATGTTACCTTACGCTTCTTAATCTACTGTGGGATCACTCTATTACATCATAATTTGATATCTAGTGCCTTGTTCTGTTTTTTCCGCGTTTTACATTTATTTCTGTTTTTTTTTTTTTTTTTCATTAAAAATAATGTAGAGCTTTATAATGCAATTAAAATTGAAACTAGGAGTGCTGGAAGATTATGTCTTAGTTGAGAATAATGGTAGTTCTTATTTGATATTGAAAATATAATGTTGAATTTAGTTTTTTTGGGATTTTAAAAAATCATAATATGTAGTCTATACCAGGCAAGTTAACAGTAATAATTTAAATATCAAGTTACCAATTCAACAAAAGAAACAAAATGTTCACACATTTCTGTCTCCTCCACATTGTAAAACTTAATTCCTGATGAATGAATTTAGCCTGTGTTTTTAGGCATTTTATGTGGGACTTGTCTGTTACCTTTTGATTGGCGATTAGCCAAACCCTTCTGTATTGAGCGTGTATTTTCAGGACCCACTCACGAAAGAGTGGCCGACGGTCGAGTTACTCAATCCGTCGAGATCGAAGCCACATATCGAACCTTCCTTTGGCAAAGTCGCCGTGTTTTGCGGTAGATTTTTGGTCACGTATGGCGCCGACGTCATTTATATTTTGGATCCCGAGAAAATGACGTTAATCTCTACCGTGAGTCGGTTAAGGGGGGCGCTGGACGTGGCCGTAAGTGAAGACGAGATCTTTATCCTCGAAGGCGACCGCAGTCTGATCAGAGTTTCGTTCCGACCAGATGGCGGCGCAGATGAGCGCACGTTTGGCGCCCCTCAGTCGAAAGAGGTGATTAGAGCAGAGGAGGCGGTCGAAAGCCAAAGCGTATCCAATAAATTCGACGGTATCGGAAGCAAAGAATTCGAGGACGCGATTCGATTTAAACGCGTTAAAAAAGTCAAAGCGGTAACAAAAGATGTAATGAGTGATAGCGCGACGAGCTTAAGCTCAGACGAAAGGGATGCAAGCTATGTGACGCCCACTATTATGAATTTGAGTACAGTTGGCGTGTTGCCCGATCTGAGAAGCCCCGAGTCGATCATCAATGATATTGAATACAAGGAGAAAATCCTGTCGGATATTTTAAATTTGGATAAGATCAGTCTGCCGACCAATCCACCCGAGAGAAAGGATGAAGTGTCAGAGGCGTCTAACGTTTTAGAAACCAAAACTCCAGAGGTGACACGAAGCGTCGGTAAAACGCGAGTCGCCAATACAAACTACTTTACTAGTACTGAGGATGGTTTAACGGGCGGTACAGATGGCCAAAATGGGCTTGAACAACAGCGCCTTAATGCACCAGGTAAATTTAGATAACAATTTAATATAAGCATGTAAGTGCTAATAAAAACTAGGAATGACTAATACTAACTCTTAATACTCGAAGGAAAACTTTTACAAAAGTGAATTATAGTTTAAAATGACTTTATACAGACAAAATACTTTTTTTTAATGTGAAAACACATTCCCGTATAAACTGGGAACTCTTTGTCATCGCATGTAAATTATACTGTAAACCAGAACATTTTTGCGTTAAAAACAAAGAAATTTGGATATTATGAATAATACTGAAAAAACTAAAAATAGTTGCCTAATGCAATTAACTGGCCCATAATAAAATGTCCCCAAACAGCTGCTCACTTGATCAGGACGATAATGTAATACGTTTTATAGTTGTTAACATACCCTTCGAATGGAATTTACAAAATCTGCGATTGATTCAGTCAGACGACGCGAAAACCAGAAAAGCTTCCTCGGGTAGTGGGGACACTTTAAGCGACTGGGAAATTGTCTAATAATCGAATAAGGAACTAGTCATTACAGTGTCGATTCTGACGCTTGTCACTGTGTTTTTCGTTTTCGTTCAATCTCCTTTATAAATTTGATTTTATTTGAATCGGTGTTTTCTTTCGCCACCCCCTCTCTGCAAGTCGCCCGGTCTCTCGGGTCAGTTAAAACGCCACTGAAAGCGTTTTGGTTAGTTTTGGTGGCGTTGATCCGCCAGACTCAATTTTTTAAAGATGATATTTTCAGCATTAAATTATGTAAGTGCACATAGGTTATGGCAAGTCACTAAGCGGCTTTAAAGACTGCCTTAAGGGCTTTTTGTATACGAATTGCAAAAATGCTCTTCATGATATTTGATGCACCATTACCATTATCATAGTTCAGAGCAAGTATTTTTAAGTTTATATTGCAATTATTTTCAAAACGGAAGTTTTTGCAACAAAAAAAGAACTAATAACCGCGGTTATTATATGATTAAAGTGTAACAGGAGCGATAGAATTAGATGGAGTTTCTGTTAACAATTCATAAACTAAAAACAAAATGCAATCGAATCGTCGCGAATAGACTATCGTCTGCAATATTCATGTCATTAGGCTCGAAAATTGTAAAAATTACTACTTTATGCATAGAGTCTCAAAATTTGGTGACGCACTGACGCTGCGGCAGTGTCGATTTTCTCCGAAACCTATAAAGATCACATTCCCAAGCACAGAACAGTTGTACCAATATGTCTACCGATTTATGGAACATGTACATGGCAAAGGTTATGTGAACGCGTTGTAAACAATGCGTTTTTATCTGTTTGTATGAAATGAACACGGTCCTATTATCTATGATTTATTTGCGACATGGGTGCAACCATGTTGAAATGAAGGTCTGAACAATTATCGAAATTAGGTGAGCCCGATTTGCCGAGTTAAATGAGCATTGTTTTTTACACCACGACTTTTTAGGTTCACATAGGCGACGTAATGAGTGATTCGAGGCCGAGGTTTGTAAAACCTTCCGAGACTTTGAGCTTCCTTGATCGGGACACGGCTTCCTCGTCAGTCGAAACGACAGATTTTATTTTTAATAGGAATATATCACGCTCTCTACAGACCCAGCGTCAAAGTCTGCCCATATTTAATAACAGAAACCACATACTGTACTTGTTAGAAAAGTACCAGACGTTGGTATTGGTCGGCGAAACAGGTTGCGGCAAGAGCACTCAAATACCGCAGGTATGTTGGTTTATTGATTTTGTATTGTTTGATAATTGGTTTTATCTTGATCTGCATGGTGATTAAGCTGCTTCCCGATTTAATCAGGCTGCCGATGTATGTACACAAAATTTATCTAAAGATGTGACTAGGAATTGATATTACCTACGCTGATTGAATCAGTTCAGTGCCGTTTTTTCGAGTGCGTTAGTGAAAACAACCTGCAGCCTATATCATAATTCGTCGAGACGCATCTTCTTGGATGTAATTTGTATTATTTTTGGGTTGGGTTTTGTATTCTGCTCTATCTACTCTAAGTTTTTAAATAATTTTGTATTGGGATGAAAACATGAATTCCTTGGTACATGTGCGGAAACAATTAAACTAATTTATTTCGTACTTTTTTGAGTACTAAAGCAGAAATACTTTTTGGAATGTGTTTTGATCCCACAGTGGAATGTAACACTATTTTTTTTTGTGATTGTAGCGTAAAATATTAATCAACGAAAAGCCTAGCTTCTGTTTGATTAGTCGTGATGGGGTTCTCTTAAACACTCAAGTAATCAACAAAACGCATATACGCATGTCGCTAATTTGAAGGTCGATTTTAGGTTAGCGGTTTTTGCAAAAGTTTTAAAAAAATAAATGAAAGTTTGACTACCCACAATTTAGATTTGTTTTGAGCGGCAGTCGCAGGTTTACTGTGCCCATAACAGCTTTGATTTGGTTTCCATTTCTCAAACCGTGCTGGAAAGGGCAAGAAGTTCCAATTTTCCAAGTCAACCTATACTAATTTGAGTTGCTTATTAACTGTTAGAAGCAATGTTTTTGTGTATACATATACCTATTATTGGAAAAAAAAACAAATATTCCTTTTTAAATATTGTTTAAAACAAAAAAATAGATACCTTGAGACTGTGACTGACTGGTTTAGACGAACTTGAAGACTAAAAATCCCTAACGTGTGTAGCAAAAATTATATGTTTTCTCAATCACATATCCACAAATTATTTTTTATTCTTGCGTTTTATACATTTTTCATTTATTTTATATAAATTAAATAAAATAAAAAATAGGTTGCCATACGAATGTTGATACTGAATTGTTATCTGTGTAATCCGCGAAATCTTTGTGATATCATAACGTATTGCTAACATTTTTTTTAGAGTTGAGCACTTTCTATTAATTAAATAACATGAATTTTATTGATGATGAGATGTTTCATGAAGTCATTAAAAATAGGTGGTTTTCATTTAAAATAAGATATTTCCGCTATAATTGCAATTTTTTTCATCCTATATTAAGAATTTTTCGAAATTTTGAACTAAACGTGTTAAACATACCCTTTAATTAATGTAATATTTGAAAGTTTATGGAATTTATAAAATTCGTATTTATTAATTTCACACTGACCATAACATTACTCTTTCTCACTTTTTAAAAAGAGATTTTAAGTGTTTTTATTTTTTATTTTAATAGTATTTAATTAGGACGGAATTCAAAAATTTTCCACATATAAAAAATGGTGAAATCCTTGGAATTTGTGAAATGTTATGGTTGTGTGAAACTCGGTGTACTAATTTTGGATAGGGACTTGCTCCTCGGCTAATAACGACTAAACTAATTTTAAGTTATGTTTTGTAATATAAAATATCTTTTTTACTATGATATAGTGACGCATCATCTTTCAAAAACAAATGTTGAACATATTTTTAGCCCCTCCCCCAGGATCAGGTTCATAGCTTTTCTCGAAACCCATTCGTGTTCTTCTTTCTCTTCCAGAGGATGAACCGAACGCGCCAGACCCATTAAACCCTGCTCTCTATCACTAAGGCGCGCCAGTCAAACTAAGACCACCGAAGTTTCGCCCCCGTACCACTCTTCCCCCCGAAAAAAATGGTAGGACCCTCATCCCGCGTCAGCAAGGGCCTCGTGACGCTGCTCGTGCTGCTGCTCCTCTACTACGCCTTCATGGACTACAACCTGTTCTTTCGCATTAAAAATTATCCAGTCGGCGACGCCATCAACGGTTCGTCGTACGGGTACGTCTCGTGGATCGGTTGCGACGTCAATCCCCTCTGCGACGTCACCGTCAAGGCCGTCCTCCTCGACCATACCAACTTATACGTGTTCGCGCCATTCGTCACCCTCTTCGACGACGTTTTCCAAGTATCGGCCGTTCGGTTCATCACTCCCAACGCGATCAGTTGCTTCCATATCGGAGTGGCCGTCGCGAGCGCGTGGTGCGTCGCCGGTGATCGTCTGGCCTCTCGACGTGTCGGCGTCGTCCTTTTCGAGCTCCGCACTTGCCTCGACGACCTCGACGGTTACGTGGCGCGCAAGCGCAAACACGTCAAAGGGGAGCATTCCGACGTCGGCACCGTCGGTTATTACGTGGACGGCATCTGCGACGCGATCGGTTGCGCCGCCCTCCTCGTGGGTATGCTGTGGTATCTGCGCAATAACCCTCCTAGGCGCGGTTACGTTCAATTACCGTCGACCGATGTCAAACCGAGACCCCAAAATGTCGTCACGAAGCTCGGCTGTTTCACGTCGCAGCTGGTCATCAGTTCTATCGCCTGGAACCGCTACATTGCCCTGTATCAGAACTTGCTGGAGACGGGTGACGCACCAGGACGTCCGAGGCGCGACGCCGTATTCGAGAGCACCGTTTTCTTCGCCGTGTCGTTTCTCTGGCGAATGTTCAACGTCCACAACATGTTGCACTGCGCTTTACTCGCGATCTTCTGCGATAAGCTCTGGGAGTTCCTGTGTCACGTACAGTATGTCGGCTACGCGGTTCTTCTGTGCGTCATATGCGTCACGGAAGCGCACTACGTGCACGCGAAAGCCTACGTACTCAGCACCGTCCGGTAGGGTTCGGCAGCAAAGAGATTTGATCCCGAGTTAGATTCGTATTTTTCATCGCTCATGGGAACGAGTCGTGCTTTTGCGGCAGCCTCTACACGGATTTGTCACAGAATCGACCAAACTGTTCGTTCTAAAATTTTCGGGTGGGCTCTTATCCCCTTGCGTACATTTTAAATTTGAGGAAGTCTACCTACCTTTTTCTTGAAAAAAAAAATTTCTATGGAAACAAGGAAGTTAACGTTCACCCAGAACCTTTTAAATATGTTAACCGAAACCGCCTTGTGATGTCATGTCATGTCATCATTTCGAACATGGTTTTTAACAAATAAGTCGTCGGCGTTCAACATGGCCGCTGACATTACGTAAGTGGCCGCTTAGAGAGTAAAGTAAAGAGGATTTATCACCAGTTTTAGCGATATACTATCGTTGAATAATTATAAGCATAATAACATTATTAAAAATGGGTCAAGTGTGCTGATATCGCTGTTTAAAAAAGTACACTGCCGTCTGCGAAATATATGTGCTTGCGTTTAAGATCTTTCTTTCCATTCTGAACAAAATTCTCATTTAAGGTGTGTGCAATTGCACCCTATTTACGGCCTTTAAGTTATCTAATATGTTCTTATATTTACATTTACAACAAAACTTTTGTTTATACAGGGTATCCCAATAGTGATTTGTAATTTTCATACATTACTAGCATTTTCCAATTAAATTTATTCTATTCAAAACAACATATGTATAATGAACACAAACAAAATTGCAAATATCTCGGATAGCATAACAGTATACAAAATATATTTGGAGTTTAAGGTAGAATCCAAATATACAAATATGGCATACCCTGTATACATGAAAATAATTTTGTTATGTCACATTGCATAAAGTCAGTTTAACTAAGCGATTTTTGTATAGTGTTGGACCGAATATACATTTTATTACCAAAAATTATTGATCTACGTAATAATGATGTCATAAATTGGTTGCTGGGCGACACTGGTTGCAAATCGTACACGAGTGATTTATAGCTATCAAATCGGAGGCAATAAATTCATAACAATACATAAATCATGAAAGGCTTTCGTTCGTTACTTCTAAAAAAATCGTAGCAGGCTATGATTTAATGTCTTTGTAGTAGACAATAAAACTTGGCGATAAGGAATAAGGATTATTTCGAACCGACTATTTATCATGATGGTGACTTTTTTCTGATCGATTTTCTAGTCATTTTTTTTCCCCACGGATTGGTCGTAATTTTAAGTTTTTATATATTTCGCGTATACTTTTGTTCGGCGAGACAACGACGTAAAAAGACAAGTTGAATTTAACCTCGGCTGTTGGTATCTACATTATTTTATTATTCATTCGAGTGCGGTAGTTTTAGTTTTTAGAAACGACCACTGTATGACTGAAAAAATATTCACGACAAAATATGCATAGACGTAATTGAGTCAGTACTTAGCTTTTATACTGGATGTTTAAGGTGGCGAATTTTGTTTATTAACAAACGGGTTTTTTTAATTTAGTTGTAAGGTGATATTCAATAAATTGTTTTAATATATAGTAGCGTTTTTGTTTCAAGCAAAATATATTTGATCATTTTTTTACTTACCAAAACTTATCAACTTATGCAACAAGTTTAAAAAACGATACTTTAGTCAAAAAATTATTTTGGCACGAGGGGAACGGGGGTTTAATAAGCGATTGCGATTGATTTTTCTATGCACGAGTCGCAAAACCGAATCCCAACGGACTGTAAAAAGTAGAAAAGTTCAAATCGTACACACTGGTTGCTACGGTTGTGTCGCCTCTCAGAAACGAGATAAATGGGGATTTAAAATCTATTAATATATTAATTATATTGTGTTCTGTAAAATCAATTTCTGGGTAAACGTTACGTTGAAATAGTGGTTTAAAAACAAATTGTTCTTTGGGATTTTTCATAATAATAATAATAATAATTGCTTACATAACAATAATATTTAAATTTTCTATTAAACAATGCCAGTTTTTGTGGAGTTATTCGAATTCTCTTGATGAACTCGCAAGGTTCTACGGTTGCTTCTTGTATATTTTTTTTACTTAGGTCTTTCCTGTAGGGAGTAAAGTATTTATGCTAAATGCATATTCGTTCGTTTATTAAGAGAGATTATCGCTAGCTGTATTTCTTTTAGTATATGATAGAGGCCGAATGGCCGGGCCAGATCGGAGTGTGCGAGCCGCGCAGAGTCGCCGCGATCTCGCTGGCAAACCGGGTGGCCGACGAGACGAGTTCATTGGTGCAGGGTGACACGGTGGGGTACGCCGTGAGGTTCGACGCGTGCACGAACAAGCCCAAAATAAAAGTAAGGCGATACCGGTTGTTCTTTCCAGAAAAAAAAAACATTTTTCCAAGGGCCTGCAATCATGGTATAATATTTGAATGCGCAATAAAATTAACTTAAAGTACTATTAAATGGTCTTTCAATACAAACACAAAAAATAAAAATTGAAATTACAAGCTCCGTAATGAAAGCAGAAAAAAGAAAAAAAAAGTAAGATTAACTCTAATATTTGAAAAAAACAGTATCAGTTTCAATGTCAGATGGATTGTACCTATAAGATTAACACTCTCTTCCCTTTCTATCACTCATCCCGCAAAAAGTCGTTCTTTTTCCTTACTTTATTACGTTACCCTGGTGCAGTACATGACGGAGGGGATACTGCTGCGTGAACTGATGTCCGATCCGCTGTTGAAGAACTACTCGGCCATCATGCTGGATGAGGTCCACGAGCGTAGCCTCTACACTGACGTCCTGATGGGACTGATGAAGAAAATATCGCGAGTACGTTAAACGTTTTTAATAAAAACATCTTCAGCGCCGCAGATAAATTACGTATAAATGTTAGGTAATTTTTCTTAAATTTTTACTAAAAGTTCGCGCCTTTAGCAGGTGACTACCCAAATTTGGTGATTATCTTTTTTGTTTCAATTTATGGGTTTTGCCTATTGTTATAAATTTTTGGTTCCGGAATAGAGTTTAATAATGCCCAATAAATCACTCCAAGTCATTTTAATTATTTCGGTCTATTCACCATAAATCAACTAAAAATTGTAATAATGATATAAAAAGTTAAGACTTTGTTTTTAAGAAAATCCCATGATATTTTTATAGATATGGTGAGAGATAGAGCGATGCAGGTACCCTTTGTATTTGAAACACCCTGTATCGTAATCAAATGACGATAGAGTCCAGCTAACGAACTGTATCTATATTCTTTATTTGATAGCACCTAGTTCAATGGTTAACTCCGCCACTAATCGTTCTCTATAAATATTGTCTGCAATTATTACTGGTTTTTCACAGTTGGGCCAGCTTTGTACTGATATTTTAGCTACCTCTTGCCGAAAAAAACTAAATTTTCGTGCACTGTTATTTCTTACCATCTCAATATCATCTCAGTCGGGTTAAATATACAATGATAATAAGTCCAGAAGTTGATTTTTTCAAAATATAAATGATTTTCGTATAGAAATTTTTTAATTTCTTCTTTTTTCAAGAAGTGTTTGGAATTTTTCTAATTTGGACTGAATGATACGAGGCATTACCCAACACAATATCGATGTTTGGCGATAATTTTGGCAACAGTTTATTTTCACAATTGCGTCTTTGTCGTTTTTTGCAGACAAAAATAAGACATCTTACACTCAGCCATTTTTGTACCCAGCATGAAGACTTATTATGCGTTTTCCATGTGAAGGCGAAACGTCTAGTACACACTTGTTACCGTTATCACAGCATCCTTTTTTTACGGCGTCGTTGTCTAAATTTTTCAGTTGCAAGTAATTTATTACGTTCATTACATTTCAAGTACCTCCGTAATATATACGAACATATTGCAATTTAGATTAAACACTTAAGAACGATACATATCACCTGATGTTAAAGTAAACGCTTCTACTTATTCGAAAATACTCCGCAGCATCAATGCTTAATCAAATTTAAAACGGTCCATTTACGTTTCAAATAAATATTTCGAGTGTCTACAAATGTCCGTTACGGTCCATCTCAGGCAAGACCTCCTAAATGCAGAATAAGCATCTGTTGAGATGGGTTGTACCACGGTCGTTCGAAGGTCTGCGGTTAAGGTACTGTAAAATACTTAAAACGTCAACGTAATAAATGTACAATGTTTTTGGTGGTACAATACGATAACGACCATAAATGGCTACATCCGGCAGCATAAGCCAGATATTTTTTGTTTCTGCAGAAAAGACCCGAACTGCGACTGATCGTCGCGTCGGCCACCCTCGACGCGACCCACCTCCAACGGTTTTTCAACAACAACGTCGGCGACGATCGCAAGCGCGACACGGCGACTATCTTATCGGTCGAGGGGCGGCAACACCCCGTAGAAATCTTCTACGCCGCGGAACCGGTGCCCTGTTACGTGCAGGCGGCCGTCGACTTGACCGTGAAAATTAACGCTTCCGGACAACCGGGTGACGTGCTCGTCTTTTTGACCGGTCAAGAGGAGGTCGAGCGCGCGGTCCGCCTCCTAAACGAACACGCCACCGCCATCGAACGATCGGGAAAAAAACAAAACATGTACGTGGTGCCGATGCACGGGTCGCTCTCGCATCACCAGCAGCTCGCCGCGTTCAAGCGCCCTCCGGGTAACTTCCGGAAGCTCGTCGTCGCGACCAATATCGCCGAAACGTCGGTTACCATACCCGGAATCGTTCACGGTCAGTTCTCCCGGAATATCAATCCGAAAATTGAATTAAGGTGGCCTTTACTTTATGAAAATCCATTTATCAAAATAAATAAGAACTAAAAGTTTGGATTTTCACGAAATTATATATTATGATATGACAACACCGACCGTGTCTTTATCAAATGTAATATTCACGAACTACCTGCTACTATATATACCGAAAAATGACAATGTTGTGAGAAATGAAGAGGTATTTGAATCTAATTAATCGTTAAGCGATAAATTTAATTTTCTACTTTTTGGGGCTGCATGTAAAATATCAAAATTGTCGTCAAAAATGTGTTTTTCTGTGACTATTGTTTTTAAACGCTCTTTTATGTTCGTTAATGCTTTTTTTGAAGGGTCTACCCGTTTGTCCAATATACATTTTAGAACAAGATCCGCATTTCAACCTGTAGACACCTGATTTTGAAGATTTTGAACATTTCGTTTTCTTGTTTTTTAAAAATTTTCCTATTGTGTTGTTAGTTCTGAAAGTTATTTTTAAATCACATTTTGCAAATGTTTTGAAACTTTTTCACTGGGTGCCTTAAAAAGATGTCTTCCAATATTTAAGATTTTTCTATTAATGGAGTTTACTATTCCCATTGAAGGCTCGTACAATGTCAATGAATGCTTGGGAACCGGTATTTTTGTATCTAATATTGAGGTTATAGACATCATGTTCTAAAACTTGAATTTTATAAGTTGTATGTATTCATTATCTGCAGCTGTTATAATTAATTCAATACAATAATTATAGGGCATTTTACTTAAGTAGTGCCAGGACCAAGGAAAAACAACAATAGCTGTCATGCAATATTTGTAAAACATATTTGGTATAATCTACATCATCAATTGAATTTAATGGTGATTAGCAAATGACAAATGTATTACTATTCTTATATTGTTCCTTGCTACTACTTAATTGAAGGTGGATGACTGAATATGTTTTGCAAAGAATATTTGGAGCGGACGTGTACCGATCATTTGACAACGTTGAATTATTTGATAGGTATAAGGTTACGAAAAACTAGCCTTTGTATATAACCTAAAATTAATTCAAATTTCATGGAAAATAATTTGTTCTTAAAAGTTATTTGGATTTAAGTTCATAAGAAAGGTGTAATTAGTTATGTAGAAGAATATATATGGGAGGTTTTAGTTGGAACACGTTGTAGAAAACTCATTTCCTACCACTCAAAATTACTTTTTGTAGCTTCCCTGCGATGTTTTTGACCGGATCTGTCGCGTTGCAGTTATCGATTGCGGCTTCGTCAAGATGAAGTGGTACCACACGAGAACGCACACCGACGCCCTTGTTGTGTTACCCGTCAGCAAGTCGTCGGCGGATCAAAGGGCTGGTAGGGCGGGGCGCGAGAAGCCCGGTCGCGTTTACAGGTAAGCAACCTAGCAATGAAAGCTTTAAACAAGGACATATGAAATATATTCGCAAATTTATTCTCCGATGGTAAACAACCAGTAAACAAACGTGGTCGTAAGAAAGTATTTCATAATATTTATATATTATCGTTAAACCTGTAACCAGCTCATTCAACCCGCATAGGCGACAATAAAACATATAATAGTGGCTCTGTTATCAGTTTTTCTGATGAGTGGTTTATGCAAAATGCATTTTGTAGAAATTTGCGGTTTTGTCACCTTCTTAGGCGGTCACGAAAAATTTTAATTTTTTTTTTTTAAATAAAGGAAAGGAAATTGAAGTTCAAAACAAAATAATTATGTTTATGTTACAAAGTTTACGAAATGATCCGACACTTCGACTTGCGCGCTCAGCTCTGCGCATACCTGAATAGGCTTAGCGTGCGGCTTTTTATTTTTCAAGGTTATATACCGAAGAATTCGCTAAAAAGTTGCCGGATAGCACGCCGCCCGAAACGGTCCGCACCAACCTGACCTACGCGGTCCTCCAACTCAAAGCGATGGGCATAAGGAACCTCATAAAATTTAAATTTCCGAGCCCGCCGCCTCTGGAAAATCTGCGCAGCGCGTTGGAAATACTTTACGCCGTCGACGCGATCGACATCCGCTCCGAATTGACGAAACCGCTCGGGTTTAACATGGCCGAATTCGCCCTCGACCCGCCCTATTCGAAAGCGCTGCTCGTTTCGGGCGAATGGGGTTGTTCCGAGGAAATTCTCACGATACTTGCGATGCTGCAAGTGGAGTCGGTTTTTGCCAAACCGACCACGGGCACCGGTATCGTTAAAGCTCGTGTGCAGCGTAGATTGTTCGAGGTGGAGGAAGGAGACCTCATCACTTACCTGAACGTCTTCAACGGCTACGTGGAGAGCGAACGATCGCAGGCGTTCTGTCAGACGAATTTCATAAGCCACAGAAGCATGAAACGTGTATACGAAATCAGGCGTAATCTTGAGAAGACGCTCTGCAATTATGGAATCCCGATAGTATCGAGCAGTGAGTCCACTTAACCTCGAAAACGGATCTTGTCAACACCTCCTACCTCACAAATGAGTCATCACATTAAGGAAGCGATATCTGTGGTTGCATTACGTTCGTAACATTAAATATGAGTGACTACAAATATGTAGAATATGTAAAAATGGTCATGCATAGATATTTTTAAAATTTTATTTTATGATATGATGATATGGTATTTCATTCATTTCATTTTTTCTAATAGGTTTATATCGATTTTGGTAATTTAAGCAAGTATTTCGGTGAGCTTTTGTTCATGCCGGAAATTTTTCCGGACATCCTTAAAATTACTAAAAGATATTTGATTTTTGCCGTTAAATCCTAATTTTTACATTTTTACCGAATGGCTGTCTCTGTGACAAAATTTAGGCTTAAATAAGCAAAGATTATTTTATTTAGAACTGAGTTAAATAATTAATAAATTAAATTTACTTTTGATCAAACGAAGTGTTTTTAAGTCATTCAAAACATATTAAGGAACATATAACGTTAAAGGCGACCGTTCCTTTTCGTGGTGACTCAGCCATTGTTTAGAGTCCGTCGTTTCTTCGCCTTATTGTAGAAGTCGTGTTGGTCTCGGTTTTTTAGCGCATGTGTTTCAGAGTCGACCGAGACTATACGAAAATGTCTGGTGGCGGGGCTGTTCCCTAACGCCGCGTATTTACACAACAGCGGGGTCTACAAGACTGTCCGTGGCGACGTCGACTTGTACGTCCACCCCCAGAGCGTGCTTTACACCGTGGAACAACCTCAGTGGTGAGTCCATTCCCGGAGGTTGAGCCTGCAGGTTTCTTTCACCCGTAATCGCTTTAGGGTTATCTTCTGCGAGGTCGTTCACAGTGCTAAACTGTACATGAAAGATGTTACAGCCATCCAAAGAGACTGGCTTCTGGAGCTTGCGCCCCACTTTTATTACAAAACGACTGGTAGTGTATACGATTTGTAAATGAGGCAATAAATTCAGTTGCAGAGTTGTTTCGATGACACAGTCACCCACGTCGTGTTAAAAGTAAGAAAGATCACTTGTGACCTATGATCTCTAAACATTATAAGTTACTTTACGCTTCCCTTCAACTCAGTCCGGGCAGGTATTACCGGCTGACGTCACTCGTCGACCCAATTTCGAAAACGCCTATCGACGCCATTTTTTTTCAGTGCCTTTTAATATCTATAGCGCTGTGCTTTTTAGTACTTTTAATTAAACGGATGGACTTTAATAGAAAACGTAATACAGACGTAATATTGTTTGAAAATACAACAAGACAGGTTTTAGATAAGATAAACATAGCATTTTATTACTAAAATGCCTTATGGTTAATGTATTTGAAATGTCAATTTGAGCCTTTATTAAAATTTCTTTTAACGAGGTTTCTAATGTTGCTCGTATGATTTGGTAATATTAAAATGCCGCATGCCCAAGCACTCCACATAGATTTAAGTTCTTTAACTGCATGGAATTCATAAAATTAATTCTGCCTGTACTTGCCGTTTCCTTTACCCTTTACTCGGCGCTTAAGGCAACCTATTTACAAATCTTTTGGATTCATCCTGCGTCGTTTCTTTATAAAGTTTCTGTTAAGTTCTAGATTTGTAAATAGCAACCTATTGTGTTTACCGCTCTTAGCCCCAACCTAAATAGTCGTGCAGAGAAAGTAACTATTGCACATGGCGCGCGTTTGTTGCCTGGTTCCAAGAAATCGATGGAAAATTTCTGTCGTTTGAGAAAATTTCGTTCATTGGCGTAGTGCCTATAGTTTTGTGAATTAGTGCTTGTTTTTGAAATTTGTGTGGTGTATTTCTCGGTTTCCGCATGTCTTATATTCACGCCGGTATCTAGGGCAGATTGGATCGGATATCCCGCATGAGATCATTGCTGGAGCCGTTTAATGAATCAGTCGTCATTTCATGACTAATTATTTAGAAGTTATCCCACTGCATGAATATGTTAATAAAATTGAGGAGGTTATGGAATGGTCCAGACCCTTTCTTTACGATGACATCCAAATAAAACTAATTTTTACTCGCTCCCAGTTTTATTATACCATTCTTTGTCTCTTTTTTTCGTAATAATCCTCAACATTATTAAACTTTTTCTTAAACAGCGTCAATAATTTGGCATCATCGGAGACAAATAGACCGTCAATGTTCGAAAGTAAGTCACGGTTTAGTTCGCGGGCCGGTTGATCTGGCAATAGAAAACTGCACGTTTTGCCGTGAACTGAATGCAACAACTGGTCAAAACAAAAACCAAAGTTCGAACTGCCCGATTCGAAGCTTGTTAAGGGTTTGCAGATCAAGTCTTCAACACTGAGGGTATACACAAAAATTTTATTCATTTTATACAAAGACAAGGCCACGTACACGGCGTCCGCGCGCTCGCACAAATCGAGATTTGAAATCGGAACCGTATGGACGTCCACACAATCGATACCGACACTCTCCACAAATTTTTGAACTACACAGTTATCTGTTAGGCTTCGCGTGTCAATCTTATTCAACTGTTCCCCTTTCAAGTAGTCCCAGAATCTGACAGTACCGTCTCCAGATGCGGAAACCAATACCCTTTTACTTTCGATTATTTTTAATGTAGTCACAAACTGCCGATGTCCCAGGCAGTAAGTGACGATATTATACGCATTTGGGTAGCAAGATACGCGAATTTTTTCATCCCTGTCGCAAGTTATGATGTAATTGCCGCATGGGCTTACGGCCACATCCAAAATAACGCTCAAGTGACCCAGAAGCAAAGTCGGTTCGCCCGGGCCTAACGGGTAGCGGTACACGTCCCCGGTTCTGTCTGCAACAATAACATCGTCCGTGGCACTAAAACACACTTTGCTGGGCGCCCTGTTCGTCGCAAAAGTTTTGAAGATTTTGAAAGAGCGGTCGATTATGAAAATCTGTTTATTTTCTACCGCAACGGCTACGTAGTTTCCGGATTTCGAAGATTCGATGCTTACAATAGCGGTACTGGCTTTCCCGTTGGCAGGAATATGAATCTGGTCGACGTTCTCAGTTCCGCATATTCGTAACCAGTCGTCATTGGCAATCACCAATTTCTTGTCGAATTGTTTTACGAAAGTCATGCCTCTCAAATTGGAAGCCCCATTCGAAAAAGTTAAATTCTTCTTTACTTCTATTAGCTATGAAACCAGTTAGGTTAGAGTAACGACACTTGTTCTTTCCAAGGTTTCTAGGCTAATAGCCTAAAATATAAGTATATAAATATCACAACTACTCTAGATTGTGGGTTCGATGAAAAAATTTGTTATCGGTAAATTTTCCTCGGCGGATGCCTAATTTGAGATGAGACCAATTAAGAAAAAAATGCTCTAAACCAAAGAACAAACATTTAAATTAAAATTAAAAGATGGGAATCCCACAATTGTAATGATGTCGGGTAGTCCAATTTTCCATTCGAGAGCAGCTTATTTTAAGCTGTGTTCGAAGTACGCAGACAAGTTAGTAAAGAGGCATGTTAAGGTGGCGGACATCCTGTACATTCAAACAAAAGAAGGAAACGTTTACGAAAGATCGACAGAAACGTTTCCGGCAATTGTTTTTAAAAATACGCGACAAAGTTCTCAACTCAACTCCTTTATTTAACAATCTTTTGTTTTGAAAAAAAAACTTTTTATGTATTTAAAGCCTAGAATCACAAAAAAATACAACAAAAAAAACAACATCGACAACAAAACAAAAGTTGTGTATTTCGACAGCTTATTATTGTGGAGACATCGTTTGAAATTGGTTTATCTGGACGCTGTTTTGTTTACTTTTGATTTCCGATGACCGTTATCTTAGAATTTGCGTGGTCAATTTAAGATAATAACTCGTAATTACGAGTGACTCGAACAAACAAGTTGATTTTGTCCGCTCGGTGAAGACGTCAACTATTAGAGCACGCTTTTTGGAAGCCACATTCTCACAAAATGTAAGTACATCTTGAAATTTCTGGTTCATTGTTAGTTTAAGTTTCTCTGATATTCAAAAATCAATTAAACCTATATCCATGTCGGGCTTGTAATTTATATCACTCGACCTTTCACCTAAATGTTACACCGTTTCTATATTTACGTAAAACAGGATCAGCGTCTTGAAACTCGGGCTTCTGCTCGTCATACAAGGTGCCCTTACTTCCGAACACCATCCTCTCTCGGACGAATTCATACACGACATCAATAACAAGGCTACGACCTGGAAGGCGGGGCGTAATTTTGCACCGGACGTGTCCATGTCTTACATTAGGCGTCTTATGGGCGTTCTGCCCAATCACAAAAACTTCCTACCACCCATACACACCCATACGGGTCTCGAAAGCGTCGACATTCCTCAAAGTTTCGACTCACGACAACAGTGGCCAGACTGTCCCACCATCAGGGAAATCCGAGACCAGGGTTCTTGCGGCTCTTGCTGGGCGTTTGGGGCCGTCGAGGTTATGTCGGACCGGGTATGCATCCATTCCCAGGGGGCGGTACACTTTCGGTTCTCCGCCGACGATTTGGTCTCGTGCTGTTATAGCTGCGGCATGGGATGTATGGGCGGATACCCAGGGAGCGCATTCGGGTACTGGGTTAGGAAAGGAATCGTCTCGGGAGGGCCGTACGGATCTCGACAAGTATGACAGAACAGACCCCCACACTCCGATTCTACTTAAGCTGCCGTTGTTAAAAGGGTTGCAGGCCTTATGAGATCCCTCCGTGCGAGCACCACGTCAACGGCACCAGGCAGCCCTGCGACGCGGACGAGAACAAAACGCCCAGATGTGTGAAGAGCTGCGAGGCCGATTACACTGTGCCCTACGAAAAGGACAGGCACTACGGAAGCAAATCGTATGCGATATCGAGTCGTATAGAACAAATCGAGGCGGAGATTTCGAAAAATGGTCCCGTCGAAGCGGCCTTCGAGGTTTACGAAGACTTATTGAACTACAAGAGCGGTATTTATTTATTGCGTCTAAATTGCAAAGAATCGGTGACGATAATCAACATCCTCTGATTTCGGCACAAAAACTTCCCGCGTAAACAATTAATATTTATAAATGCTGATCCTGTTTGGCGATAGAATGAACTTTGCATACGAATGACATTGTGTTATGTCACTGCTCTATGTTAAAGCTCTGTGACAACTGCGCTAAGGACAATCGTAACGTTTTATGCACACACTTAACATAATAATTCATTTTTTTAATTTTTCACAAAAATATCGTAGATCTAACGCCATCAAAACCGGCTTTGAAATGTCGGAAATACCAACAAGAACATAACAGAGAACTGGGTTACAGAATATAATTAGATCTCAAATTGAAATTTAGACGAATTGCAATAAAACGCGTCAAAGGTACGTTATGAATAAGACGGCACATGAATACCAGTTATCAACTTTCTACATGAATCTTGATTTTGACAATACAAATTTGTCCCCGAAACTATAAAAATTGTTGCTCTTTCCCTTATTTCAGGAGTGTATCAGCACGTAAGTGGCAAGGCGCTCGGTGGCCACGCGGTTAGGATCCTGGGGTGGGGCGTGGAGAATAACGTGCCCTATTGGATAATTGCTAACTCTTGGAACACGGACTGGGGCGACAACGGCACCTTTAAGATGCTCCGTGGTGAGGATCATCTCGGCATCGAGAGCGCAATCGTTGCCGGATTACCAAAATAAAAAGCGCCTTCATTTTTATAATTCTAATTGACTATTTTTTTAACGCTTTCGCTTTGAAATAAACTATAGAAGCATAGGACTTTTTTAATGATAAGCCTATATTAGATATATTGATGCCCTGTCTATGCTGAAAATGCAGGAATTTTTGAAACTACGATAAACAAATATTTAGACTCAAACAATAGGAGAGACTCAAGAACTCAAACCAACTTTAGTGAAGAAGTTTATCAACTTGTTTCTTGCATTTTCACAAAATAATACGATTACATTCAATGAGTGCTGGTGACTACGATCATCATCAGTGTATAAATGGATACTTTAGAGGAGGTAAAGAAATCCAATTGTATGCAATGAAAAAACGCCAACTTGGCAACACGTCCTGCTTTTATGATAATGATTCGCGGGAGTGAATTCAGTATTGTTAAAATGATAAAAGCAAAATTATAAGAGAACAAAAATTAAATAGTTTTACACTATTCAAATTTTTCCGTGCTAAAAATTACATTTTTTCATCCTCTTAAAATCTTTCTGTATAAGACGAGGTTTACCAAAAATAACATTCAGCTTTCTTCCTCTTTGGCTTGCTTAATACGTTTTGATGGCAGATTTATAGATACATCATGGCAATAATTAATTGATACTATGAGGCTAAGGGCTTACGAAAATAAACAAAACAAACACAACCATGTTTTTTTAACACTTTAATATTTGTATAGTCCGTTATTTTTGATATAAATACATAACAATACTCACCCTACAGCGGTACCAGTAATTGCGTATAAAGTGTTAATTTTAAAAAATGGTAAAAAATAACGTTATAATTTACATAAATGCTACAAATTACGTTTAGTCCGATAAATGTTACACATAAACGAATAAGCGAGACCGGTAATTCTGTAAAAAGGCACTTCCGTACGCGCGTTAGTTACACATCATATTCGTGCGAAGGCCCACCTCCCACCCCTTCGTCCCGAAAAAAAAAAAACAGAAATAAATTAACGGCCGACCTGCCGGTGGCGGGCGGAGCCGTTCGCCGATCGCTATTTACAATAAAATATACAGGAAGACGAAGAAAAAAATGGTGTACGCGCGTATTACATGGCCGTATTGCACGTCGGCGCGAAGGAGATGCCGCGCGGCGTCTCCTTCGGCGACCGTTACTCGGGGGTAATACTCCTAAAAACCTTTATATAAAAATAAACGATTCTTTTTATGTAATTGACCGTTAGTACTATTAAAGCTCTCGATACTACTCTCTGGCGTTGACCTCGCCCGTCGCCTCGCAGAACTCCTCCTGAAAAGGGAGAAAACAAACCCTCAATTATTTATAAGATAACGGATACTTATACGACGAGCGAGCTTCTGTAAGACGCCTAATATCTACTAAAATACTTTAAGTTTTATATCTATAAAACCTTTGGCGCTAAAAACCTCATTATAAAACTGCGGTTTTAGAAAAGCTTATTCCTTAAGAAGACTTATAAATCCTAAAGCACAAAATAAATATTCTATAAGTACTGTAAAAGGTCTCCCACGCGACCGTCAAAGATGTTGCTATTTCTCAACATTCTTTTGTTTGCACAATTTTAATTTAAAAGCCCGTATTTTAGTTTAATTCTAAACTTTATCTGGAATAATAAAACACTAAGGGCCATATAACAAACAGAACAAATAAATAAAAAATCACTGAAAAGTGAGGTTACGATCGCATAATCGACAGTTGACATTTGCTCACTGGTATGTAGTTTTGATTAGTTTTCAATTGGTTTTGACGTTACTTGTTACTAGTGGTAATGAACACGTTTTTGGTAACGTATAGAACCACAAATCTTCCATAATTACCTTAGGTTTTATTGTAAGAACTGGATTGAGTAAAAATAAAAAATTGCCCAAATAAAATTTGGGCAATTTTCAGAGTTTTTGAGTTTCTATACTTATTAAGACATATTCAAAATAATGTGAAATTCAGAGTAAAAGCAACATATGAGGACAAAGACACGCAATAAAATATATATAAAATAAATTATCGTTATAAAAATAACGACAATCTCTTGGGAACAAATAAAATACGGGATGGAAATTTTGGTAACTGTTATCTTCAAGTGCTTATGGGATTTACAAGAGTAAGGAAAAGTAACCGTCACTATTCTATATAAAACGACAAATGTTAGCTGCGCTCCCTCATTCACTCCGACTTACGTCCGAATGACAATCGTCCGCGCCCTCTATCGCCGCCTTCTCGCTTAACTCCTGCCGCAGCCTGTCCCGTTCTTCCTCCACCTGCTTGAAATCGCTCTTGGGAAGAGGAGGAAGAAAAGCAACCAGATTAGCACAAGTCGCGTTCCGCTATCCCACCCTTACCAGTAGGTTCGTAAGCTGCGAGCTAAGGGACGACGCCACGTCGCGGACGAAGCTCGCCGGTATGGTGGGCACCGCCGACTCCGCCTTGTCCGATCGCCTCGCCATCACTTCCGCTTCGGTAACGTTCAGCGCGTCGTTTACCGCTTTCTGGAGGATGTCCACTTGGAATATGGAGGCGAGGAGGCGGTCGGTGATATCGCCGCCGCCCGTAGAGCCGGGTGCGTCGGTAGACGCGAGGTCGGCGATGTGCTGGAAGTGCTCGCGAGGTATAAACAGCAGGTCGGCCACCAGGTCCTCCTTGTCGGCTAGGGCCCGCCTTACGATTTCATCCTTTTGTCGAATTTGCTCTAGAAAAGCAAACGGGCGCGCGCGCGCAGACGCGACGATTACAAACATAGCTAGGTGGGCGGGGCGATACGGTTACATTATCTACGGAGTACGGGGAGGTGGGGGACGTTAGGTTACGCATGCAGTGTGATTCGAGACCCTACCTAGAGGCGTTAGCATAGGCTCGGCTGTGCAAACAGGCGGCACCGACACCCTGACCTGCGACGGCTGTATCAGAGGCCAGTCCTCAACATTGACCTTTGTCGCCGACTGTACATTACCACCGGTCACCGGGTCTAGAAGAACCACCATTAAACAGGGACGGGTTAGTATCGTAGACGCGGCAGTCGGGGCGCCCGATTATATATTTTTTTAATTTTGTTTGAGTGAATGTTAAGAAACGGTCGCGTCGTTGACAGGCGCCCCTTACGACACCCCTGAAAACTACCACCCAAACTATCGTGCCGGTTAAACAGTGCAATAAATACGCCTTTGGACAACACCATAGTTTTATGAGTGATTATACATAGTATACTGCTGTAAGAACCTATGTTCCGCCAATGTGTTAAAACATATTTTATTTAACAACAAAACAATAACATAACCTTCCAAATTTTTATTACGGCGTAAATTCCAGCTTAAAAAAGGAAAAATAAGAGATACTATTATATAGACGTCATGTAGTTCCGTCACGTAACAATTTTTTTCTGAATCAGGTTAATCTTAAGTTTAGATAGTTGTTATATTTTTTTGCAGTAAATTACATTTTATTTTTCGATAATGACCATTATTAATAATATTATGTGCGTGTTAGCTGCCGAATGAGATTAGTTAATGAGTTAAAGATGAAATCCAGTCGATCCAACCGACTGAAATTATCGCTTCTGTTTAACCCCCACCAAAGTTTGTGCATCCCCACTGTGCTGCTCCATCTAATAACCAAACTAACCGACAGGACGAGGAATTTTGAACTACCCAAATCCGCTACATATAATCATGAAGCTGACGTACATATAACAGTACCAATTTTAACGGGAAATTGCAATTTTATCTTTTTCGAAATACCAAAATGCCAAAATACATTAAAAATAAAGTTAGACTACCGTTTTTAATACGGAAAAACGTCCATAAGACATTAATAATAATGCCGAGCTTACATAGGCTGTGTTGGTTATTTACATCCGGTTAATTTTGTTGTTTCGGTCATTCGATGATCACATTTGGAGGTTCAATATACAAATTTGTTTGTTAGTTTGTAAGCCCCTCCCTTTAGGCGGGAGGCTTTAGTTTTTTTACGCTTTTCGACAAATTCAAAATACGTTAATATAAATTTTTCACCTATTTCCCAAATTGATTTTCTTTTAATACTTATTCATTTTGTTCTGGAAAAATATGATTAATATTTACTAAATAGATAATTTTATACAGCTATAGTATTATCTTTTTATAAACTTTTCGCGTTTTTAATGACAAATGTGTGATAATTAGGGAGTAATACGCGCGACAAAATGTTTGCCGGAGGCGCGACTCACTTTCCCCTCAAAAGCATTAACCTTACTTTACTTTCCACTTTTCAAATTTTAAAATTTTGCAATCCTACACGAAACCAAATAAAAAATCGAAATAGGTCTTTAACTCGTTGGTTATTTTCAAGTTTGCACTAATCTTTTAACACACAAAACCATATGACAAAATAACTGAAGCTAAAAAGGCTCATCAAAATTGTCAAATTGATCATAGGCTATCTTTATTTCAATCCGATTTCGCAGATTTGAAGTCGTGACAAAAAATCGCGACAGATATAAATAACGAACGCAGCTACAGAATAATAACGCAATACTAAACCAAAGCGTTACACCGACTAACCCGCAAAAATCGGGCGACGCCCAATTCTTCCCCTCCCTCTCTTCCACCAGAGTCCACTCACCCGGGGTCTCGCCGTCGTTCTTCCTCTTCTGCGCGACTTCGGGTGCGGCCGCATCATCCTTCCTCGCCTCTCCTTCCGAGGGAGACAGCTCCTGCGTTGGTTCCTTGCCGACCGCCTCCTTCGGCTCCGCCTCTTCCGTGGGCGGCGGTATGTCGAGCAGCATGTCCAGGTCGTCTGCGGACACACCCGGATCGGACGGCGCGTGCCCGATGCGGCTAATTTTGCCTTCGCGTCTGTTGTAAGCCTCGGTCGCCTCTGAGAACCGCTTGTACCACCTGCGAAACATAACAGACATTTATAAGAGACTAAGAAACCTTTTTTTTTATAGTTTTTATGGTTTTCTAAGAAAACCAGTGGCGGCAGTTTTGTTAGACGTCCAATAAATTTCCAAACACTAAGTTTAACAATATTGCATCCAAAATATTCCCCCTACTTTATTTAAAAAAAACCTTATTTGTTGGTCATTTCAGTTCTTTTTAAAAACACTATCATACAATTTCAGGTGAGATCGTACATTTTTTCAACGGTCTTCTTAGCGCTATGTGGTCTGCCATTGTCAGGGTGCAGAATAACACCTTTTCCGTTTACCAAAACTAGATATTGTTTGGTTAGAGATTGGTGGACATGATCCAAATGTTGACAATAAAGTTCAGCATCGACTTTTTGTCCAAGTTCCAGGATTTCAAAGTGTACATTTTTGAAAAATGATCTTTTCCTTAGACCCTTGCAAACGCATTTTTTTTTTAAATACATGTTCCGCATTTTTATTACAAATAAATGGAAAGGAAAAGTTTCGTACGGCATAAAAAAATTTAAAGCGCTATAGAGGCTTGATATACTCTGCAAACAATCGAAAAGTTCTCAGGTTTTATAAAAATGGGTAATCGAAACGTAACCGTTTGCGATTATAAAACAAAAAATATTAATCGGACGCTCCGCCCACACTCACGTTTCGCGCTTCGTCTCGTCCTCGGTCACCAGGTCGTACATCTGGCTGTTATTGGTCGACGTGTTGACGAGGAAGAGGGCGTTCTTGCACACCGCGTTGTTCCGCACGAGCAGCGTGTTCATCTTAATGATCGGGGACAACGGTAACGGTTGGGCGGGCGATCCCGATTGGAAAAACTTCAGCAGGAACTTGTCGTTTTCGCGGTGCAGCACGACAACCATCTCCTCGAGGAGGAGGATGTGGACGGGCACCGGCGCCTTGTTCGGCCTCCTCAATTGCATGCTGCCCTCTAGGATCAGCTGGTAGCGGGTCAGATCGATGTTCCGGAATTCGTTAACGATGCCGTGGTCGCTGGTGCGGAAACTCGACGTGTCCAGGTGCTTCTGGATCTCTTCGAGACGGTGCCGGTTGTGCGCCGCCTTCGCCGCTTCATTGACATGGTTCAAGATCTCCTTGGAGAAATTGTGTGCCTGCTGGAGCTTGGCGAGCTCGTCGCCGTACTCGCCGCCCGCGTCGCGGCACGTCTCGACGCTCTTTATGAGCCGTTCGAGGAGCAGCGGATAGCGGACGAGGCGCTGCATCTCCGCGGGCACGATGCCCTGGAGCTGGAGCCTCCGGCACTGGCGTTTTTTCTCGCTCTCCGCGAGGAGGCCGTCGAATTTCGAGTCGCGCTCGCGCCGCTTCTTGATAAACTCGAGCGCGAGCTGCTGGCGCTCGCAAAAAGTCGCCGCGGCCTTCTGGAGCAGCTCGCCCTGCGGCCCGCCGAACGTGTCGACCAGCATGTCGCCGATCTGCCGGACGAGCGGGTCCTGCTTGCGTATGCGGCGCATCTCCTTTTCCACTTCGCTGTGGATGTCAAGCAACTCCTTGATGTTCGGAAATATCAGGCCGAGCTCGTCCGGTTTCAGCACCTGCGTCTCCTGCAACTTCTTGTAGAAGAGACGGTAGAGCACCTTGAGGATTTGCACGTGCGAGAATTCCGTGTGGAAGAGTTCTGCGGGCAGAGCGCGCACGCGTGTGGGACAGAAGAACTACTACTGGCGCGCAAGAGTTACCGTTGATTACGTCCTGTCGCTTTTTCTCGCTCGGGTCGAGACGGCTCAGTTCTTCCTCGCTGACAAGGTCCTGCCAGTTCAGCGGGTCCGCCTCCGCCTCGATGTCGCTGTCCGAATCGGTAGGGTGAACGGTCGCCTGCTGCTGATGATGCTGCTGCTGCACGACGTCGATACTGTTCGACGGGCTATCGGACAGTTTGCCGCTGAAAAGTTGGAAGGAAAATAAGCGAGGGCGCGGGACGGAGACTAGCGCGCTTACTTGCACGATATGTTGGAATTGGATGAACTGCCGGACCCGGTGTTTGGCTGCCAGCCTTGCTGATGCCGGTCCAGGTCCAAACTACCGCTGCGAAACAAAAAAAAAAGATACCATTACGAAGGAAAACGGGACAAGTAGGGCAAGCCTAAGCGCAGCAGCCCAAACGTTGACTTTCCTTTTTCCATAATTATATAAATTACATGTAATTTAACGTTAAGGAATAATAGTCAATAAAAATATGTGTTATATCAGGAAATATTTTTCGATCAATTACGTTATTAAAAAATGTTGGTTTAAAGTTTAAGCGACAGGTTTTGGACAAAAAAAGTGTGTCGATATGGTGCAATCGGCCCTCTGTTTTTTACAATAAATATGTCAAATATAGATACAATGTTGGCAGTAGGCAGCGAAAAATATGCAATTTATCTCTTACAAGGAGGGAAAGATAATGTAATGTAGCCAAAACAAAAACTACATTATTTAATAGAAGATAAGGTGAAATATTTACATACACTTTTAGTGAAACAGGAAATGAATGTTAGTAAAGAAAGTGAACAAAACAAAGTGAAGGGTTTAAAGAGAGAAAATTTTCGGATGGATTGCAACAAAGAATGCTAAACTTGCTTAATTCGAGGAAAAGAAGAGAGACCTAGACAGACTTATCCGTGGATAGCAAATTGATTGAAAGGGACAACGCCGTGGATAAGCAAGAAAATGTAGCCAAAATCGAAGAACGATATGTCAGAAACAAACTAATCACGGAAAGTATGACGGAAAGAAAGTTGACTGAGAAATTTAAGTGTCTAAACGAAGAGAAAGATAATTCGTTAGAAGAGATAAAAAGGTGTGCTCAGGGAAAACAAAACAACCCACTAGTATGTCTTTACAGCTCATAATTATCAGAGCATTTATCGTTTAGTATAGTACAGGTCGACCGTATGTATAGTGCAATTGCAAGTTTATACTACGCCAATTCGTTCTCAAACTACGTTTCTGGTTGCAATTTTTCTTATTGTCTATTCTAAAACTATTTTTTTGGCTTTCCCAAATGCACTTCTATCAAGAAGGTTGGTATTATGGCCTTCAACGTGAACCACAGGCTACTGCTCCGTAATCCATGACATGGACATTCAGGACACACACACTCACACACACGATAGGATGGTGCGCAGTGGGCGGAGCTTCTGCGGTGCCAACTGACGTCACCCGTTGAGTAGAATAATAAATGCGAAATGTAAACAGAGATGTCAGCTGTGAACATCATTTTCATTAATCGCTTTTATATCGAATTAGGCCAGTAGAGTTAATATTTAGTATTTCGTGGTACGTTGGTTTTAGTCGGCGTGTTGCGTATTAGTGAAAGGAGAAACTCAGTGGGATACCCTTGGAGACCTCTGCATACGGCACATCAGAGGTTTTTCACAAAAATATCTACTTTATCTACTAATGCAATTGTTTGTCTTTTTTATATTGCAAATATACATCCTCCTGTGTTATTTTGAAATGTATTTTATATTGTTATTATACATTCTTCTCTGTGTATTTGCTCATTTGATTATTATATTTTTGTTGTTTGTATCTAGTAAGTTAAGTTATTTATATAATTTTTTGTGATTAACCATAATAACATTAGTCTAGCTACGATTTTATAATTTTAACATTTAATGTGTTGATAATGCTAAACACAATGAATTATGTATTTAAGCAAATAAAGCATTTATTATTACTACTGTTATTATTATTATTATTGTTAATAATTATTTATTTATTCACGATGAAACTCATTTTACAGAGTTGAAGTCATCATCATATTATAAAACAATTATCAATTAACACCTATCTCTACCTATCTAAATAGATTAGAAATTAACGAACGCTCTTGAAACAATAATAAATATATTTTTCAAAGATTTTCCATCCGTCATATTCATACAATATTCAAAATCGAATGGCGCTATTTTTCGTATAAACGCCTGGGTACTACTCAACGAGTGACGCCAAACTCGTTCCCGGGAGCATCTTGCCCCGATGGACAATATATAGTCGTTTTTTTGTAAACATTGCATGCGCATTTGGACCGAGTTACCGATCAATCGCGGGCTTTTTATCGAAATCATAGGCAACCAGACCTGCAAGAATTGATCGTGGGATTCTCGGACCGCGTCGGCGGCAAACGAGACTCGCCGATCCGCGACGAACGGGACCAATACGTCACCGGACTACCGATTTCGTAAACAAACAACAGAAACAAACTGCGTAGAGACATATAAATAAAAGGTCTACGACATGTACACGTTTTTATTTACAACGGGTATAATACAACCTGTCTAATCTAAACAAAGCCAATATATACAGTCGCGAGGCGGCACAGCGCACCAACCTTTTAAAAATTACCACTTTTTGCGTCATCGCGATCGGTTCCGTCGCCACCAGAGGGTCGAATATATTAAAGCGGCATGCCGCTCAAACGAAATCGGAGAAATTAGTCACCCGGAAATTATATCGGTGCGTGTGGGACGCGCAGCAATTCCTCCCGATAACACGCGACCCCCGAAACGGATAAATAAAACTCTGCACACCGATCCATACGCCGCTAGAGATGCGCCCGCATGCGCCCGATTTTTCGCGCCGCCAGGGCCGCACCCAGACAAATTTTCACGGCGTGGTGCAAGACTTTGATAATTTACAAAATTCAAAAAATCATCTGCTTAAATATCGAAATTTTAATAACTATTTATGAATAGCCTGTACTTCTACGAAATAATTACAAACATATGGCAATATCCGTTCAACTCTAATTATTTAAATTATGTGAATAACCTGAAAAGATGGGTTTATTTACTCAGTGATTGTGTCATAAGTCCCATGGTTGTGTTAGTTATTCAGATTATAAAGAATTTATCGTGGTATTGACCACCTTAATAAAGGCATAATAATAATTTAATATTAAGCAATATTAGCAAATTTATTTAATTAAAAAATATGTATTATATTCTTTTCTATAAACTTCGCACCCATCCGAAACAGCATATTTTGAGTACTAAACACACCTGCTTTCAATATATACTAAATTTACCTGCGTTTACGAATACGAATATATATCAAAAACTGAAAAAAAAAGAAGATTACTGAGATATTAGTTATTGACACGAATGATGTAAGCAAAAGGCATTGGATTTCAATATCTGTAAGGACAATTTTTCCAACTTTGTTAAAAGTCACTTTAACATAAGTATTAATCGCAACCAATTAATCAACCAAATCCTAGTAACTGGCATCCATCTTGTTATTAAAAAATCAATCATCAATTTGAATAAAACATTGTAGAACCGCACAAATGATAAAATAATTGTCCCCTTAGATAAGCAAAATCTTACACTGCGCGTGTGAAAATTATAATATCTACTAATCGCCACCTTCGAGGCGCGTAACATCATAATTGCTCCGCACGCACGTGGCTCACACGTTTTATTAATTGCCGGCACATGTTTCGCAGACCGTGTGGCAGATGGCGCATTAACACGATAAACCGGACGCCGGCGGCCAGAGGCGACTCGATTGATCAACTAAAATCTGGCCATCACACCCCGAGCATGTGGCCGGCCATTTTAAAAATTGGACAACTCTGTAATTTTTTGGGTAATTTAAGAAAACCCACGTAAAGTTCTTTATAGCTTGAATAAAATTTATTTCTTTTAAAACGTTAGAAAGAAAAAAAAAATTCAGTATATCAATTTGTATGCGCTTTTCAAAGTTTCTGAAGAAGTTAGATTATTATAAAGTTTATTTTACACAAACATTTACAGACATTATTGTTTAATCGCCAAATAATAATGTGTAAAGTCAAATACTGGTAAATAAGGGAAGCATAGGGAATCCACGATATTCTGCCAATAATACAAATGAACAAAAAAAAGACAATCTGCACTTTCGTAAAATTTGTCTTATTTTTCAACCACGCAGTTGCCATTCCAATTCAGAACGAGTTCACTATGACTCTTCCGGAACAATGTTACTAGAATTTTTGAAAGGCAGAAATTACGGGTCCCATGTTGATTACTTGTTATGACGAAAAAATAAAATTTTTATTACAGTGGTAATGGTTAGTTTATCATAAAATAGAATCCCGTCAAATAATTTCAACATGCAAAAAAAACCTCGACATGATGGTCATAGTTGCTCCGGGGGTGACGACCAAACTCTCGTACTCCGGCCCGGCCAAATCTAACGGGACGGAACGCGATTAATTTGTCAAAGGGTTCCGGCCTGGACCGTGTTGCGGCCCGGCCCCGCGTCAATGAAAAGATTTATTTATGGCGGCACGTGATCGCGGATTCCTGGAAATCGCACGGGAAAGCGCAATCGGAGCTGCCAGGGCCGGATCGACCAAACGGATTGCGTGATATAAAATGTTTCCCCCATTGTTAAACGCCAAGACTGCACCCAATAAATAAACACTCAAAAGGTGCAAAATCAATTTTGTTTAACAGTATTAATTTAATTTTAAACGAATTATTTAATATCAATTTTTAGGTAGATTAAGGGCCAATAAGAAGTTTTAGTTATCAACAAAAATAAGAGCTTTATGTAACCTACTAACAAGTTGGCAATTACTTCGCGCCAAAAATCCTAATATAATTATCGGATTTTTTTATTCAAATGTTTATAATATTAACGCGTTAAGTATTTCGAAAAATAAAAATGAGAATTTTCTAAATCACGAAAATCTTCGCGAAATATTTCGATCACACTCATCGTACATCACTCACCTAGTATTGTGCGACGGGTCGCTGATGTTCCGCCGCTGTTTCCTCTGTAAAAGAAAAACAGTTACGGTTACGTCGCTGACAATAAGAAGACATTGTATGCGCACGCACAAATTCAATCTACCGAATGTAACCTATAAAAATAGGTAGTGTTTGTCGATTTTTATAGACTTTAGACGCTAGAAAAATAACGATGAAGAAAATTATTTGTTCTATTCCTTAGGTCTTTAATAAATCGCGAATAAAGTGGCGTTTATTAAACTTGTTGCATAATACACTACTATACGCCCATATTGGAAACGTCGAGTGTAACAATACAAATGAACAAACAAATCATTTGTTGGAGTTGCATATATACCTCAATTCCTAAGAATATTTCCCATATACAAATTTCGATAAATTAAAAAGCCGATGTGTGCCTCAATGTTATTAAAAAGAACGTGTTTAAAATAGTTAATTGATTTATTTTTAGAAAGCGTTCAGAACTCAGTTGCATAGAACAATATGTGGAGATCAGATGAAATGATATAAAAGTGAGGCAACATTTACAATAGAAAATTACCTAACTTACTGATATAATACTGAAATCGTTTATATATTATTATTAAATGATCATCAAACAATATTTACTTCAAATATTTGTAAAACATAAAACTGGTAACATTCCAATCTCTTCAAAATCCTAAAAAATGTCATACTTACAATTTTTTAAGCCTTTACTTTTCTAACGTTAAAAAAATTATTGATCAGGAACTAGCAGTATATATTTTTCTAGTTCAAAATGGAGGTAAAATACCAACGTATTTACCTAAATATGCAAATTTAACCAATACTTCTTCTCTTTTTTAATTTTTGCGACAACCTATCTAGTCAATGTTGTCATGCAATTTTCCTCATCACATGCAAATACTTTAATTATACCAATGATATTTATGTTAGCGGTATCTTTTATATGGCCGCCAAAAATCACGTAAGCTGAGTCAGGACGGACGAGCGGCACGCCGTTCCAGCTACGCAAGAACGAACAGCAGTACGACATAGACCGAAGAGCCGAAAGGCAATGTTGTAATAGGTGGTCAAATAGAACAGCGCTTTGGTTTTTGGGGAGTTTTATTCCGTATAGGGTTGAAACCCTTACGCCATCTCTCAAGTTAACATTTATACATTTATATAATAACCCGGCGAGTTATTTGCTTATAAAACAAAATTAGGTCACGTAAAATGCAACTACTCAAAAATATAAACTTTCTCACATCAGAAATTTATATTACTGCGACCGAAACCGAAAAATTTACAACTTTTAAAATTGGTTATTAATTAACACCAGCGCATGAAATTATTCGTACTTATTTCGCATACCCAAGATTGTCAACTGTGAACTGGCCTCACAAAGTACCCGCCGTTAACGAATGATTTAATGAATAATGATTTTAAAAACCGCAACATGCCGAAATAATAAAAAAACTTTCAAATTGAACTTTCTAATTACATTAGTATTATTTATATTCATTATAGTGTTGTGAAAAAGTAAAGAATACTCATTAATATCCTTCTCCCTCTTCCCATTCCCAATCAAGTCTACTGGTTATAACACGGCAGCGCCTCCAGCGGAAATTCTTAACAGCCCAATGATAGGAGGATTTCTGACCGATTTTGGCAACATAGCAATTTGTAGAATTTTTCGACCCCCATTGAGGGAACCAAAACACAAGTTTCCACTTGAACGCCATTTTTGATATGAAAACGCTAAATTGAAAGGACATAAACAAAACCGTTATGTTGTTTTTTACGGTTAGTCGGTTGAACCATTTGATGCGCATGTGCTAGCGCTGGTGGCGAGCACAATGTCACTTACCTTCTCCGATTGTTCCTTGACGCTCTCGGAACGATTGATGTTGCTCGCGAGTTTCTTCCTGCCTCCGCCACCGCCTCCGCCGCCACCTCCCGCCGGAAGACTGACGGAACTGCAATGAAAAAAAAAAAGAGAGAATGTGAGCGGACCGTCGCGTCGTACGGGGAAGGGCCAAAATTACTTTGCGGACGACGACATAACAAATAATTATTATTATGGCCGCTTCGTCGCAGATCTTGCGTATTTCGTCGCGAATTCGAACGGCAGTGGTGGACGTTCCGCGGGCGGCCGGGACCGCGCCGCATCTCTAAAAATAGGCCGTCGCGGACCAGGATGTGCCGAAGGAATTATTTCGCGTGTACCGAGTGTTGTTGTTATTGTCGTTGTACCGGGCGGAAACGGCCGAAAAAAAAAAGAAGCGTAATCCGGCGCAGACCTTGAACGCAGCCGATATGACGTCACGTGTTGCGTGAAAAGAAAAAGTTCGTTTACATGATCGGTTCAATAAATATGGTGGCAAATGTTTGTCGTTATAAAGATAAATAGTAAAGATGTAAAATTTATTGACCGAAGAGACGAACAACGGTAAGACAGTACTCGCAAACATTACTATGGTCTGTGCATAGATATAAGAAAGTGACTAATTGCTTTTGAATGGGATTATCCAAGGGTGGTCATTAACATATAATGCAACAAGATTATTACCTAAAGTTTTAATTGCTACATTTTTAAATGCCTTAGGTCGGACAGCCTTTCCAATCACGAGAAAACCTCATTTTTGTCCGGCCATATTAGCACAAAATAAACCTTTTCACCACTACATTTTTTGAATTTCAAAGAAAGTGTTTTGTTAGGTAAGACTCGAAAGAAAAAAACACCGGGAGAAAAAAACTAAATTGTTTGAGACAGGCGGTTTGACGCGGGCCAGGGGTCAACAATTCTCCTTTACAAACTCGAAATTTTCCGACGCTTGGTATACACGTTGGCCCAAAACACTTCACTTCTGGGACTTCTCGTGCCTAACGGGTCTGTTTTCCTCCTACAGCCTGGTCTTTCATTATTTACGGGGCCGTAAAGTACGGCGGCTACGACGGAAGAAAAACAAACTCTCCAAAAGCGGCCCATTAAAACTTAAATTAGATCCGGCGCGCAAAAATTTTCCCAACCTTCGGGGTATTATCGGGACACCGAGAGGAGAATATGTTTTATGATCAGCGAGTACGTACGAGGGATGTGTCTAAAGTTCTAATTATCGACGATATTACAATGTAGTCCTTCAACATATTTTATAAAGTAATTTTCTTAAGCCGTCCTGAAAGAATTTTTTCTGTCTCCTCAAACTCCCTATGTATGTCATGTTTTACATAAGTTAAACTTTAAAATCCAACTCCCCGTAAGGGTTTTTGATATCCGCCAAATAAGGTGGATGCAATTCCCATCGAAAATCGTTTAAAACATGTTTTATTTTTCTTGCAGTGTGTGGTCTTGCATTATCCTGTTGCAACAACGTCGTGTTTAGTTGTACTTTTTCACCAGATAATCCGTAAAAATAATACCTTTGCCATCCCAGAATACAGTAGGCATTACCTTTCCAGACAGATGGAACTGCAGGCGTCTTAAGTAGAGGACCATCTTCAGGTGTGTGCCATTCTTTGCATTGACTTTCTACAGTTGGTACTATTCGTTACCAAAATTGCTACTGGAAGTTAGACCATATCAGAAGTATTGAATTTCTGTTCTGGTTCCAGCCACCTTGACACCCTAAGTCTAAACCCAAACAATCATGCAAGATGTCACGAACTTGAATAGCTATCCCTTAGCGCGCAGTACTTTGACGAATCGTCATTCACCTGTCAGCAATGTTTTTCGCACTTTCTGTCCACAGAAAGAAAATTATTACTTTTTGAGATGCTGTTGCGTCTTTCTTGGTAACAAAAACAGTCCTACGAAAAGGCGTCCATATCAGTCGAACATCTAATGAGATCAAGTTACGTAGTCAACTCGCTTTACATTAAGAGAGATTATAATTTTAATTACCCTATACTCACCACATAATCTCAACAAAAAAAGCTTTGGGAGGTATCGTATAAAAATATGTGTACCAAACCGTGAACAACCTTTACTATTTTTTATTTTTACTTTACTTTTTTTAAGATAAACCTACTTACACAGAAAGTACCAAAGATATTATGAATGGTTATTTATAACATTTAAGAAGCATTAGAAAGTTGTCGGATTCGTTCAATGCGTTGAGTGGGAGCTGATATTTCACAATTCAATGCTCGCAGTACTCGGCTACTATATCAAAAACTCTGACCAATTGAGTCTTTATTTACATAAAGTTTGCAGTCAACTGCTATACACGAAGAAACAATCGGGCGTCCCCTGGGCAACGACTTAGTCGGCTAATCCTTCTAACACCAGTTCACCATAGAATGAGAAGAAACGGAGAAAAAACCAATCGGCCTTCTTCAAGGCCAGCACTTGTGACAACCTCACTGAATATTGAGGGACTATCTATAAATAAAGAATTTTTAATAGCGGACATGTGCAAGCAGCGAAACTGTGATATTTTAGCCCTACAAGAAACCCATAGAGGTCCTACTAGTCATAGACCAAAGATAGCCGGAATGGAGCTAGTTCTTGAAAGGCCCCACAGTCAATATGGAAGCGCGATTTTTGCAAGGCCTGACCTTGTCATTCGCTCTACTGCCTGCACCTGCAACAATGATGTGGAGATTTTAACCATAGAGCTTGAATTATGTACAGTCACTTCAGTGTACAACCAAACACAACCTTTGAGTTTGTCAAGCCTGGAAACTTCGAAAATCAGAAGGCCAAGTTAGTCATAGGAGATTTCAACTGTCACAGTGTCACATGGGGATATCGAACAACAGATGTCGATGGTGAAGCCCTCGAGCTATGGGCAGAGCAGAATGATCTGAGGCTAATTCATGATCCCAAACTTCCACCCTCCTTCAACAGTGCTAGATGGAGACAGGGCTACAACCCAGACAACCTCTTTGTAACTGAGGCAATAGCACAACAAGCTGTCAAATATGTCGAAAATCCTCTTCCCAGAACACAGCATAGAGCAATAACTTGCAGTATAGAGGCTGTTATAAAAGCAGAAACTGTCCCATTTAAACGAAGGTTTAACTTCAAAAAAGCAAAATGGGACATGTTTGCTCAAGATGTGGACAGAGAGATCACAAAGTTAGAACCAATACCTAGATCTTATGGAGCTTTTGTGAATATTGTAAAGCAAATATCCAGGAAACACATTCCAAGAGGGTGTCAAGTAAACTATATTGCTGGCCTCGATCATGACTCTCTAGCTGCCCTCAATAGCTATGAAAAACTATTCGATGAGGACCCCTTCTCAGATGAGACTGTAAGCACTGGCGAACAGCTACTGTCTCTCATAGCAGAATCTAGAAAGGAAAGATGGTGCAACCTCCTTGAACAGTTGGATATGAAGAGAAACAGTCGTCGAGCCTGGAAGCTGCTAAAGAATCTAAGCAATGATCCAACAACAAAGAAATCAAGCATGGGTGATGTCACAGCCAATCAGATTGCCCACCAGCTCCTCCTAAATGGCAAAACTGCAGGGAAAAACAGGAGAATAGAGATTGAACGAGAGCTGGAGAGTGAAAACCACTCCTTAGATACGCCATTCACATCGCAAGAGCTACAAGGGGCTATCAAACAGATGAAGGAGCATAAGGCAGCAGGTGTTGATGACCTAAGAACTGAGCAAATCAAACAGTTTGGACCAAAGACAAGAACATGGCTGCTCAATCTTATCAATAACTGTGTCGACACTATGCAAATTCCCAAAGAGTGGAGGAGAGCACGAGTGATAGCACTCCTGAAACCTGGGAAAGAGCCAAACAACTGCAAAAACTATAGGCCTGTCTCTCTACTATGTCATCTTTTCAAGTGCATGGAGAGGATGATATTCAACAGGATCTCTGAGAAAATCGATCAGTCCTTGATCGCGGAGCAGGCTGGCTTTAGACCTGGCAGATCATGCTGTGGGCAAATCCTCAACCTGACACAGCACATAGAGGATGGGTATGAGAGGGGCCAGGTGACAGGAGTTGCATTCATTGATTTAAGTGCAGCTTATGATACCATCAATCATAGAAAATTGATGCACAAAATATATAATCTCACTAAAGATTACAGGCTCACAAAGTTTATCGAATGCACTCTCCAGAATAGAAGATTCTATGTAACGTTGCAGGGGAAAAATAGCAGATGGAGACAACAGAAGAACGGCTTGGCACAGGGAAGCGTTCTTGCACCCTTATTATATAACATTTACACGAATGATCAGCCAAATAGTTCCAAGGTGAGACGTTTCATATATGCTGAGGACACAGCGGTGGCTGTACAGGGGAAAACCTTTGGGAAGGTGGAGGAAGAGCTTAACCAGTACCTTGGAAACCTTGGTTTGTATTATGAACAGAATAACCTTAAACCCAATCCATCTAAGACTCAGGTGTGCGCTTTCCATCTTCGAAATAAAGAAGCCAACAGGAATTTGAAAATAAATTGGATGCAACAAGAACTTGAGCACTGTGACTGGCCTAAGTACCTTGGTGTCAAACTGGACCGAACGCTGTCATACAGAGCACACTGCCAGGATACGAAGATGAAGGTGGCTGCTAGAAACAACATTATACGCAAATTGACAAGTACAAGATGGGGGGCTAAACCTGGTGTCCTGCGAACCTCAGCTGCTGCACTCTGCCTCTCCACAGCAGAATACGCTGCCCCAGTTTGGGCAAATTCTGTACATTCCAGGCATGTTGACACTGCAGTTAATGAGACTGGGAGAATAATTTCAGGCTGCCTCAAACCTACGCCTGCTGAAAAGATTTTCCCAATTATAGGAATAGCGCCGCCACCCATCCGAAGAACTGTGGCGGCAGAAATAGAACGGAAAAAGCAAATCAGTGACCCAAGGCATCCTCTGTTCCACCAACAGCCAGTATCAGCAAGGCTCAAGTCAAGGAGGAGTTTTATCCATTCAACAGTACCTCTCACTACCACACCTGAACAACGAAGGTTAAATCTATGGCAGGAGAAAGTGCAAAATCCGCTCTTAGATCTGAAAGAAAGTATAAGCTGTGGCGACGAACTCCCCTTCGCAACCTGGAAGTCTTTAAATCGGCTACGCACAGGAGTCACAAGATGCAAAACAAACCTGCTGCGCTGGGGATACATTCAGGACAATGCTACCTGTGACTGCGGCTTGGAACAGAACTACAATCATCTGTTGCAGTGCGGGTTGCTTGGCACAAATTGCTCTCATGACGACCTCCTCAAATGCAACGACAAGGCCCTTCAGGTGGCCAAATTTTGGGAGCGAAATATTTAGAATAATACTTTATTCATAATGGTGATCCTGGACACGGAAAAGAAAAGAAAGATAGAACTGTAGGTTAACCTGCAGATTTTGTATTATTATACATCCTTATCCCTAAGAAATTAGAAAATAACTGTCGTTTTTTTGGTATTTACGGCTTGACAAAGATACAGTTTTTCCTTTTTTACCGAAAATTGTCGATTCGAATCTTTAAAATTGTAAATTCTTTTCATCTATTGATTATAGAACAATTCCAGGAACTTTGGAAACGTTCCTTGTATAATATATATATACATATATATATATATATATATATATATATATATATATATATATATATATATATATATATATATATATATATATATATATATATATACATATATTCTAAATTTGAACGAAGTGCGTCGACGACTCACCTCGATTTCCTGCTCACGGTGGCGTACGCCGAAAATAAATCCGAAAGGGAGCGTCGATCCATAGCTTCGCGAAAAAACGAAAAAGAAAACCTTTACATAATTCGACGCTCCGCAAAACTGCGTCCGCAACGGGAATCACGGTGTCGTGGAAGAACCATCGAAAAGCCGACCTAATCTAATCTATTCCGATTATCGCGCATCGAAAGATTAACGTCGAATGCCGAGGCGTGTATATGGGCGAAAACAACGCTTTGTTACTTTGTCGTTGCCGCTATTTTTTTTTTTTTTTCAAAACAAAACGCAATTTGGCATATTCATATATACGCCAAAACACTCGGAGCGGTACATCTACTGTCTTTATTTGACTATACCACACAAGCGATGGAACTCCAAAGGAACCAACCTAAATAGGGGGCGAGGCAGTGGAGTTTTTCCCCAAGAATACGTGGTGGACTCCAGTTTGTTACTGCACTCATTTACCAACTATTAACTAATTAACCAAAACTAAAAGAACTTCGAACATTCACTGTCTTTATTTGACTTTACCAGACAAACGATGCAACTCCAAAGGAACCAACCTAAATGAGAAGCGAGACAGTGGAATTTTTCCAGAAAAATACGTGGTGGACTCCAGTTTGTTACTTCACTCAATCAACAGATTTAAAAACCTACTCGAGCTTCCATTTTTAATATTACCTGTAGGTCAAAATAATCCATTTTGTCTTGGAAAACATGAAAGTCCACGCGAATGATATTTTTTCAAAGTTTGAAAGTAATGTCAAAAATTTCCTTATTGAAAAATGTAATTATAATGTCTGCGACTTTTCCTCGTGAAAGGAATTGGGGATCTAGTAACTCTACTTTGTGATGTATTATATAATAAATCTTTATAACTGAAATAAATTTACTTATGTTTCGGGCAAATAGATCACTATTAGTTATCAAGTGTAAACGAAACCAAATTCAGACTACATCTTTCGGCTTTAAATTGAATAATATTAAAGCAGATCAACCAAATGTTAACCAATTTGAAAACGGACTTAACAGCTCACGAAGAGCCACTTTCATTGTTTGCGATTTCGTTTGTAAAAGGTATGTCCGAACAGATCCGACGAGTAACCAAAAGGTATAACATCAGGTCTCGATGGACTTTATGAAGTACCTTACCAAAAACAGGCTCGAATCATCTATCTTCTTCTAAATTTAGGATTCGAAGAACACAAAAAACATGCATCGCAAGGCCTTTACAAAATGGTGAATGAAATTGTCTGCTAACTTTAACGTACCATTAAAATAATGTAGCAACTAGGGACGTAAGAGAGCTTGGGTTTTCCAAGTGAGTTTTGCCTTAATTTATTTCCACGAAATTGATGAATTAGAAATAGAAAATGTATAGAAAAACTTTTTCGCGTATTACGCAATACAGCTTAAGAGTACCGAACCACTCATTGATAAACGAATATACTCTATACGCTAAGCTGTATCCACCAATAGCCCTATATAGTAAATCTCTAAAAAAGAAAGTAATAAATAAATCAATACGTTTTATACGTTACGCTGCTAAAGCCCTACCTCGTAAATCCTTGGTAAAAGTCGTAAAAATGATTATATATATATATATATATATATATATATATATATATATATATATATATATATATATATATATATATATATATATATATATATATATATATATATATATATATATATATATATATATATATATATATATATATATATATATATATATATATATATATATATATATATATATATATATATATATATATATATATATATATATATATATGATGACACTATATTCCGGGATATCATCCGTTCGCTCGTTGAACTCCGACTGGAATCCTGCATCCGACTGGAATCCTGCAAATCCTGCATCCGACTGGAATCCTGCAGACGTTTCGCCAAAATCTCACTTGGCATCTTCAATGCTCGCGCTTCGAAGACACTTCGAGTGTTCGAAGGATTCCAGTCGGAGTTCAACGAGCGAACGGATGATATCCCGGAGTATAGTGTCATCACATTTTTCCATCCGTGAATCAATACGTGAGAATATATATATATATATATATATATATATATATATATATATATATATATATATATATATATATATATATATATATATATATATATATATATATATATATATATATATATCAATAAATTCTATACCTAAAAACTGCATCCACCGCCAAAGGTCTTGTAAATCTCTAATAAATGTCGGAAAAATGAAAATAATAAATAAATGAATAAATTATATACGTCACACTGTAAAAGCCTTACCTAGTAAATCCTTTGTAAAGGCCGTGAAAATGAAAACAAAAAATAAATTAATAAGCTCTTTGCGTTAAGCTGCACACGCCGACAAAAGCTAGTGTTGGGGCTGGTCAACTGATTACTTCTCAATTGAATAGACAATTCAATGAACATGTTTTAAATACCACCTTGCAATTGTATAATATTTATTTTATATAACACATTATTGTGAGTTTGTAATGTCCAATTTCCCTACCGAAAACCCCAATACGATACTTATATAATCGGGAAATCAATAAAAATATCCACACCATTGATACAAAAAAATTGTAAATAGGCAGAAAAAAATTTCGTGGCTTGCTGTTCAGAATAACTAAAATAAATTGTGGCAATTAACCTATGGGGTGGGCATATTGATAGATAGTATCAAAGATATGGGGCTATATTTTTGGTCTGCGCTTTTAGACTGCGGTCCCATATGTTACTGCCTGCCGAATGGCTTCACGCGAAATAATAAATTCGGGGACGACGCATGGGGTGCTTACCTTTCGGGCGACTGATGACGACTGTCTGCGGACGTCTCCTCCTGCTGATGGTGGTTCTGCGATACGTCGTGGTCGGCCTCGCGCAAGCTATCATCGCCGAAACCATCGGACTTGCGATCCGATTTGGAGTCGCCTGAAACACAAACGAGAACCACATAAGAAAATAGGCCATTTATAAATTTCCCGCGCTTAAAATAAAAAGTCAAGTTTTTGCAAAAGAACAGGTTTTTCCCTACAATTATAAAGTTGCGTGCATAGAAATCGGCCCATTGTGAACTTTTGACTTCGAGTTCATTTTTTTAGGAACTACTGATCAAATAAAAAAAATGCTGCTTGAAAGACAATTTTAATATGCTTTTTATAATTTCCATAGTAAAATAAGTGCACGAGTCAAATTAACTCTTTTTTATTACTTAAAGCAAATAGGGTTATTGACAATTAGCAACTCAACACTTTGTTTTAATAATGGACATGAAACCCTCTTGCCCTAACATCATCTTTTATTCGACATATAGTACCACGTGATCTGATAAAATATCATTGATGTATCTAGCGCTTTGACCACGGTCGCCCCTACGGATGAAAACAGGGTCGGTTCGTGCGTCCATAGAAATGGCACCCCATATCATGAACGAACCACCTTCATAAGGGCTCCGCTCCTGGTCTTTGGTACACTTTTTTTTCGTCAGTCAGTGCATCAAGCGCACACAATTGAACGCTATTTAGATGGTTAAAAACGAATAATATTAAAATTCCAGTTGCAAAGGCTATAAGTCTATAACAAGTTTGTAACTATCTTTATTTAACTGTAGCTACACATATAAAACATCAGCACTCTTTACAAATTTAAACTCATACTGAAGCATGCTAAATTCTTCTAAATATTATGTTGGGTAAGATATAAATTAATGAAATATACAGTGGGCGACTTCTATGGCGACTATGGATATGAACTGTACAGGTGTTAGGATTGATTGGTCCAAGTGGCACTCCTGGAGTGAGTATTTCTTTTTTTGGAGCCCCCTTGCTTTTATAACAATGTAGTGTGATTGCATTTAACTTGGACGGTTGTAGCTTCACCTGGTTTGATTCTTTCCTGAAACCTGTATCGACACAGAATGGAGGGAAAGAAAACAAATTCATTTTCGATGTTTCATTTTCTTTTTCAATATTTATAATCATGTGAAAAGCATTTATAGGACAGAGAGAACTTATTTTTGTAAAAAATATAGTCATATATTGTCGGACACCCTTACCTGCTCTGTTCACGTGCAGCCAGCTCGGCACTTTGGTCAAGTTGCTCGCGGACCCCGCCCACCTATTGACCGACTGCAGGCTACCGAACGCGATATAATCGAACTCGTCTTTACACACGGAAGAGGCGGCCGAATAGACCGCGGCCGCCTGTTCCATAATCTTGGCCCGCCGCGTCCTCAACAGGTTCAAATTAATCGAACTGCTCGACTTGGTCTTGACAAGGGCGGCGGGTGGCTTATCTGCCTCCTCGACTGATTTCTTCGACCCGAAAGGCCTGCTGATCCGTTCGAGGTTAGTCGTTTGCCGTACTAACGAGAACGGCGTCAAATATTTGGACGACATGGTCGCCTCTTCTTCCGGGATCCGCCCGTTCAAGTCCATCGAGGACTTTTTCGACTTGCGTTTCGCGTATTTATCGAGCTCGATTTTGGCCGCGTCGTCGCTCTTGCTTTTATAAATGCGCGACTTCACCCGCTTTATGTACGAGTCGGAGGCGTTAGACGCCGGTTTCTTGGGCTGTACCGTTTCTTCGCCCTTTTTGTAACTATAACGGGTGTCGCGGCCTTTGGTCGATGCCTCCAGGTCGACGGATTTCTCCGAGGACGGTCTAAAGAGGTCGCTGAATCGCTTTCGAGATTGGTCGACTACGAAAAATCCGCTCAGGGCGCGCGTCAGCGGCATCGGGGCGCCGTCTCCCGCCTTGTCAATCTCGTCGATAACGTAACTGTCGCTGTAACGTTTAAGCGCGGCGTCAGCGCCCCCGTCGCGTTTGTCACCCCGCAATACCACCGCCTCCTCTTCATCCTCCGTTTTTTTAATTTCCACCTCCTTGTTTTGCTGCTCCGGCGGCTTGATGGTGTCCTTTTTGTTTTTGCCCCTCCGGGTTTTACCCGGTTTCGGTTTGTTTTTCTGTACGTCATCTTCGACGGGCGTCTGCTTCCTGGTGTTGGACGGTTTCCGCACAGTCATGGTTTTACTCTTCGTCCGCGATTCCGCTGGCTTTGACCACATGACGTCAGTAATAGCGGGGCATAACCATCGCTAGCTCTTTCGTTTTTTTATTTTTCGGACCCTCTCCGATTATCTGCTAAACACGCCCAGAAGAACGCGTCGATAACACTCTTATCGCGCAAAAATTCCACCGGATTTACGATTTCTCATATTACGTCGCTTATTTCCTACCGATAAATAATCTCTTGTCACCTGTGCTTGAACACAAAAAAAACAGACTGGCACTTGCCGGATACATAAAAGACGACACAAAAACCACAATTAACGACGCTTTCGCGCGTACATTATTCTAAAAAACACGTTAAAATAGACGATTAAAAAAAGGAACCCCTACAAACAACGTCCTTCGCCTCCCAAACATAACCTCAAACTGTAATCGAGTGACACACACACATGCATCAAAACACTTTCACTATTCGCGCAACACCTTCGACGTCGGGATAGGCCGTCGCAGCGGTCGTGGACCGATGACCTGTAATTACTTTATAATAGGCCGTTGAAAGGCTTGCGGAAAACAAAAATACGGCGAGGGCGTTTCCGTGCGCGGACGAACGGTTCGTAAACCCGCTTTGTGTATAAGTACCCATGGGACACCAACAATTACAACAATCGGACGGTTCGGTGTCTGGTCTCTAAGGTCGGCACCGTACGCCGCAATTTGTGCGAGGCCGGAGACTCGGCATTCGAAAGTGTACGATCCGGTCGAGCGCACGGAACACGCGACGAAAAGCCCATAACTATTTCCAAAGTAAGCCCACCGGTAGGACGTCCCAGATATTGCGGGGCGTAAAATAAAGATAAACGCGGGGCCTGTTCAGCAAAACTCCGCGTGCGCAACCCCCTTTACGTACTCGGGTTTCTCCGCTCGAGCTTTACCGAAGCCAAGTGCGGTCGGCGGCGTTGTCACGTTGAACTCCTTTCCGCGGGGAAAACGACCATCGGGTGATATGAAGGATGCATTTTTTTTTAGGTTTTCGGTGAGCCGACAACATTGCGCCGAAGTTCGTCACTCGTAACCGAAATTATGCAAATAAAAGGAATTGTTGGCGGTTTGCTGATTAAATAACGATTATTATTAGAAAGACCGGTGCGTTTAGCGCGGATTTAAACGGCGTTCGTCGCTTTTTATATCGAGCGCAATATCTACTCCCACGCAAACGATGAAGCAAAATCGATTGCCGATCATGAACTTACGATAAATAGCATTTCCGGAAATGCAACGAAAAAAAGAAGTACGACAAAAAACGGCTTGCTAATGATAAAAATCCCCACATTTAACATACAGTTTTTTGGGTACTCGTAAAAATTTTAATTGTGAACACCCCTTATAGTGACAGCATCTCCCCTGAAAGTGCATCGCGAAGTTTATAAGGTTTTTAAGTTAATTCTTTCAGAAACAATTAGCTTAAAACCTATACAACCTTAACATAAAAGAAATAGTATATTATGCAACAAGTGCGGTAAACGGAATTTGACTCACGAGTTTATTTGACACGAGCGGAGCTAGTTTTTAATAAACGAGTGAATTAAAAAGTTTACCGAACGTGTTGCATACTATACTTTTTCTACGACCGTTAGTTTTTAGGTACCTTTTCGTAAAACAACACGAATACATTCACTGACATGACCGCCAGAATTGACCAACGTCAAAATTCAATCGAAACTGACGTGGTAAAGTGACGCTTCCCGCACGCTAGATCGGTGGGTAATTAGGTATTTTACAGAGAGAAGTAGAAAAAGGAATTTATTGTGATTTACTCTCAGAGAAGATTCTTATTTCGGGCATGCGCAGTGGCATTGAAGTATCTAAAAGCTCAAAGGTCACAGTTTTTTGTGTAAACATTTGAATTGTGAATGCTGTATTAAATTTTTGCCTATGAGGTATGAGATATCAAAAAATTTTAGAAATAAAAGCAACAATTCTTTCCAGAACACTTAAATTCATTACAGCCAAGTAGAATTAATACATCCCCTCATAGTGAAAGCATCTCCCTCGTATGTGAATCGTGAAGTTATAAAGTTTTTAAGTTAATTGTTTCAGAAACAATTAGCTTAAAACCTATATACACTTAAGATAAAACAAAAGGAATTTATTCCGACCCGGTTTCAGAGGAGATCCTAATTTTGGGCATGCGCTATGACAGTTGATAATACAATTCACAGGTTACCAATATTCAGAAATGTCAGCGTAACCAAAAATGAACATCCAATATAATACTTCTCCAAAAAACTTATATACGCTATAAAAAAATAAAAAAGCAACGTATTTTTATGGAGTTTCCTTTACGATTCATTGACGCACAAAATAAAAAACAAAGTTCTTTTCTTAACTCACCGTGATGAGACGCGTCATCATGCTCCTCCGAGTGACGCTGATCCTTTTCCACTGAAAAGCGAAACGAAAACGTTCAAAGAAAACGAGATCATTACGAATGACTCACTCGATATGAAACTGGACGACATTTTCTTCGTTTTGCTCTGGTCGGCGCTGTCGTGGCGCATCCCGATAAACTTGCGGATGCCGCGGTCCTTCTTCAGGATGGGTCCCGGGCAACTGTCGTCGTAAAGCTTCACACAGTGCCGGTGAAGATTTATTAGACATACGGCGCACTGGTAACCCTGCGGACTGATACCGTAGATGATCTGGTGACAATTGTTGCACGGTGTCACCGAGTAGAACTGCTGCAGAACGAACTGATGGCTCAGATAGCTCAGCTAGAATAGAATGCAACTCAAACTCTTCTCTCTCTCTCTCTCTCTCTCTCTCTTAATTTTGTTTTATACCTTACGAGAATACCGCCCCATCAGTTTCGTCTTGAACGAACGTTCCTTGTTGACGAACGTCGGACAGCGTTCGGTGTCCTGTCCGGAAAATCGAAGGCGGAAGATCCGCGTGAAAATCGTCATCAGGGACGCGGCCATGAAGTAACGGTGAGGGTCGTAGTTTTCCTTGTCGATCTCGTCGAAGTAGGGCTCCATTTTCGGGAAGAACAGCATCTCGTACAGTTTCTGTTCCTTGACCTTATCGCCGTAGTACTCCTTGAGCTCGGTATCGGACGGGCCGTACATCGTGCCTAAGCCGGCCGTCCTCTTCTGTTGAAAATCGGTCAGTTGCCGCGTCAGTTCCTCCTTGGCCCGTGATCGCGCCTTCCAGAATATCTTCCGCATTATCTCCTCTTTCGCGTACTCTTTGGTTAGGTTGTCGTCGATTTCGCGGGCAATGTTCTCGTCCACGTTGTTCAAACGTAACGGCTACGATTTAACGCGATTGAAATTCAGGTTACGTTACTACTTAACTAGCGGATGTATACCGACAGATCGGGATTAGCAATTTTCATTGCGATAGTAGGTACCACCTCGAGCAAAAAAAACTAAGAAAATTTTTAGGTTGACAAAACATATTCCATGAAAATAGGTCTTTACTATCAAACTGAAAAGTCATATTTGTTCTAGTTTTTTTTTGCACGCGATAGTACCTACTTGCATGAAACAGATCTTATCGATGAGAGTTTAATGAGGTTTGTATTTAATGAAATGAAATACATAAATGTATACCTACACTATCATACCTACAAATCAAGCCTTTAATTAAAAGGCGGATGTAGGGATTTTTAAAATCTGTTTTTTGAACACATATAGCAGTCTCGTTCTTTTTATTTATTTTTTTATAAACTACAGATATATAAAACCTGTCTTTCTCAATAATAAAATACATCAAAGGAATGTGAGAATTCAATGGCTGCTTGGTTGAAAAGAGCTACTTTCACTAAAGAATGACAGAAAACCTGTCAAATATTAAAATAAATAAGAACTAAAAGTTCAGATTTTCACGAAAATATATATTATCAAATCAAATGTACATTTGATGAAGACACGGTGTTGTCGAAACAATTGTCATGTCATGAGTTAGGTTCAAGATATAGTATCTTACTCTATATTTAAGATATTTTAGGTTAGGTTTTTCTATATTTTTGCTATATTATATATATTATATAGCAACATTTTTTTCATATCTATAAGATAAAAAAATAGATATGTATAAAATGTGTTTTATTCATGGTATCAATCGGCAGTCCTTCACTTCTACCATCAAAAGCAAAATTTAAGTTTAAATATTAATTGGAAAAAACTTGTGCGTAACAAATATCGTTTGCTATTCCAGTGATGACTTCACCAATCATACCCAATAGGTTAATTCCATCACAATTATTAAATATTAAATCTTTATTTTAAGGTTATTCTATTGTACTTTGACTTAATTTTAAATTGGCGTGTATGGTAAATAAACGCTTTTGTTTGTAAAGTTCTAAATTTTAAGAAACAATAGGTTTTTTTTTTTTCATTGATTCGATGAACTTTCGTCTTTACTTAGACGGCTGTCCAGGGTTTTCCATAATAAACGAATTAATTAGACAATTTTTGCAAATCGTTTAAAGTCAACAAACAAACCCACAACCTCCTGCAAGTCGAGTTGGCAGGTTTAATGCCTTAACAATCGAGCCATCTTCCCTAGTATCTTATTTAATTAAGCGCTATGATGATGTCCATTTTATACCCCCGGCACATTAAATTTGGCAACGGCTTCTTTAAAACAAATTTATCTGTGCATATATATATTAGGTACTTTAAATATCATTGTACCTCGTTTTCTAATTTTATTAGATATTGTTATCGATATATTACTTTTGGAAAAGCTATCCTGCACATTTTATTGAGAACTTGAGCATAGCGACGCAATTACAGACTCTTTACTCGCGCCATTAAACCAAAAAAAAAGTTGATATCCCGAGTCAAGGCGGGAATGCTCCGCTCCTCCCGAGCTGTCTGTATCTTACGGCCAAGTGCAGATAACCTAACCGATAAAGTTGCTGGCTTATATTAAGTTGATGGTTCACTAATCGACAACAAATCTCCGTCACTAAACTAAATGATTTCATAATAATCAAAGGCGATTTCAAAGTTCCTTCCACTCGACGATAATAAGAACCATCTGACAACGTCGCGCAAATGTTTACCGGATGCGCGGCAACTCCACCGCTCTGCACTTGGAACGTAAATGTCACTTACTCCACTAGCAAATAATGATAATAAATAGTCTTCTCTCAAAATATTAATCTATTTTTGGACACAACACTTAAAAAAAAAACTTACTGCGCCCGGAACGAGAAAACACGAGTGGATTTCGAAGGCCCACTTCCGCATCTCCTTGGCGGTGCCCTCCTTGTAGAGGTCCGTCAAGAGGTAAAACAGCAGGCTGTGGGGGTCGGAATTGGACAGGACGTAATTCATGAAAATCGCGAGGTGTGGCAGATGCTCCCAGAGGCGGGACAGCGATTTGAAGGGCCCGTGGTCTTCGGCCTGGTCCTGAACGCGTATAAAAACTGTGTCAGTGGGCAGGGGCTTCACGATCTCGGTATAGACTTACTATCTCCAAGTCGGACATGTCATCATCCTCCATCGTTATGATGGGGGTGTTGACCGGGGAGGAGACGAACCCGCGCAGAAAGAGGTTACCCCCCTTTTTGCCGTTTGGGCTCGAACACTGGGTATCCGCCGGCTCCGACGGGGTCTGGTTGGATTTTTTTTTTCGGGGTTAGTTACAAATAATATTGTTTAGATATGGATAATAAGAACCAACAATCAAGCCGCTGTGCTGTCAGGAAAAGCTATATATGAGTCTATCCCCAAATCTAACCCCAAATAAATCAGTGACTTCTTGCAGTAACAGGTATTTTGCATTCAAGCTTTCGCGGTTAATAATGGTCGCATTCAGCGGACGTAGCAAAGCGCTCCCGGTACGTAGCGGTAAAGATTGCGATTGGAAGCGTGTTGGACATTTGAATCTACAAAGCCGTAACCGAAACATGTGGGGTGGGGCCATTTTTAGTAGCGAGTTATCGGTAATGGTAGAATTTGGTTTTGAAAGAGGTGAATTTGATCAAGGTGAATTGGACTGTGATGGTGATTATGACATTCCAGCATAATAAATATATTTTATTTGTTCTTATTTATATTGTTATTAGTATTTAAAAAATTTACAAAAAAATTGTTTTCAGGGTCCCAACGTGAAAGTTTCCTCGAAAACCTCTGGAGCTTTCGAAGATCCTATCAAGGTATGTCTTTTTTCAAACAAATGGTAATCTTTTTTAAATGCAAACTACACTCCCATGAAATAGAAATTCAATTTTAAGATTTTTGAAGAAATGTATTTTCACTAAGCCGAAGAAATATTGGATAGGAAATGGAGAAACTTTAAAAAAGCCTACACAGGCATCAAAGACAAATAGAAGGAAAACTGGAAGGGGTATTATCACCAATTTGATGAAATACATAGGGAGAACAAAACAGAACAAAAAAAATAAAAGCATATAACATGTTTTATCTACAAAGAAGGCTGACAAATATCGATGAAGCTCAAGTACAAGAAATTAAGGAAAGAAAAAATTTTTTTTATTTATTATGTGAATTACAAAAAAAAAGAGCAATAATTGAAAAACACATTTTATTTGTTATAAAGGTATATTTGCTATTTGGTTCCTCTCCTCATTTCCCCTCTCATCTGCAATATCTACTTCCAGGTGTGGTAGCTCCTCATTCTAAGATAATTAAGTCTCGACGACTTACAAAATGTCATCCTACGTAATGGTTTAAGATTTCTTTTACCTTTTGCAATTATTATAAAATGAGATCAATAATTATAACAAAAAATATTTAAATTTAATAATAAGTTTAATGATTCCTGGAATTTATTATTAGTGTTATTAGGACGTATTACAGTTTATGAAAATTAAACTTCTATGTTTCCCGTTAAGCGACGACTTTTAAATGTACTTTTACTCTCATCTCTGATAAATATAATAAATGTATTGGGCACCGCTGTTGACGTTTACAAATAATACAATCTACCATTCTGCTTGCACTCTTATAAAACTCACGTCTAAGTTAGTTTCTGCAACATACACAGTTTTAGTTATTTAGAATTTGATAATTTGAGTACTGTTTTGTTGAGCAGATGTATTTTAAAAGGAAGAAGCTATTTCACACCATCTACATTTGTGCCTCTTTTATTACACCCTTTATTACACAGGTTCGGGAAACAAGTGCGCTGCTGCCAAATTTACGGGAAATCTCTGGGTACTTTTTCGGACCGGAAAGTAAATATTCGAATACACTGCCGAAATTTAGCGGATGATATTTTTATCCGTTTTAAAAAGTATGCAATGAATTTACAAAACGTATCACAGATAAGCGACTTGCAAACACAATGTAATACTTAAACACAGTCTAAAGTATAAGCAAGAAACGATATTACCCGGATAAACTACAAAAAAGGGAAATTTCAGGTAAAATGTAGATTCTTTTTAAATGTCAAAGAGTTTCAATGCACCGCAATTCGTGGGTGTTAAGTCAATTTTTATTTAGTACTCTTCTAATTTTAATATTGAATATGAAAGCACCCACAAATGTTATCGACTTGGGCTAAACGGGGTTATTGTCTTGGGGCTTGCAGAAATGTAATTGGCCCTGTTTTCCTTAGATTATTTTGTAACCAAACACTTTATTTTTAAATTTGAAACTTTTTATAGTTCATGTAGATCTTGCTATGTTCCTTATTTTTGATATGGGCTTGACCCTTGATTAAATAAATAAATAAATATACATTACAGGGTAATTGCATCACTATTACATACATACCTCTGTCCCCAAAAACATCCTCTCCGTCCTGCCGCTGTGTTGCTGGTTGGAATGGTAAGGGGGCGGCGGCGTGCCCGGTGGAGTCCCAGGCCTCTCCCAAGCGTCGGCGCTACCCGTTCCCCCGTTATCCGCCACATTGTTCCCTTCTGGGCTTGATTTGGTGATGCTGCTGTTTTTGGTAGTCGGCGACTGAAAAAAAAAAAAAAAGTAGGGCCCCCTGCCCGCAGACCCCTAAGTCACCTGAAAAATACTTACAAAACTGTCCATTAGCGAGGTCAGCGTCGCGACCAAGGGATAAGACATCTGTTTGTCAATGGAGTTGACCGTGTCAGACTGGGCGTCGCCGTGCGGTGGCGGGTAATTGCGAGGCGGTAGGGGCGGCGGCTCGTCGTTGTTGCTGTTGATCTCGTTGGTTAGGAACATAGCGTTTATATCGAGATTATTGTCCATCACGTTGGTCAGTCGGTTGCGTTTTGGAAGCAGGGGTGGCGGTTTCTCCACACCGCAGCCGCTCCTTGACGCATCGTTCGTCTCCAACAACATCCGCAAATTATCCTGTAGTATCCTGAGATTCTTCTCCACCTTCGCGAGTTCCGACGTCCGTTTGTCTTTCGAACCAATCACCACCTGGCCTCTTAACTTTTCCAAATGGTGCTGCTCCTTCTCAATCATCAGCCTGTAATACTGCTCCTTCTGCTGCTGCAGCTTATGCTGCTTCTCATTCTGAAAAAGTGGATAACCTCAGTGACCCAAAGTTTACCTGAGACGCTCGGGGATTTAATACATCTACTGGTTGCGGTCCCGTTATCCTCTCTGGCGAAGTAACTACTGATAACCTAGATGGACTGTGTTGGCTTGGACTGCGTTGTTGCACGGTCAGAAGCACCTGAACGGAAGCTGGAATGAAGAAACGACAGTGAAACTATTGATTATCTTGATGTTTTGGTAAAATTTCTATATAAAAGCTTCAGGAAGGCATCACGCTCCTTACACTTGATTAGATCGACGACCTCCGTGTGCGTGGACTGCACCACATTCTTGCCATTGACCTGGATAATTTTGTCGCCCTCCTGGAGCCCCGCTTTCTCCGCCGGACCGCCTTCCTTGACGCTCTGGACGTAAACAGGATTGTCGCCGGACACTTTCATGCCATAACCGCCGCTGTTGCGGTTCACCACCACTTGCACTATGTTGTTGTAATTTTGTTGCTGATCCATGGCGGGAAAATGCCTCCGAGGAGTGGGAGGGCTCGTTAGGGTGTTTAAATTGTTAGGGCGGTTTCTTTAACAAACAATTATTATGCAAACCCAAATTACGAACGGAATCGTACAATGGAAAAATAATTTAGTCTATTTGAATAGCGCAAATGCCATCGAGATCGCGTTAAACACTAGGCACTGTTGCCTAATCCGCTACACAAGCGATTGCTATGCGGTGAGTCGGTGCAACAAGTGTTTTAATCGGCGCAGCAGTCGTTCGAGACCCCTTTAAGGCCGAGCTCGATTGAAAGCGCCCTAAATTGAGATATTCCTCGCCAACGACTGTAATATGCTTACCTGTCTCCGGTTCGTCCCTTGCTATCGCCCATCTGCGTTTTCGAACCAAATGACACCAAAATTATCCTATTACCTAGACTTCATTATAAGCAAGCAGTGCAATTCCACAACACAACAAAACACCCATGGGCTTTGTTTCGCTACATAATTTTGGCAGTGATTTGCAGATTAGAAAAAAAGGCACGACCTAGGAAAACGCGAAGAATTCCACGGATATCACATCTATCGACAACTTTTGAAAGCATAACACTGACCACTTTTTATTTCCACACAAACCCAGATGAGCTAATTGTCAAATATAACACGAAAAATTAATAAGAGTCTTCTTCTTTATTGTTAATAGGTGGTCTTTGACCCAATGTATTAAACTGTCTGAACTGTGTACTCTCCGCGAATAAAACAGGATATATTAAAGTGTTTGCTTTTTACAAAACTTCTGAATTCCTCCTGCATCGGTTTTTGCTTAGTCGAAATTGCTGACGTTTCGTCAATCATCCTGTTGGCTTCTTCAGAGCTTGACTGAAACTGTTTTTCTGAGGTACAGTCAAGCTCTGAAGAAGCCAGCAATTTCGACTAAGCAAAAACCGACGCAGGAGGAATCCAGAAGTTTTGTAAAAAGCATTACAGTAGTCTCTGGAAGTTTCTTTGAAAAATTAGTAGTGTTTGTTTGGGGTTGAAGTTGAAAAGACCGTTTCGTATATCCAACGTTTCATTACAAAGACGATTATTGATTCATAATTTATTTTCAATGTGTTTGATATACTATTCGCTTATAAACGTTGTAATTGAGGAATTGTTATGCGTTCTTTTTTGTCTCATTCTTTGCCAATGTCAGTGAACTTCAGCGTACATAACCACACACAACAAGTCGATTCTTTATTCTTTCGCAAGTTCACTTATTAGACGATTCTGCTATGTCGTCGACGTAAATAAGTAAGTAACTAATAAGCATGGAGGCTAGAGTGGAGATACCTTCAAGCATAGAATCAAACTTTTCCTCATTGTACAAATACTCAGGTAAAAATGCGGAAGTATCGCAGCAGGAACGCCGCGACCAATTTTTAAAGGAGCAGAAAGAAAAACGGCACAATTGCGTCGATAAATATCGGGATTTGACGCAATTTTTTGGGGAAAATGATGACACGGAAACATCGGCGGAGCCGATGGAGTGCGAGACCCAGGTTAAAAAGCGGCGAAAACCAATGCCCTTTTATTTAATGAAATCGGAATGGTTTTGTTACATTCCAGATGACCTCGCCGATAATTGGGTGGTAAAGTTCGTGCCTGAAGGATTTCGAGTGTTAGTGCTGGCCAAGAATCACCGTACTGAGTGCTACAACGAAAAAGGCAAAATGATGACCTTAAAAACTTGTCTACCTGGCGGCGGATTGGACAGGAATAACGGTGAAACAGTGTTAGATTGTATATATAGCAAGGCAAGCAAAACAATTTTTGTGTTGGATTGTTTGCGCTGGAATACAATGCTGATGTTAGACAGTGAAACAACCTTTAGATTTTACTGGCTCAAGACAAAATTCGATGAGAACGTGACATACACCCAATCCAATAGGGGACACAAATTGGAACTTTTGAATTTTGTACCTGCCCAAACGCCACTGATTCAAGATGAAATGTTCAGACCAATGGTTATTGAAGGGCAAAAAGTGTTATATGACGGTGTCGTTTTCTATCACAAAGAATCCCATTATGTGCTGGGCGAAACTCCACTAGTAGGTTGGCTGTTTTCATACATGTTGCCAGAAAAATTGAATATTGATGTTTTGCCAGAGAATATGGCAAAAATGCCTAAAAAATACAAGTGCCTGGAAGAATATTTGGAAAGAAAATACAAAAAGGCAGAAAAAAGGCGAGGAGAATTGAAAATGGAGGTTTCCTGAATGGCCAAAAATGTGTTTTAACTTGTTTTCTGTCTTCGTGTTATGTTTTGCTTTTTATTTACTGTTGTAAACTTTTATAGGGTGAAGGCGCTCAATAAAACAGAATGATTTAAACTAGGGAACAATTTAATGATGCCAGCATCTGCTTAAGGGGTGACCCGCTTAGGATCTCGGGGAAACATTGAAGTTTTCCTCACGTTATCCAATCCCAAATACAACATGACCACCCTCTCCAACCCTATACCACCTCCCGCATGCGGCGGACAACCATACTTGAAAGCATCGATGTAAGCAGCTATTTTTGATAAGTCGATATTGTGGTGTTTTGCCCGCTCAGTCAGAAACTCAGGGTCGTGTATCCTCTGAGCCCCGCTCAGTATCTCTTCGCCCCTCATGAACATGTCGTACGAGTTGGACGCTTTGGGATCAACCGGATCGGGCATGGTGTAAAATGGTCGCACTGCCAAAGGATATTTATCCAGGATGTAAAAGTCGGTGTCGTACTTGGACTTTACAATTCTTCCTAGCAACTTCTCGTCGGGAGTGCTCAGGTCGTCTTCTTCGCCGACTTCTACGCCAGCCTCCGCCAACAATTTTCGCCCTTCGTCGAATCGCAACAGCAGCGGCGGTTCAAGGAACGTGAATGGTTCTGCGGGGTATTGTTGATTCACTGTGTCGATCTCTGTGCTGAATCTGAGGACATAATTTAATCGACTTTCGTCTCTACCGGCAGTTGATTCACATATTGATAATACAGGAAAAGAAATGTTGAAAAGGACCATTTAATATGAGCACTTGCGGTTATTGGAAATCTAGTTTTCAGCTAATGACCTAGCATGGTCGCTGACAGTTCGTAAATTCGACAGATTTCAAATTTGGATGTAGCATTTTCACAACATTATTTTCTCAATATAGGCCCAGACTTCCTACCCATACTGGAAAACCCAATTCAAAGTAATACCTGGACAGAATTTGATTTTTCTTTTATTTGACATCAGTCTCAGTTCTGCATCAATCCCTCCTTAAAGTTCTTTTTATTTCGGACCATTTGACAACGCCACGAAAATTTTGATCTGTTGAGATTTTGTGCATATTACGATTTTCAAATTGATTTATTTTTAAAATATGAAATGGACAATTATCTAAAGCCTATCTAAATTTGGTCTTAGGATTGCTTTTAAAATTGAAAATCCCATAGGACATTTTTTAAAAAACAATAAAACTAAGTTACGAAAAACTAAAGAATCCAAACATAATAGGGCGTATAAAAATAAAAGTTCGGATTATAACTATGCCATTCATTTAAATTCAGAAATGCACAAGTTTGATGATAATTTTGATATTTTGCATGATCAACCAAAAAGCAAAAAACTAAATTTGTGGGAAGCTATGAAGATTAAGAAAATGAGATATTGGAATCTATCTACTCATTGGCCAATTGGATTTAAATTTAAATTTATAAGGGTACACGGCTAATTAAAAATCTATTACTACCTGTTTATGTACAGTGAATCACAGCTTAAATGAAGCAGTCGCTATAACAAAAACTAACTGGTCCGAATATCTCTTTATTTATTTGGAAAGACTATGTCTCTTTGGCTGTATCCATTTCTGTGATGAGTAATAATTAAATTTCTCTCATAAATTGTAGTCCCAAGACACATTAAAAAAAAAATCGTTTAACTGAAGGAAAACGTGTTTTAAATTGTCAAACTAAAGAAAAAACAATTGAAGTAATAAATAAAAGCCTTGGTAAATTTGAAACTGATAAGTTTTGACCCGATTAATATTGTATATAATTTAACTAATTCTTTATTGGCATATTTAAGACAAAAATTAATTCACATTTTTTAGAAGGCTCTTTACTACTTTCTTTCAATAAGTTGTTTTTTGCCAAATAAATAGACGGTCAGACCAGTTAGTTTTTGTTATATCGACTGCATCATTTAAGCTGTGAGTCACTGTATATAGGTGTTGCCAAAACAGCTCTCATAAAGTAAGAACTATAAAAATCTGACCATTTTTTTCGTGGCTTCGTTTATTGTATTAGTTATTGTGTGATTCAGATCAGTTCATAGACATTCCTTACGTTAACAATATGGTTTTCTGTTAATTCCGAAACTGAAGCTGCAAAATACCTGGCGCCATAAAAAGATTCCTCAATGGAAACTTATCATGCCATTAAAGAAAATATTCCGTGTGGTCAATAGTACTTATGTAACTCGTAAAGCACAAGTTAAGCATATGAACATACTGGTCCCGCAATCCTTTGAATATCTCTGTGAAAAGATCGCCTATGGTCAACATAACCTCGTGGTAGTGATATTTGAAGGCCATTTCGAGATCGAGCCCCGTGAATTCCGTCAAATGGCGATGAGTGTTAGAGTCTTCCGCGCGGAACACCGCCCCAACCGTGAACACCTTATCGAAGTCAGCTGCTATCGCCATCTGTTTGTAGAGTTGCGGGCTCTGCGCCAAATATGCAGACCCCTTGAAGTAGCTGACGGTAAACACGTTCGCGCCACCTTCGGAGGCGGCAGATATAATTTTTGGGGTGTGGATTTCCACGAAACCCCGTGACGTCAGCGCGTCGCGGAACAGGCGACACACTCCCGCCTCCAAGCGGAAAATGGCCTGATTGGTGGGCGTTCTTAGATCCAGTACTCTGTTATCCAACCGCGTGTCCTGGTTGACTCGGATATTGGGACCGTCTTCTTGCTGAAAAGTGAACCGCTATTTTGAAGGGCAATCCCGGTACAAGAACTCTAACCTCCGGCTTTTCTGGTCTGCTAGCGTCCTCAATTTGTAAAGGCAATTGCGGGACGGAAGCTGAAACTACCCAAATCTGGGACGCGACTAGTTCCACATGACTCTGGGTGCAGGAGGTAATGGCTGATGGAGCTTCCTTTACGACTGCCTCTAAATCAACAATGCTTTCCTTAGAAATACTGGAAAAATCACAGGTTTAAAGGTTAGTTATCGTTTGAGGGCGCCAATTTTTACTTGCTCGAAAACTTGACCATGGCTTTCGAGATGGTTTCAGAAACACTGACCAAGACTTGGACGGTGAAATTGCGTTGGCGGAGTACGACAAAACATTGCTTGCCCTTGGCCCTTGAGGTATGCACTCTGCCACGTACCCAGACGATCGTGTTGTTTTTGGAACGGTCCAAAGTGCTGGCGTCAGTGAAAGTGCGCTGCACAGAACGCGGCTCCGAGCGGATTAGAGGAAGGGTGCCGTATTTTCCCACCGAGACATCTTCTGCTAAAGTGTTCCTTTACAGTTAGGTAATATGAGAAAATTGCAAAAAAAAGAAAACCCTGCATAGCAGTTTTTTGTCACCCGAGTTTCCCATCCAGCGCAACCTCAGAGAACCTCAAAAACTCTCCTGAATGAAATCCTCATCGTATCAGAATTTCGCTTCCCGAAAAATATTATTATAGGATTCATTGGTCATTTTTTACAAACTTTTGAATTATGTATAAAACAAAACAAAAAAGGTTGTATTTTAAAACTATTAAGAAATATTCACACAAAAAAACTGAATAAATAGAAGTAACTGAAAATTTTCAAGGGATATACAGCAGTCACTAAAAATCGGTAAAATTAAGTTCAGTAGAACTAGCACACCTGATAAATTGTTGCACATGATCACTTACTTGTTCTGATGAAAGTGACTTCGATGTACGCATATGTGTATGCAGTGTCTGAAATAAGGTCTACCCTAAAAGTTAAATAGAAAAGTTGCATTGTTTCATCTACACTTTTTAATTTTTTCATATCTACAAATTGTTCCCTTTATCTGGAGTAAATTCCAGCTTTCATATTTTTAATAAAACTTCCTGTATTATTATATAATGTCCTACACTTAAGTCTATCCATTTTCAATAAATCTTGATAATATTTGCAGGCCCTAAAATAATTAACAATTTCCCCTATAAGGAAGCATTAATTATTTAATTTTAATGGATATTGTATGGAAGGCCTATTGTCACACATTGAGTGGAAATTTTGAATATAAATTAATACAGGGTCATTAAAATTGAAGCACAAACATTAGATTATAAAATAGTAAAATTAAGGTGACTATCTAATGTTATTTAAAGCACTCTTATAGGAAGAATTCAGTAATATAAAGGATGTTTTATTTAAAATGCGAATGCTGGTATGCAATACGAAAAAAATAAAAATTTAGATGAAACTATGCAACTTTTTTGTTTAACCTTATTTTCTATAGTTCATGGTTCCTGAGTTAACGGTTTAGGGAACCTTATTTTGGACATCCTGTGTACACATTGCCCCTAGGCTGCTGAGGGTAAACCACAACTATCTCATATTTAAATTAAATCTCAGCCTTTAAATGGAACAAAAGTTTAAAATAATGGCAGAGACTTAACATACCCTCCGGTTGTTCTGTATTGCCCTTTTCACTCTTATGTTCTGCCTTTTTGGCGGCCTTTTCCGCTTTTTTCGCTTCCTTCTTCGCTGCCTTTTTGCTCTCCACCTGGACGCCCTCGTCTACCATTCTATACTCAACAAAATTTACGAATATTATAAAGTTACGAAAACTTTAATTGCGCCACAATTTTAATAAATCAAGTTGGAAATAGTTTGACGATCAATAAAAAGGACCGGCACGAGAATTTAAATACCACATGGGGAGCCTGATATCATTAACAACAAAATCCAACCTAGAAAGTAGAAACGTCTTTTAAGAGCAGCTGACTGAAGATTACCAACTTTTATTCTGCGCCACAGTAAGTTTCTAATAATGATAAAATACGAGGTTAGCGCCAAAATTTCCCGGCCTGACTAGATGCAGCTCCAGTGTGACGATAAAACTTTGTTTTCTTTTAAATATATGTCTTAGTAAGCTACGAAAAAAAAATTAAGTCGTGTGTCAAATAGTTTTTTATTGGCAGTATTTGAAACAAGACGTGTCCGAAAAAATGTCGCAAATAACGCAAATCGAGTATAGAGCAATAATAAAGTTTTTGACAAAAGAAGGGTTAGCACCTAAATTTATTAAATAAAGGCTGGATGGTGTGTACGGCCAAAGTTCTCCTTCGTATTCTGTAGTGAAAAAATGGGCAAAACGTTTCCGAATGGGACAGCAGTCCCTTGAAGATGATTCAAGAACTGGTCAACCAGTGGAGGTCATAACGGAAGATATTGTTGCAATTGTGAAAGAGGTGGTATTGAGTGATCGACGCTTAAAGGTCAAGGAAATGTCAGAAATTACTAAGCTTTCTGATTCAAGTGTTCGTCGAATCCTGCATGATCATTTAGGTATGCATAAGGTTAGTGTAAGATGGGTTCCTAAAAACCTTTCCGCTATTCAAAAACAACGCCGTGTCGAGTGTGCATGGTCTTTTTTGGAACTCTGTGGGTCGGAACTGAAGCCTGTGATAGAAACTATTGTGACGGGAGATGAAACTTTGATTCTCTATTATGACCCTCTATCGAAAAAAGTATCAATGGAGTTGCATCGTAAGGGTGAAGCACCTCCCAGAAAATTCAGAGTCTGCCAGTCAACAAAAAAGGTGATGGCCACCAGGTTTTGGGATTGTGAAGGAATTCTTTTGATAGATTCTAAAGAAACTAATACCACTGTCGATAGTAAATATTACACAACATTATTACATAAATTGCAAGACTGCATACGTGTAAAACGTCGAGGAAAACTGAACAGAGGCGTGCGCCTTTTGCACGATAATGCACCTGCACAAGATGTCATTTTAGAGTATGGGTTCCAACAGATAGATCATCTATGTTCCCTATAGTCCAGATATGGCCCTAGCGACTATTATTTGTTTGGATATTTGAAAAAGGACTTACGTGGATGATGGTTCAATGACAAAGTTGAGTTAAAAGGGACTGTTTTAGCTCATTTTGCAGACAAACCAAAAAAACTTTTAAAGGGATTGAGTCGTTAATAAAGAGATGTAATAAGTATAATGAAGTTAAGGGGGATTATATTGAAAAATAATAAAAAATTGTTACTCTACTTTGTTTCTTTCATATTCAGGCCTGGGTAATTTGGGTGCTGCCCTCGTAGGTCAATCTAAGTAACCATTACTGAAAACAAACTGATCTTTGGTGGTAGAAGGAAGCTGGTTATGAAAATGTGGGGCTTTAATTTATTTTAGACTTTATTTACATTTTTTAAATCCAACAAAAATCTCCCACAAATATTAAATCAGTTGCGTTTTTATTTTAAATGTACTCCAGGGTTTCAAACAATTTTTTTAGCATACATGGCTTGAGGTTTATTCAAAAATAATCTTAGTTCTCCACACAAATGTTTTGAATAATCCACTGTAAGTAGATTTTTTTATTAAGTTGATGAGGGCCTCAAACATTTGCAACAATAGCCACACACTACAAACAGTTCCATTTTGAAAAATATGCCTTAAGATGATTGGTCTAAGCCTTCCAATGAATTTTTTCATTTAATTCACTGTCTCTCTTCTATTTACTCCATAGTCTATTTAATCCAGCAGTACTATCGAATAGCTCTGGTTGCTTGAACTCCCCTTTCATGTCAACCATATAATGGAAAGCATGGCCCCGAACTTTAATAGGCACTACTGCCTTTGCGGCTTCCCTTGTTTCTTTGGCGGAAACATTATCAATCCCAAGAGTCAATATCCGATTTTTTCCCAAAGGAGTATAAGTCACAATTGACAACTGATCTCCACCTTTGCGCAATATCAGGTACTTTACCGAACGTAAAGTAAAAATCCAAGTTATTGCAAGGGTCCCCCATCCTGGAAAAAGAAAATTATGCTAGTCCGATAATCAGTAACACAACGTACCTATTACAAATGCTATGGTGCCTAGCCCATTGCGATATTTGTTTTCCCCAAGATTGATTTTTCGCCACCACGGCAAGTCCTCGCGGCTTTCGTCGACTGGGGCATCTCTCATGTTCTTCAAGGCGAACACCGACAGGTAAGACCAAAATCCGAACTGGCAAAGGCCGAAGATGTTCATGATTTTGTAGAATTTGTCATTCTCGTACTTATAAAGTATTACGTCTCTCGACACTTTTGTGTTGATATTTAAACTGGGCGCACGAGACGATAAATTGCTCCATCGGCAATAAGAAATGGGCGGTCTCGTAACAAATGGGTTGAAGGATTTACAAAACCTCAGAACTTTATTCATATTATTTGTAAAATTATTTTAGGTTAGGAGCGTAGAGCTTAGTATGCAAATTATAATGTCTGGTGAATCCATAGAATAGTGTTGTAACTGGAGTTGAACAGTCTTCATAACCCGCGTGGTAAAATTTTCTGTACCTACTTTTAGAGTGGGTAGGACTCTCGGTCTAGGTGGCGCCAGTCGGTTTTGGTGTCCTCAAATTTGATAAAATAAATGAAAACATTTGCAGTAAATCAATAGGAAATTACTCTTTAGATGTATTTATTTTAAGTAGTTACATATAAAATAAGATATAGGGAAGCTTACTTGCGGACACGACGCCTCTAGTGATATAATTCTAAAAATCCCATTACGCGTTTTGTTTTATTAAACACTCCCCCATAGTCGAATTTTTTCAATAACATATTCCTCAAGGGTAGTTAATTTTCAAACGCCATTTGAGTTGGGGTTGAGAGTTGATAGACATCCAAATTGCGTAGCGAATTTCCAAAATATACATAATCTAAATTTTGTTTGTTGATTGTAATAGATTTTATATGGCATATGGGCGTGGGTGAACAAAATTCTGTGGGGCTGCAGACAGAACGATATATCGATTGGTGCGGCATTGGACGACTACGCGGCGCACTAATGCGTCGCACGACGTCGCCGGACAGTCTGGCGTGTTCTTTACCAACGAAATATTAATCGTCGGTGGGGTAGTAGTTTGAGACGTGTTTTGCAACTTAAAAGCGATGAAATTAAGATACAATTCCGAGGTGAGCATAGATTTAAATAAAAATATGTACCGCCAATGCAGCGGTAATTGTGTGACGCCACTGATAATGTTTATAACTTTCGTGATCCCCCCCTCCTTCCCAGGCAGGGACTGTCATTTCTTCTTTGCCGCAAGCCAAGGCGTCCAACAAACACAAACAAAACGTTACTTGACCGCTTCGGTATAATGAAAATTATCGTAAATATCGAGTGGTATGTTGGGTTGCCGACGTTCCGGTGTCCGACGATACTAACAATAATTTCCATCTAATTCCAGCGCTTAGTGCGAAATGACTGACAAAATAAAGGGTATAGAATAAGTGGAACGTGGCAAAACACGGGATTTTTTCGGTGCCGATTACGAATTAAGCCCGGGCGTTGTTCGACTAGTGTCGTTTGCGTGTTGTACTCCTAATAGAGATGGTGTACTAATTGTCAGGTAGGCGTTGCACTTCCGAAAAGTTTAGTGTTTCGTTATCTTGAGCCGTGACGTAAATCGGCGGATGCAAAAGTAAACGAAATCCTTCGAATTTTGTAGTTACGTGCAAGTTGGGCGATAAACGTGACTATTGAATTATGTTAGATTAAACTAGTTGGTAAACAGCAAACAAGTTACCTATACTTGTTTCCGAGCTTTGTAATTCGTGAATAACAAAAATAAATTATCGTAGCTGCCGCGGTCAGTGGCGCGCCCGGTCATCTTGTTTTTACATACCTTTCGCTAATAAATGATTAACAAACGGGACTTGGATGTTTATTTGATTAATTTGGAATTTTCGAATGACAAACGAATACGATAATTTTTGCAAAATGAGAACAAAACGGGATTTTTGTATTTAAATTGGTTTAGAGAAAATGGTAATGACCCACGGTTCGGCGCCAGTTTGGGAGGCCCGTGGGCTTTGACGGCTTCCGGTGATATTTTTTTTAATGTAGGTACACGGAAAGGGAAAAGTTCATTAACATGCGGCGTTAATCTCACCAAGAGAAAGTCGAAGGTACAGTGACGTGCGAATCTCGTGTATTTTCGCAGCACTGGTATATTTGAAACTAAATCGCTCCGGATTACGCCAATATAAATATGCTAATAGCGTACAAAGTTTGCTGAATTTACGTGAATTTATGGGTTTATTAACAAGTAACTGCTAACTAGTATTTTAATAATTTCCCCAAGGCCGAAAAATTACTCCCATTTATGGTCTGTATTATATATAGTTGCATCGATAAAACCCATTGAAATTGATGGTTTGCCCAAGAGACCAAGCCCTTGCGAAGGAAATAACGTCACCCAAATATAGTATCTTGATATTTTTTAGGCAACAAATATCCTTTAACATTGTAATGGAACCAGTGAACTCATTTTAATTTTTGGTTTTATTTGCGGCGCGGCACTCTTCGACCCAAAACATGTAAATTTTATGTTGAGTTCAAGTTCCGGCCTATATTTATAGCGATATGCTAACAAGTCGGATGTTTTGAACAGTTTTTTTCCAAAGGAGATCGATTCGGTCACCAATAACACATGCCGGTACGTTAATTGTTATGTATTATTTCGTTTTTTAAATTCATGTGCCGCTCGTTATTATCGCCATTTGTAGGGTCTGGAAAACATCGAGTTGGTCGGCTTGACCTCCGAGCCTACTTTTTCGGAATAACGGCACATAACGTCACTTAAACGTCATATTATTTTCTCAGACGGGATTGCAAGAATGTCTCTAGCTGCAAACGTATAATTTTTTTTTTTACAGGATTGCCTTGAAGGAAACCGAACGCCTTGTTTCGAAACTGTATACAATGGTAAGTACCGCGGAAGATATGTATAAATAATTCATTCGTTGTATAATCCTCAAGCGAAAATTTGCGATGGGTTTTTTCGGTAACAGATAACGGCCTCACCTCGCGTTTGACATCTACTCGAAGCCATCTTGGCATTTTTAATTATCACGCACGACTCGCGCGACGTCACAACCGACATAAACAAGTTATTTTTCACGCAAAAGCCAAGCTACGATTTCCATTTTCAATTTTTTAATTCATGGCCCTCGTGCTTTGAATACAATCCCGTCTCGCCCGCGTTGTTTCAAAAGCGGGTCATCGATTTCGGCACCACCTATCGGATTTTTGTATCAAACCGTGCGTCTCAAAAAAAAGCTAAAGCAATAGTTGGCGATAGTCACGTCTCACCGCAGACGTGTCGGGTAAACAACGCGTAAACAATTAACAATTGATTAATAAACGAAAACTGACACCGTGTCTCACACAATCTTGCGATAAACTTTATTATCCTATCCGTCTCGTTTGCTAAATTGATAGGCGTCTATCATTTATTTATCGCATTTAGCTTTAGGTAATACGATTATCTTTCGCCGTGGCGGGACAATAGAAGAAGGTGAAGCAGGGACGTTTCCGAATTACATTCGGTGCCGTGTCGAGCAAACGATTTTCAGCCTCGTTGCCACACGCGAGATTTCAATTGCGGTTATCGGTTCGTCAAATCTCACCACCGGCGATGTTCGAAAGTTTTTATTCTGCAATTACGAACGATAGATTGCGGGTATAATTAGAAAAAAATAAAAAACGTGGTGATTGCAAAACCCGATCAGGCAGTATATCCGGGCGGAAAGGTGGCGATTCCTTATAATTTGATGCGTGGATTTTTCGCGATGAGTTTCTCCTATTATTCATTATTTATCAGTTACCATAGGTACGTTGCGCTTCGGTAACTTAGTCGGCAGTGCCACGGCATAGGCATGGCATATTAACAGTTGTCATTTTGCTTTTAGGCCCATTGTTCAAAGGTAACCCGGCCAAAAAGCCGACCGCGTGAACGTCGAGATGACATTGCCGGCTGCGCGTTCTTTACGTGCCGGCGCAGCCGATAAGGCGACGCCCCACGTATCGCGACGCAGGGCTGGTCGCCTTAGCGCCGCGTGGGCGGACCTGCCCGCGATTACGGCCGCGGCCGCGGCCGCGAAAAAGTCGACAGCGCGCCGCGCGGTCTGTTCTTGGCACGTCGACTACGGAACCCTACTGCAGGACAGGGACGACGCATGCGCCGCAGGTGACACGGGCGTCGAAAAAGAAATCACGGCGTGCAAGAAAGGTGGGTGATCTCGGTTTACACACGCGCATATAACTAGGGAGCCTGCACATAGAAATAGCAAAGGACAGTGAAATTGCAAGGAGAAAGTGAAAAAATCAATTTAACACCCAAAACATCATATATTCAAAAAATTTATGTTTAAAAAAACTGGTAATGGTACCAATACTCGACCATTTTTTTTAAATACAAAAAATGTAGCGTCTGGTTTACGCATTTAGCTATAAGATAATATAGTGGCCTTACTACGGTAAAAATTGATGCGCCGTAGGTGGCTATGATTTTTTCGCAGAGAAGGTATCTTTGGATTATGGACCGAGTTGCTATATTGGTGTAATTTTTCTGAATAATTGATTAACTAAGTCTGTGCCCTGTGCCATAATTGTTTTTATTTTTGGTGTCAATATCTCGGTACGGCAAACCTATGTAATTTTGTGCTTTCCATACTTTGTTCTTTCACGAAATTATAGCAAGTGTGGCAAATATGAGGACCTAATAGGATCTTAGAAAAAAAGATGTTTGGGTAATATGTAGAACAATTATAAGAAATATCCCTTGTCAATTACGGTCTATAGGAGGTGCAGGAAAAATACTGCCGTAAAAGTTCCGCATCGAAACATCGACGATCTGTCAGCGGCCATGATGATTGTTGAAAGCCGCATGGTCTTACGAGTCCAACTTCAGTATATGCAATAAGAGCTGCCATTGCTTAAAAACGAAATTTCAAATATCGCGCATGCGCACGTTGAATGGACTTTCTCAAAAAAAGATTACATAGTTGCTTCATGAGTTCCTGTATATGGGTTTACCAGCCTGTATAAAAAAGAATATATAATTTTAAAAAACATGGCGCCAAACTGTATTCGCTTTCCAATAATTTTCATTTTTGAAAAATCAAAAAGGAAACTACTAAATGTCTACAAAAATTTACGGCTATTCAAACGACTTCTTTGGTATAACGAGATTAGATGTTGTCGATGTATTAGATGATTTTTAAAATAAACAAGAAACTAGAAAATATTTAAAAAGCGTACAGTTCAAGTACAATGAAATAAAAGCAAACTTCATTTTTTTAATTTATAATTTTTTAATTTAATTTACAATTTTCGAAATATGTGGGATCACTACTGACAACACCGCATACTCTTTAAACTACCTCTATAGGAGGTGTTTAACCTTTAGTAACGGGAACCTTATTCCGCCCTAGGTAATGTTGAACTTTATTGGTTAATAGGGGAAATCGTAATTTCTTATCGAGTGCGCGCGCTTCAAATAAGGGATAAAGTAAAGCAGCGCCCAAAGAGGTGCAAAAAGTTTTTGTATAATATTTTAAAAAGTAACTTTTCAAGAATAAATTATTTACAAATTAAGAAATAGTTTAAACGATGTCATTTGTTTACAACTGCCCTACTTCCATGACACAATGCAAAATTACGAATACAATTATGAAGAATACGAACGAAGTTGGTCATATTCTGCAATGTATGCAGGTTAATTGATTAACCGCTAAAACTGTTAAAATATTTGATCTAATTAAATAGCCCCATTAGGTGGGCTAATTCAATTCAATTATGCGTTTCACAAAAAAATGTTGGGCTCGATTGCTAGGATCATTCGCCCATTGCCGACTTCCGTCGAGGATTTTCGCTTCTGGTCAATGACCACCACGTACAAAGAAGAAAAATAGCCAATAATTTGCTCAACTAGCAAAAAATGATTCTAACCGATACCAAAAAAATCGGCTTCCCCCCGCTTCCACCGCGGACCATCCGGGCCCATCCGGCCTCCATACCGGCGTGAACAGGGAAAAACGACGGGGCCGACGACAATTATCACTTTAAAACGTACACTGAACACTCAAAACACTAAATCCACACCGTGGAAACCGATATCAAACTTGTTGGGACGAATACAAGGGATTCTGTCGGGAGCGAACGGAGGTTAAACCGCCGTGTGCAATGCTCCCACCACAGAATACCATTAGGTGGGCTACAATTTAAACTTTTCTTCTTCTTCTTCTTCTTCTTCATGTTCCGCGTCCGTCATCGGACGTTGGCTATCATATTGACTATCAAAACTTCATTCGCGGCAGCTCTAAATAAGGCTGTACTTGACGTAAGGAACCATTAGTGTAAATTCCATCTTCCATAGTATTTTATAATGTGATTTTTTTGCAGTTACTTTGCTTTTAATTTTTGAGGAGGTTGGTGCTTTTTGATTATCTTAAGTTTAAGTTTTAGGTCCCCTACAAGGAGGTTATGGTCTGAGGGGACATCTGCTCCGGGCATACTTTTGACTGCCTGCAATGAGTTTCTGTAACGTTCATTACTGGCTTTTCAGGGGTATCTGCCAGCGATGCCTATGTATATAACCTGCGTTGTGGTAACTCAAAGAAGGTGTTCATAATACACATATTATTTTCTTTACGGAGTTCGACAAAGCGGTCTCCCTGATCGTTGCGTATACCAAATCCGAAGTCACCCACAATATTAGCTTCTCTTCCTTTTCCAACCTTGGCATAAGATCTCACATTAAGCCGTCCATATCATTTTTCTTAATTTTGTCCGTGACGCTCTTGATGTCTGCTTAGAATTTTTCTATCTCATCCTCGCTACATTCTGCTGTATTTGCATGTACTTGAATGAGATTGATATCAATAGGCTTTGCATTTAGTTGTATCACATAATGACTCTCTCAGAGACATAGGATACCGACTTGACAGATTCCTCAGCTTCTTTTGAAATAATAAACGCAACTCCGTTTACGTGATAGTTGCTGTCTTCCCCTGAATAATAGATATGGTATTTTTATAAATATCATACAAATATATTAGTGTGTCATCTTTGCTATAAAATGTGTTATTTAAATATTCTTGAACTGCCACAATAAATATAATAAAAGTCTTTTGAACAATGCCCGAGTTCATACATAGGCGGGCCTTTCAATGGGATTCTATGGGTCACTTTCAAACCATGAACGATACAGGGCCAACTAAATGGAATAAAAGTTCACATTTACATGCACAAATGCCCTGAAGCGGCCAGAATTAAATTATCAGTGGTGACAAATCTTTTACAAAAACCAAATATTTTTATTTTGTTATTTTCTTATTTCGATTTTTGCAAAAGTTATAGAGTTCGAAATGAGTTACTCCAGTTTGATTAGTTTTGTAGAGCCTGTATAAAATAACATTTTTACTATATTTGTAAAAAAATGACCTGCCTTTACACTTTGCCTAAATTTCTTTTATGCATAGATATAACTTAAATTATAATTACTTTATAGATATTTTTTTAACATGCAAACCAAGGTTAGATTTTCAGTAAATTTATTTTTTTAAACAACCTTATAGTTTTGACATTTGGCATGACGAACTTTATTAAATTCAACACTTATTTTGATCAGAGTGTTGGGTCGGTTTCAAAAAGCAACAGTTCAGTACTTAAGCACTTTTGCCCCTACCTACATAATATAAAAATAATTTTAAAAAGTGATCGTAATAAACAATCAATTCCCTACAGAAAGCCTCTTCTCGGGGCCTTTTTGGTTGATTCCAAAGGAATTTTTATGGATTTTCACGTACTATTCCCTATCTGGTTTGATGGGGTCCGTTACTCGCGACATTTAAAGACTTTATCTTCCGGTCACCGGTTACTAACCAAAAGAAAACCTTACCTAGTACAGATAACGGTGTCGCAAAGGTATTAATTTATAGACCGGTTATAATGGCGACAAAAATATTTAAAAAATCCATGAGGACGTTTTGAACGTGGCCACGTAGTCCTGGTATTAAAAAGAAGAGATGATCCCGATCAACGTGTAATTTCAAGGAGACGTTGTAAACAGCAAGGAAAATATCTGCAGGTGTTCTGTGCAGTGAACTCGATCCAAACAAAGGAAAACTACCCCGAACTAAATCAAAGAATGGCAAAGTATATATATATATATATATATATATATATATATATATATATATATATATATATATATATATATATATATATATATATATATATATATATATATATATATATATATATATGTATATATTTTCACGTATTGATTCACGGATGGAAAAATGTGATGACACTATATTCCGGGATATCATCCGTTCGCTTGTTGAACTCCGACTGGAATCGTGCAGACGTTTCGCCAAAATCTCACTTGGCATCTTCAATGCTCGCTCGAACAGTGTTCGAAGTGTTTTCGGAGCGCGAGCATTGAAGATGCCAAGTGAGATTTTGGCGAAACGTCTGCACGATTCCAGTCGGAGTTCAACAAGCGAACGGATGATATCCCGGAATATAGTGTCATATAGTATATATATATATATATATATATATATATATATATATATATATATATATATATATATATATATATATATATATATATATATATATATATATATATATATATATATATATATATATATATATATATATATATATATATATATATATATATATATAAACTTTCTTTTGCCAATTGCTGCAACCATATGCAACAGCATATCCTTAAAAATACCGAAAAGCATGAAATCAGTAAGATATTCTAGGGGCATGGCCATTAATATAACGTGTACGATAAAGAAAAAAATCCCCATCACTATCCGTCTCCGTCTAAATAAAATTTACCTCACCAAATCAATTTGTTTCCCATTTAGATCGAGTTTACTGGTTCTGTCACGATTTGTCATTCTCAGGTTGCATTCGACCGTTTATATATCAATTTTGCGATTTATTTTTAAATTACTCTAAACCATATCGATGAATTTAAGCTGAATGAGTCAAATAAATATTACACAGCTTTCACATTGTATAAACCAATTCCATGGCCAAAACAGTGTCCAGCGTAGAAGGTTGACCTTACATAAATGATTGTTTATGTTGAGTGCAAGTTTCTAGGTATTTTACGAACAGCTTTTATAATGTCATTGGCAAGAAGGGTCTTAAACTTATCACTAGACCAGGATTATTTATTATGCCAACAAAGACTACAAACATACTTGAAACTCAAAACGTCATTAACTCGCCATGCTCAAAAGTCAAAAGTATTGGCGATTTTACAATTCAAGGAGACCTCTGGCGGAAAAATGAAAATGCATTTTTCCCTTGAAACTATGCGCACATCGAACCTTTATCCGACACGCCTATGAAAGATTCCAATTTATCTATGCCGTTGAATATATAAAAATATTATTCTGATTTCTACCTCCGGCAACACATTGTTAAAATGAATATAATGCGCAAGCATAATATCGTCAGCCTAATTTCCAGAAAAAGTGGCGGAATACGTTTCGCTGCTAGATCCGTCAGCGCCTAGGATCCGTCCGACGAAAGGCGGCGGCCGTCATTCGACGTCGACCCCAGTACCAACGCACACCAATGCGATCCAAAATCCACCGGCCGAACCGAATACGAGGCACTCGTTCATCGAAACTGCGGTACCCGCGGCGACCCAAGCTGCGATGCCCAGTCTTAAGTCGTTGCTGTCGAAAGGGCGGGGCGCGGGTGGCCGAAACGGCGAGAATTCGAACGCCGCGACGCCCCTTGTGAAGACCGGCAACGGCGAAGTGCCTTCGGTCATCAAACCGGCTACCAGCCTAGCAAGTCTGCGGAAATGCGAAACCGTACTCGCGCTCACCGGCATCCTCAGGTAAACTCGCCACTTAAGTCCAAAAGAGCCACACATAGAGAAAATTAATAAAACAGAGAGCGGAGCGAATTAATTTTTTGATGTTAGATGGCGGGTAATTTGAATGAGCACAGAATTTTAGAAAAATATAATGGTGCAGTTAAGCTGGATTATAACAACTAAGTTTTTCATCTATTCTTTAAAAATGTAAACTAAACAAATCTGAAAAAAAAAGCTTTCCTATGTTCTGTGTCAAACATGAATTCATTTTGGTCAGTAAATACCCAATGAACTATCAGCGGGTACAGATATAGATCAAAAAGCATACATTACTCGTAACTTTCTTCTTATTTGGGACATCCTGAGTTGCCTACAGGCATAGTATAATAGCACCCCGATTATTCTCATCTTATTCGGCACTCTCTTTTTACTAGTTTTCTCTAAGTGGCCACACTATTTTTCGGAAACTTCTCTGCCTAAAAGAGCACTTGAGTAAAAAAAAATGAAAAATATACCCGTGTATGGGAGAAAAAAAAGTAAAGTATCAGTGTAAAATCATAATCGCTCTCGCGAACCTGACCACAACAAGCATTTAAAATAAGCCTTCGAGTACCAAAACGCAATAAATTACCGTTTCCGAGAAAAAACGAGTTTACTTAATCACTTAACCAGGAAACTTCAATCGTTACCAAGATGGTCACGGAATACGGACGGCAGTTGTTGGCAGAGATTTACGCAACGTTGCCAGTTTTTCAAAATAATTTACGATACGGCAGCATAAAAGGTCTATTTGAATGGTTAACCATTTCTATTTAGCTTTAATTTAGTTTTTGTAGATGAAAATGACGTTTAGATGTCAATTAAACTTACATTAGATTTGAATGTTTTCAATTTTACTTGTTTCTGCGAGCTACTAGTTGTTATTTAGTACTGTAATACCCGTCGACTAACTTTCCATGAAAGTTTAACAAGCAATTTTCATAGTTTTTATCATAACACTACTAAAATTAGGAATATTTATCAATGTTCGTTACCTACCTGTAATATTTCCCAGTTTATATGTTCATTTTTTACTTACACCTATGGCGGACCCTTTAATTTGATTGGACGGTATCCTCCATTTTATTATCACCCTCTCGGCACCAGTTAGAAATAGAGACGTGATAAATCTGAGCAGTTCTAGGTAAAGCGCTCTCATTTATTAGTGACATAAAACGAGAAATTTACTTTATACTCAATTTGGGTATTTGTTGGTAAAATTTTTGTCTTATTGAGTACTGTATTAACGGCTTACCCAATGCAGACAAAACCGGTGCTATGTGGACGTGAACCTCATTCTATTTAAATCTTCATTAATTCTAATAAGTAGTTATGAACGAGAAATTGAATCACCTCATGCAGATAATAATATTATATAGAAAGGAGCTATTTTTAGCAAAAAAAACTGGCCAATCACTATTATTATAACTTCTTCTCTTTTCTTATTCGTTGATTGAGTACTCATTCGCATGTACCAATTCAAAGTCATGACTAAAATGGAGCTTATCAAACTCATCGCATAATATGCCGTTGTTCAATGTTCTTCGGTCTTAGTTTACAGATTTTGATATGGTAAATTTTAGATTTTATAATTTGATGACAGTTCCACATATTACGATGGTAATAAGTTTAATAATTAAATCACTTAAGGGGAATAATGTAAATCACCTTGAGTTATGTGAGTATTTTGTTCCTATTCCTGTATGAGTATAAATAAGCTTGTAAATAACGTCTTCACAATAATACTCATAATGTTATTTTTGAAGGTTTTGTCTTTATGCTAGTAAGAAAGTAAAGCGTCTGCCTGTTTGTCTTTATAGATTCAAGATTCAAATTTCTAGCTTCCAAAGTAATGGGTGTTTTTTTTCGATGTATAGTACTTTAAGTTGGCATTACTGTTCAAGATGGCGACCGATTTAACAGCTGTCAAGTGATTTATTCTCAATTTAATTTGGCCATTCATCATGAATAGATTCACGCCTGAACAACGTTTACAAATAGTGCAATTTTATTTCGAAAATAATAATAATAATAAAAAAACACCCCTTACATTCCCTGAAAAGTATACATATATTATTTTAAGCCAACAAATTTTAAAAGAGATAGATGTGATTTTTTTAAATAAATACTTAATCCTTCTTCTGCTTCCATATGCATAAAATTCGATACATTGGCCACAATTTCCCTTCCCGAACTATGGACCACTTGTCCCTTCTTTGCAAGTTTCTTTGGCTCCATTTAAAGAAATAATTTAAAAAGAAAACATTTTTACTCACTTCATATATAAAACACACTGCTTTTGGACATCAGTAAGTAGAACAGGTACTTAAATTTAATAAAAAAAAAAACGTTGACAAAATTACAAATTACTTCAAGCACTAGTTTCGGCTTAAGTTTTAACTTGATTTATAAAAAAATATATTATATTTAGTTTCTAATTTTAAGCAAAACGTGTAAACAAGTGCAAAATTTTAAATTTATTGTATTAAAGTTGTACCGGTTTGGCGCAAATAATATTATTTTATTAAAATGCCTTACACCTTAACAATGACACTACAAGCAAAAATAATACTCTAAAAAAATGAACGAAATATAAGCACCCACAAACACAGCCACGAAACGTAAACAACCGAAACCACTTGATCCATGCCAATGGCGGCCGTGTTTTCGAACGACAGCTGGTTGCTGTTTCCGAATTCGCCTTCTGCGCATCTAACGTCACTGGGCTCTTCTCTATTGAGACGGACTTTATCATAGGTCGGCGTCTTCGTCGTCTTCCATCGAGCCGCTGCAACCGCTGAATCGGCTAAGGGTGCGGCCGGACTACGGGCAGTCGCATCGCATGTGCTCGCGATGCTCGAGCCTGTTGACGCTCGCGTCCGGCTCGCGCTACTCGCTCGACTCGAGTAACGGCGGGTTCGTGCGGCTCGCCTCCGGCACCAAAATGACCGCCGCTCCCGCTGCCCCGCCCGTCTTGTGCAAGCTGTGCCTGTCCGAAGTGCCCGCCCACGGGATCGTGCGAATCGCGCAGTGCAACTGCTCGTTCTGCGGCGAGTGTATGAAGACGTACGTCGAGTTCGAAATAGCCGAAGGCGCGTACGACATTTCTTGTCCCGACGCGCAGTGTCCCGCGCAGGGTGTCCTCCACGAGGATGAGATCGGAGCTCTGGTCGGCACCGACAAGCTGCAGAAGCACAAAAAGTACCGACTTAATCGTGGTAAGTGTAACATTGAAAAAGTATTATTATTATTATTGTTATCTTTTTAGCCATTTCTTATAGGTGGATAGTATTCTTTAGCCGATATATTGTACGAAATAGCTGCTAGTCTTGTTTGGGCAAAAAATTGACTCTCATCTTTTTTGCCTTGTACTCTTCATATGTTAGATACTTCCAAACGGCCACATTTGTTTATTGTCAGTAGCACCACAATAAATTCGCCTATATTAAGCGAGTTTTTGCACTTGCATTTTACAGAGGTGGAGCTCGACAAGAACCGTTGCTGGTGTCCAAGGGCGGGCTGCGAGACAGTCTGTAACCTGTGCCCGTCGCAGCCTTGCTCGCCGCAGAGTGTCTTTTGCCCGACGTGCTCGACCGACTTTTGTAGCAACTGCAAACTCGAGTGGCACGCGGGCTCCACCTGCGACGAGTACGGGCGACGGCTGGCGAGTGAGGGGCGGGCCAATCCCGACATCGGCATACCGTTCGACTCGGATCTCATCAAGTGTTGCCCGATGTGCGGCGTGCCGATCGAAAAGGACGAAGGCTGCGCTCAGATGATGTGCAAACGTTGCAAGCACGTCTTTTGCTGGTACTGCCTTGCGAGTTTGGACGTGAGTGTTTTCTATTTTATTAACCAGCTGCAACGGAAATTTTACAAACTGATAGGCTGAGTGCGGGATATCAATTTTGCACTTATCAGTAAAGATAAAAAGATGCGAGTTTCGCAATAGCTACAAAATGGAATTTCCCTGGTATTTCTGTTTTCCACACCCAGGGCCTTAACATGTAGCGTTTTAAGGACTTCACTTACCTGCCCTATTTGAAAACATATTGAGACTGTTTATTGCCTATGATAATCAATGACAATTCCAATATGCGATTGCGTAGGATCACTTCAAGTAATACCCGAAGTAAAACCTATTTTATTGCCAAAAAGAGTGGGGAAGAAAAAGCAAATATAGACAAAAACTTTCAAAAACCCATCTGGAGGACCAAATAAATCTTGTAATGATTGTTTAGGAAGATGGAAACGTTGGTAAAAGGATTGGTTCAATCTAGTATTAACTAGAACACTCGTAAGAAGGAGAGAATTTTAATTTAACAAAATAAAAATTAGACATTGTGTGCATAGTTGTTAGGTACCCCTGTTCTTTATTAAACATTATAAAAAAGATATATTATTCTGGATATGTTAAATGAATTATTGGATATATTAATTCATTAAAATATGCGCTACTGTAAGTATGTTATAGATAATCTGTCACTAGAGTATCATACTTTTATTCAGTTACCAATCAGGTATGAGGGTCAAAAATAACAACGAAGCCTATTTATGGGTGTTGAATTTACAATTTCCTATTTTATTACTCTACCCTGATAGATAACACTCTAGCTTTATTAACAAAGAATGTAACTCGTAAAACCAAAAACCGTACCAGAGGACTCCAATCTAACGAGAGGCGACAGCGACTTTTTAAAATGGGGGGGGGGTGTCTATTTTTCGTGATCTTATTTTCAGCTCGATTGCTTCATTTGACGTTTATACCTATTGGTGACTGAGAGAAAGTTGTTTGCCAGCTGATAAGTAGGGTTATAGAGTAAGAGAAAATTTTGATATTTTATATAAAGGCAAAGTGAAGAAAATTATTGGCTTACCGGTTAGTTGAGAAAAATAGAATAGACTTTTACTAATGCAAGTCTGAAAATTAAAGAACTAAGAAAGCCTATTTGGCTAATAAGCACACTTCGACAACCCGAGATAAGCTCTCTCAGACTAATAAACAAACTAGCGGGTTGGAGCATTTGGCGGTTATGTCCGGGTTCTCCAATCATGTGCATAGAAAACTGGGTTGGCTATTGTCGTCTCTCGTTCGATTAGAACTCTCTGTATGGTGTGTAAGGTACACCCGACCAATTTTTTTGCTTTTGAGGCCGACCATTTTTTGTTTGCCTAAGCTGAGCGGACACATGAGCATCGCGATGTATTGTTGCAGGACGACTTTTTGCTTAGACATTACGACAAGGGTCCGTGCAAGAACAAGCTAGGACATTCGCGCGCTTCGGTGATCTGGCACCGGACTCAGGTGATTGGCATTTTCGCTGGGTTCGGAATTTTACTACTGGTGGCATCGCCGCTCCTGCTGTTGGCCGCTCCCTGCATAGTTTGCTGCAAGTGCCGGATCTGCAGTGCCGAGACGACCAAGCTCGACAACGACGACGAGGAAGCAGGGTTGGGCGACGATTCGTGATACTATTTTTAGTGACCCCTTTACCCCCCCCCCAGATTTAGTTTTGTTCTTAGCTCTTAAAAAGGTTGGGGATATTTTCTTAAGTACCAATTAAATTTGATGGAACCATCGAAACTGATAGAGTTAATCGGGAAAACGTTTAAAAAATATACAATTAATGTGATATTTTGTAATAGATCGAAGATTATTATTATTATATGACACTGTTTCACAATGTTAATCGTGTATATAACGTATTATTAAATTTGACAAAATAAATAATGTTGGCCTTTTCTGGTTTTAAATATTTAAAAATTTGTTGGATTGGTGATGGTGAATAGCAACACCACAAATTTGCACGCTTATCAGTATTTGTGACTTAGTTTTTTTTTCATGATTGCTATATTTTATGGTCTAGCACAATTTTCGACCAATTTCTGTTGCACATTTGCATTTTTTTTTTAAATTTAGATCCGTGTTTTTGGAATTTTCTAGGAACGTTTGTACCATATTTTCTTTACAATAATTTCTGGTCCATGCTTGGTAAAACAGTGGTCACGTCACATTTCATCTGAAACACCTATGTCTCAGGATTTTCACCATCCACTTTCAGCAATACAGAAAATAGTTTGAACAACACAGATTTATTTCCCGTGCTGTCAAAATCTCCTATCTCCAATGGGGTATTAATGGTCGTTTTAGGGCAAGAAATTTCGTCCTCATTAGCGAATTGCGTCGCACTTGTAAAGCAAATATGAAAAATAAAATTAAGAAGTCCCATTCAAAATGCTCATGTGCGAGATTTGAAATTTTGTTTTTAGTCATTGATCTTGAGCCAGACCGTCAATAAGTTTAGATGCAGCATTTTTACAGCGCTATTTTCTCAAAATATACCTAGATCTCGTTAAATGTTCCGAAAAAATGAGCCTTTTCTATGGAAACATCAATGCCACCTGTAACGCATTAGCCTTTATTGTAGTAGTGCCACTTTATTAACTAATAGCTATTTGAGACATCCAAAGAATCTAGCGGCCAGTCAATTGACAAAGGAGTTTTTATTCTCCCGTCAGTAAAATACCTAATTACACACCGATCTAGTCTGCGGGAAACGTCACTTTACAGCGTCAGTTTGGGAACACCACAAATGATCGAAAATCCCGAACGACGTTCGGTCCCGTTTCGGAAGTCTCGGTGAGTCTCGCCTCGCGAGGGATCTCGATGTAGCAGGCGGTCAAATGGACTTTGCAATTTGACAGTCGATACTACATAGGTATAATCCGAATAGGAATTAGGAAAACGGTGCTTGTTTTAAAGATACAGGACGTACATCGGTTGCTAAATCCGCACAGAACACATGAATTTCTATGCATCCGGTCAATTATTGTTTCCAAAAAATATAGGTTAATTTTATCGAAGGATGCGGATGCTGCAACCCGCATTCAAAGGAATTTTTTTTATTAACCCGTGAGTACCTTTTGAAAATTTTGTTGTCATCCGATCCGAAACGACGAGAAATTCAACAAATTGTTATCCGGAGTTACGATCGCACAGGATGTGTCTTGACAAACGTTCAAGCTCAAGGATCTGCGGCCCAAGAAAACTGACAACAAAGCTAAATAAAAAAAGCAAGTAAGGTCTCAAAAAAACTGTTTTAAAAAAAAAGGGCGAACGCAAAAGTTTTCCTTTTACGTTCGCCATGTATTGTTACAGGGGTCTCGTCACACTGACAAGAATCCACTAGGGATGATGCGACTACCGGCGCACATTATTTTAAGCCTTTTTGGCTTAGTTCCGGAATGCGGTTTTTCTCGTATTATATAGGACTTTTTTACGGAAGAGCACCCATTCGCTTTCGACGTAAAATTTTTCTGACCAGGGCCGGTCTATCCAAACGAAGTTTGGTGTTCAGACGACCTGCGCCTTTTATTTTCAACTTGCATTTCTAAGTAAGAGCAGAGTTGTCTTCGAAGTCAAAGTTTTAATTTTTAGGGCCGGTCTGTCCGAAAGAACTTTTATTTGAAGACGACCCGCGCCTAACTTTTAACGTATATGTATATACGTTCTCGGGCGAAAATCCTTCACACCTTGTCGACGGTAAGCGCAAAACTAGGTCTCGCGCTTTTAGCTCGTCCAGGTACCCGAAATGTCTTCGCTTCCACCGACTTTGTACGTATAAACGTCCGCGTCTGGTGCGAAAAATTATCGACTCAGCGGGTACAAAGTACAAGTTATTTATTTTAGTTATTTTTTTAACACTACAACGATCCTAATGGAAGTTCACCTACGGGAGGGAACCTCGTGACATTTACTTCTTCTAAATGATTAAGTACGGTCAACTTTTCGAACACATCGACGACGTCGGAACGTATCGGCGGTTCGGTTCGAAGACCTCGTTAAATCATTCAATCGGTGGTAACGACGGGCGGTGTGTACAAAGGGCAGGGACGTAATCAACGCGAGCTTATGACTCGCGCTTACTGGGAATTCCTCTTTTTTGGGGAACAATTAGGAACCCCAAATCCCTAGCACGAAGGAGGTTCCGCGGGTTACCCGGGCCTCTCACCCAGAGACTGCGCGCTGATTCCTTCAGTGTAGCGCGCGTGCGGCCCAGAACATCCAAAGGCATCACAGATCTGTTATTGCTCAATCTCGTGCAGCCAAAGGCCGCTTTGTCGCTCTAAGAATTGTTGGTCCGCAGACGGTAAAAATTAGCAGGCTAGAGTCTCGTTCGTTATAGAAATTAATCGCTCGATTAAGTAAAAACGGCCATGCACCCACCACCCACCGAATCAAGAATGAGCTCTAATCTGTCCATCCCTTCGGAGTCCGGGACCGGCGGGGTTTTCCCCTTTCGAATCAAATTTGCTGCAGGCTCCACTCCTGGTGTTGCCCCTCCATCGATTCCTTTAAGTTTCAGCTTCGCAACCATACTTCCCCCGGAACCCAAAACCTTTGGTTTCCCGGAAGCGTCCCGCCGAGTCAACTTCGGCGGATCGCTGGCTGGCATATTTACAGTTAGAACTAGGGCGGTATCTGATCGCCTTCGAGCCTCTAACTTTTGTTCTTGATCAACGAAAACGTTTTTGGCAAATGCTTTCGCTTCCGTCCGTCTTGCGACGATCCAAGAATTTCACCTCTAACGTCGCAATACGAATGCCCCCATCCGCTCCTATTAATCATTACCATGCGAAAACCAACGAAACGGACCCGAGGTCTTGTTCCATTATTCCATGCATACTGTATTCAGACATAATTTTAGCATGCTTTAAGCATTATAATTTGTTCAAAGTAAATGTACCGGCCCACCTCGATACTCCGTGAAGAGCACCGCGGCAGGATTGAGTCGGACCGAGCCAAATCCACCGGCAGGAAGTCTCGCGACGCGCCAGTTGAAACCGCGAATGGTGAACCGGCGGCGCGAGACACAATTCGACTACGAACTTTTTAAACGCAACAACTTTAATATACGCTATTGGACTTGCCCTCCAATTGATCCTCGTTACAGGGATTAGAGTGTACTCATTCCGATTACGGGGCCTCGAGCGAGTTCCGTAGCGTTATTTTTCGTCACTACCTTCCCCGTGCCGGGAGTGTTTAATTTGCATGCCTGGTGCCCTCCTTGGATATGGTAGCCGTTTATCAGGCTGCCTCTCTGGAATCGAACCCTGATTCCCTGTTAGCAGTTACGACCATGGTAAGCTCGGAACATACCATCGACAGTTGATAAGGCAGATATTTGAAATATGCGTCGCCGGTGCGAGACCGCGCGATCAGCTTCAAGTTATTTAGTTTTACCCAGTTTTGATCTAATAAAAGCGGTCATTTCGTTACCGGTAAGACTTCTGCTGCTTGTATTAGCTCTAGAATTACCACATTTATCCAAGTAATTGTGGGTACAATCTAAGGAACCATAACTGATTAATGAGCCTCTCGCGGTTTCACTTTAATTCGGCTGAAAACATGCAATCTTTGAGACAAGCATATGACAACAGGCAGGATCAACCAGCTGTTCTTATTATCATGCGCCCCGCCGCCGCCACGCATGGCGACGATCGGGCAAACGCGTTAAATATTTTTAAATAGAACCATACTTGGTGGTTAGAGCGTACGAGTACAGAAAGGAACCCTTCCCGACACCATACATATATTATTCATTCGTTATTAAAGCTTTAATATGCGGCGCGTCGAATCGATGTGACTCGCAACGAACGTCGATCGACGGAAATTTTCGGACATTCTCTCGATCACTCTTCTCTAGATTGTAAGCGACACGAGATTTCTCGAAAGAAACGTTCCGGATTTGTATATAAACTCGCTCGGTGAGAGGAGAGTTATCGCCAATTTTTCAAAAGAAAAATAATCTGGCGATCGCTTTTGAACCGCGAAGTGCCAAATCTTACTTTCAAACACCCGCTAAGTTCGCGATCTAGCTGTATAAGGTGCGGAGCCTTAAAATGTTTTCGAACGCTCGAGCAATCGCTGCTACGAAGACGGGCCGATGGCAAACGAAAAACGGTCTACGTTCCCGTACCGATGAAGGAAACCAATTTTTCTTCAAAAATGGAACCAACGATACGAAAATGTTAAGCGAGCCAATTAATCGCGCTAAACGGTCGACTCGAAGGCGATCTAACGATCGGAAAAGCACTTTGCTCTGCGAAGGGAGAAGTGTCTATATGCACGACGCGGCGGTCGCGCTCGAGACCATCTCACCTATTATAGGTAACGGACCATTCCTTAGTCTTCCGAACGGTTTATGTAAAACACGCTTAATAACGGCGGCCGCCAACGTCGTAGAAATCTGAAATTCGAGTGAAGCTTTCGCTTTGATTCCGCTAAATTATAAATATTTTTGAAAGTTTTTTTATTTGTTGGTTTTGTTAGCTGACCGTCGGTGCCAACTAACCAAAATAAACCAAAACCATCAATTAAAATAAACAGTAGTGTTCTTGTTATTTGTTTCGAAAAGCGCTATAACCTAACGTACCGCACTAGCCGTACGCGCGTGAGAGTGTGCGTACGAGTAGGCGTGAGAGTGGTCGTGCGAGTAGGCGTGCGAGTTGTCGTGCGAGTACGCGTTCGAATGCTCGTGCGAGTTGTCGTGCGAGTAGGCGTGCGAGTGGTGGTGCCAGTACTCGTGCGAGTGCTCGTACGAGTGTTTATGCGAGTTGTCGCACGAGCACTCGCGAGAATCAAATCGAAAGCTTCACCCCAATTTCCGACTTCTATGACGCTCGCGGCTGCCGTTATTACGCGGGTTTTACATGAAACGTTCGGAGGACTAAGGAATGGTTCATTACCTATAATAGGTG